TATTATAATGAAACAATTATAATTTTTAAATATACAATATTAACTGAAACTCTTTTTTATCTTTTGAAAAATAAAATTAAGTTATTTATTTTCAAGAAAAGTAATAAAACTTAATAATATATTTTATGATAAGCATTTAAAAAATAATGTTTTAATGATTTGTGAATTGTCCTCAGAGGTGGCATGATACAGACCCACGAACAGTATGACTTTGTTCATCAGGCTTTGGCAGCATATGAAAGAGAGCTGGGTGAACCATCAGTCCAGTCTATCACAGCCCTCACCACAGAAAGTGTCACCACACCATAATGCAAACTTCCATAGTGCTCATTCATAGAGATACCACATCTTTATTGATGGCTAGATTTATTAGTGCAAAGGTTTTAAGGAATGAATTCAATTTCAGAGATAGTCTCCTGATAGGCCTATAAACAACTATGTAATACAATGTAAAATATAGATCCTTGATAGATCTATAAACTGATCAGCTATGAATATGTAAAATATAATTAGATTAATGTTAAAAAGAAATAGGGCAGCTTTATTCCATTACAATTTGTGATGTGTTTGTGGCTAGCTCTAAGAAAGTAAAAGAGAAAAAAAAGGTTAGCTTCAGTTTTTTAATTGTTTGTTTAGAGTTGCTTACAGTGTTTCTTCCAGACTTTTTTCTCCGGGGGGGGGGGGGGGGGGGGGGGGTCACTTGAAATTTTCGGGGGGGGGGCGTTAGACTTTCTTCGGGAGGGCGGACACTGTTAAAAGTATATATTTTCTATATAAATTATATAAATTTCGGTTGGGGGGGGGGAGGCGGTAAAAATTTTTCGGGGTGGCTTCGCCCCCCGAAGAGATGCCTGGAAGAAACTCTGGTTGCTTAGCAGTTAGTGTTAGTTGTTAGCTTTAACTAACTGCAGTAAGCATAGATTCTTATTCTGGTTTAAGCTTCAAGAGCTAGTAGCCACCAAGATAAGAAGCACAACACTTGGGATGAAGCAATAGTTACATTACTTATCAAAACTGTTATCTGTTAATTTTTTTCTACTTAACAAAATGTTCTCTTTCATACTTACAAACTGGAAATGTTTGTTTGAGATAATTTTCTTTATCAGAATTTTATTAATTAATTTTTTTTTAAATTGTTGTCTTACGAATATTTAATGAAAATCAGGCTACGTTACAAATAACTAGAAATGAAAATAATTTATATTTTCTAGACTTATTTGTTGTGATATTTTTGTTTTATTCAACATGAAATCTTATCTGCCCTTCCTATCCAAATTTATTTTAATGGAGGCTTATAACCTAATAAGACAAAATTCCACAGAATATAGTCAATAACAAATAAAATCAACTATAGTTTAATGTCAACAAAAATAAACTCTATGTGCCTTGCCTGGTATTATTCATCATGATCCATCTTTTCATGCATAGGCATACATCAGCCTACTTGATTTATCTGGATCTAGATCTATCCTCATTTACATTATTCAGGGCTTTTCTAGGTTGTTACATCTCAAATTTCTGTGATTTTTTTATTTGAATAACATATAAGATAAAAAAAGGATTTATGATTTGGGTGAAGTGGTTTGTTTAAAGATGGCAGTTGCACAAAGGATAAGGCAACTCTTGAGTTAAAATAACCAGTGTTAATTGTTTTGATTGTGTCAGTTAGTTAGCATTAAATTTAAACATTTTTTTTCTCTAATGTAATTATCAGTTTTAAATGTCAAACTTGTAATTTATTATGTTGTCTCCCTTAGTTAATCTTGCCTCTGTGTAAATAGACCACATAACCTGTACATACACAAGTGAACCCATGTTCCAGATTTTTTTCTGTAATAGTCCAATTAATGATAAATATTGTAGGCCTATGTGAAAAATGAAGTGTTTTCTATTGTTGGATGAACTAGATTACATGCAGTTCTACTAACACCTCAGAAATTATAAAAATGTTAAGATTTTAGTTTCTGTTATTTTAAGCATATAGATAGTTCTTTAAAACATATTTTTAACACAAGGTAAATAAAAATCTGAAATAATTTTTTTTTATTTGTGAAATGGAAGTTATTTGAATTCATATTTCTAATGCCTTCTCATCTATGAACTTACTCATCTTATTTTTTAGCAATTGTTTGATTGTAAATGTTCAGAATTTATTCCAATTCTTAAATTAACACTTATGAGTCTTGAATCGTAAGTTAATTACAATCTGTTTATTATTAACAGATGTAAAAGTTAGTCTTCTTTAAATTAAATGATCAATAATTTAGAGGTTGTTTTTTTTTAAATACTAATAAACAAGCTCAAAAAATATTTTTATACATTTTAATAAAAGATATGTGTAAGCAAAAAAAATTTATACAAGTTTTAAAAACTCTGAAAAATGTCAACTGTTATGTATTTTAACTAATTTCTCCAGTTAAATAGATTTGTCTGAAAATATTTGTTTCTTTAAGATCACACAGTGAGATCAATAATGTTTCTTGCTTCATATTTCCTTTAATACTAATGAGGAGAATGAATTTCCATAGACTACGTAATGGCAACTTGGAGCATGTACACTGTTGTGTAATTTTTACATTTCCTTTTTTTTTTTTAAACAGCTTTAAAAAAAACACAACTATTTCATATTATTATTTATAAAAGTGTTTTACATTGACTAAGTGATAAACAGAAAATATGGATGGCTTTACTGACTGGCCTTACATTTTGTTTTACTTACAGGGTATTGTTTTGGTTGTGATCTAGTCTCCTGATTCATCACAGGACTTTTATAGTTGAAACCATGTGCTACAAAATTATGCAGTTTTTGTCATGTGTATGCGAAAAATTACTAAATTCATTTTTCGTAAGTTGTGTGTAATATTTTAATGTATGTGATAAAGGATATCTTAATTCCTTATTATATTTAGCCGATATTTATCCACTTTTAAAAAGTTGATAATCAATTGAGATTGCATCATCTGAGACATTCAATAATGTCAGTTTTTGTTCACCGTAAAATTTCACTTATTCAGCATATCACACTGTAAACAATAAATACAGTTCTGAAACTAAAGATTAAAATCCATAGAATAACAACAGAACAGTTTTAGATGAAAACATTTTATAATACTACTGCTTAAATGTATAACTAACAGTAACATCATTATATTGAGTGTTTGCAGATAGATTTTCTTCACATTTGTAACCCAATAGTGGCATTGGGTTACATAATTAGCTGAACTAAATAATAAAGCAACAATTTAAAAAAAAACAAAAAAAAAGGTTGTCCTGTCTGGGGCAGCTATTCATAAAATTGTATTCTTTTATTTATGTTGTAGATTAACCTCAATACCTGAAGTAAAAATGGCTCGGTAACATATGTGATTATTAAATACTTTGAAATCAAAAACATCTAGCTTTAAAACATTTAATCTAACTTTTTTACTGTATATAAATGGGTCTCAATCATATACAAGCTGGGTTTTTGTTGTTTTTCTTAAAGAAAATGTAAGTTTTTACTTTAAAGTGTACAATGTTATTATTTTATACAACAACTTGTGACACCATGTATATTTTCCAGGAACAGCAGCTAGTTTTAACCTTATTTTAGTTTGTATGATGAGCCTTTACATGAAAATGATTTTATCATGTAATTTATTTTACAACTGTACATAAAAAAAAACATTTTTGCCTAGTCTAGAATTCATCACAAACTCTAAACTGCTTAAAGAAAAGTCCTCGACACTTATGTACTTTTTGCACTTTTTAAAAATAACAAAGTGCTCAAACTTTGAGCTGAATGAACTTTTTAGTTGTTGTCACTGTGTTGGATATCTGTCTCTTGTAAAGTGTTGTTTATAAAAAATATTTCTTATTGCCCTACTTTTTTAACCAACTCAGCAATATTTAAAATAAAAACAGACTATATGAAGTACTGTTTTACAGAACAATTCAATGATGGCTCATGACTTTCAATTTTCAGAATTCCAAGTTTTCTAAACATGTATTGCCTGGATAGATTTGTTGTAAGAATGTAAAGCTTCTCAATCTTTTAGTTCAATATTTTCTGTATTGTAAAAATGTGACTTCATTTACAGTTCTGTCACTCAAAAGATAAATATTGTTCAAATGTAACATTACCTTTCATATTTATATATACAAATGTATGTACAACAAAGCAGTTGAGATTTAGAAGACCTAGTTTTATTTATAAAGTGTAACTATAGGGTGTTTTATTATTTATTTTTATGCTAAAGGGAGATTAAAATGAAAAATATCTAACTAACCGTTTTAAAATTGAGTACTGATCACAAAAAGAATTAAATATGCTAATGGTGCATTAATTAGAAAACATTTTAGGTTGTGGCCTATTTAAACTGGATTGTTTTTTCTTATCATTTATCTAGTCCTATTTAAAGTTCGTAGTGTGAGATTAATGGTAACAAACTATGCATCAGCTCCCTTACTCCACTAGGTAATAAAATGGTTAAACAAGAAACTGTTTTCAGATTACCAGCTTGTGTGTTAAGTTAGACAATACTTAGCTTGCCTAACTCCATCTGCTCTGCATATAAAATGTGGTTTTTGGCTAGTTAACAAAGTATATTGTAATTTAGTATGTTCCATCACTGTATATAATGTAACCATTTTCCCACTGTGATAGTCAAGCTGTCTAGTAAGAAATGCAGAAGACCAACTCCTAGCACTCTCGACAATACTTGAAATATTGACAGTGTCTGACATTCTCTCTGCAATTCTTACAAGACAAATTACTGAAAATGAGTAGACAATAAAAAAAATAAAGTACTTTTATTCTGTTTTGTTTTTTATTGCACCAGTTTTGTCTGTATTTTGCATTACATACAGACATTAAAATGCCAACATAAAAAATTAGCTGTCAGTTTGCCAAATTTTTTTACATTTTGTTTAAGAATAAAAAATACACCAATTTTAATTGTTACAAATCACTTAAACAGATATGTAAAATGCCCTTCAGCATATTCATATATTTTATTACCATTCACACTATTTAAATGACACCCATACCTAAACATTAAGATCTAAGTTACAGATCAAAATGACAGTTTAGGGCACTCAAATATCTGTCCACACCCATACCTAAACATAAAGATCTGAGTTACAAATCAAAATGACAGTTTAGAGTACTGAAATATCTGTCCACACCCATACCTAAACATTAAGATCTGAGTTACAGATCAAAATGACAGTTTACAGCACTCAAATATCTGTCCACACCCATACCTAAACATTAAGATCTGAGTTACAGATCAAAATGACAGTTTAGAGTTCTCAGATGCCCCACACCCTGACTTGCTTCCACTGTTTGTCTTGTCTTCTGAAACATTATCTGCCAGCTCCGGGGGTAAATGAAACTTCTGAAATTATATCACACATTAAAAAAAATGTTCTTTTATAACAGAGAATTTGTAACTGTAAATTACATTACCAGTACTTAAGTTAGACATCTACTGATCGGTATAAGTATATTTTTTTAGACAATTATTAATAGAATGTTTTTATAATATGTTGTCAATGGGAAGGCTATATCAAACCTCAATTGTAAACTTCTTCCTCCTTAATTTAAAAGCAAGATCTGTTGTGGTTGGTTGAGCAGGAATTAGTGAGTTCAGATGAGGTAATTGTACCACATGAAGGAAGCCTAAAATGACATTAGTCCTAATCAATTTATAATTAATATCTGCCTTTTCAGACACAAATATGTAAAATTATGTTTTTAAAAAAGAACAAATTAATTTTTAATGTAATATTTAAGTGTATGATTTAAAATTAATTACCATGATATTCTTTGAATAAAGGATTTTTTTCATTCGGTGACCCAGCAAAGCTTTCCAGTTTTATGACTGTATCACACATTCTCTCTACTCTCTTAATAAAAGCTTTATCCTAACAACATCAAAATGTATACAATTATAAGTAATGCTATGTAGATTTACACTAGACATTAACAAGCATCTGGTAAAATTAGTAATATACACATAAAATTAACTGGTATATGTATAAGATTGAACTGCTTAAAAAGGGAAATAAAAAATAATTACATGGAAAAGAGTAGTAGGAAGAGTTATCATAGCTACAGCAAAAGCTGACCTCAAGATGCCTCTCAAGCCAATCAAGAACAAGGACAGAGAAGGATCAAACCCGTCCTTGTCAGACCTTTTGCCACCAGACTCACCCCACAGTGGGGATCCAAGGGAATGAATACCTGTTTTTAGAAACATAAATTTAGATTCAAATTTGTAATATGTGATGAATTTAAAAACCTGAATACAAATATTTCCCACCTCAAATTAAACAACACTAATTTGAATGTAAAATAAATATCAATGATGTTTGCTTCACCAAAAGTCATTTTTGAAATGTTGAACCTTTGGAGTTTTTTTTTATTTTATAAAACAAGTTTCTAAACCATTGGCTTAACAGAAAGTTTAGAACTATTCGAATTTTTTTTTAAAATGAACAACCTATTCGTAGAATTCTGCGCTTTTCAACTTGTTGAGTAGTGCTGAACATGCCTCTTTCAATCCTGGACTTGATGTGTTGTAGTAGTTGATGGTATTTGAGATTCATACAAGGAATGGAAGGTCTGTCAAAAATATTGACTATTTCTATGAATCCATACATTTTTCTACAATACCTAAATTCAATTTATGAATATGAGGGTCTTGGCTAAAAAATACCATTTTTAACAACATTAAAATAAACCAATAAACCAAAATAAACCAATTATTTGATAGTAAAGTCATTACATTGACAATGGATTAACATCCAATAAATAATGTTCAAAGGAAATATCTGCAGCCTTGATCTTTTCATCATTCATTGATTTAGTAAGATCATAGTAATGACCAAATCTGATGTTAGAGGTAGGGGCACTCTGGAGAGAAAAAAATAAATTACTGTATTCTTTTCTGGTTACACATCTATTGTAAAATATGATATACAGACTAAATGCCATTTACATGTAAGATAAAACTAACATTTATTGATGTCAAATATTTGCTAGAAATAATACTTTTTTATTTGAAATATCTTAGAATTAGTAATTTAAAAAAAGCTTTTCTCAAGGCTAATTAAATAAATGAAGGAAAAAACAAAATCTGTAAAAAAAAAAAGTAAAGTTTAAGGTTAAACAAATTAGGTTCATTCATAAAAGGATACAATTTATGTACAGTACCTGAACCTTGGGTTTGCTTTGATATCGCCAGGCTATCTTTAGTTTTTCATCACTAGTGGTCTAAAAGTGGTAAGAAATAGATAGATGTATTAGGACGAGAGTACAGATAATGTAGAAAATGTATGGCAGAAATAATTCACAAAGGTGTTTTTGCATTTTAAGGTTTTTCCATATCTTCATTGTTTTTTTATACATTAAGAAGTCTATTGAAAAAAATGCTTCTTTGATACAATAAAACTCACTTCAGCAGCTGAAGCATCTTTCTGTGGTGACTGCTGAGTGGATGGGGACTGTGAACTGTTTACTGTTGTGTGACCTGTATCATCCAAAGGTGCCGGTAATTCCTGTAAACAAACATTACATAGCTTTAACAACAGATTACTTGTGTGGCACAACACTACCTCATTAACCGTTTGATATATTAACCTAGTATGAATTACCTTTATATACTTGTGTTAGCAGGGGTAAGCTGAAGTTTGGACTTTAGTTCATACAAATGCTGACTATTTTATGGGGTCAGGTTATTATTATTACTATTGTTTAACTAAAGGGATGAATTAAGAAATAATCTACTTTAGAATGAGTACACAATGTAATTTTATTGCTCAAAGAGAAAAAGGTTTGTTTCAGTTTCATAGAGCTGTACATTTATATACTAAAACTGAGGATAAATAGTTTTGAAGAGAAAAATAATTTACTTTCACTAAGTGCTGGGGTACTTCATTAGCACTTGATAAAAATATGGACTGATCTGTCATCACACCTTCAGCAACAAAGTACTTGAGCATTATTCTTGCATAACTCCCATATTTATCTTCCTCTGTTGTTTAGAGATATTTTAAAAGTTTAGGAAAGGTAACAAATAAGTTGATTCAAATTTCATTTTATAGATTATTTCTTTACTACTTTCAGAAATTTAAAAAAAAAGGATTTTGAAAAACTAAACTTAAATATAACTCAGTCAATCTTTCAACTATGTACAGTAAATCTTAAAAAGTCACTACTTTAATAAATGTTTGTAAAATAACTTCTGATTTTGTGAATACCACTCCAGCAAAATTAAGGACTGATTTTTTTCCCTTGAATCACTAACTTGCAACATCAGATATATATCAAAGAATTCAAAACAGGTAGAATCAAACAATTACAAATTTTAGGCCTAAAATTTTAGCTAAAAATCCAAAGTAAAAGCATAATACCTATTAAAAGAACTGTTCCAACTGCCAATCCACCACCTGAAACGGAAGTTTGGCATTAAACCATTAGTCAATAGGCTCTAAATTATAATTAAAATTGAGTATAATAAAATTGTGATGCCAGAGTGTTGCTATGCAATCAAAAATCAATATCATCTTGATAAAATTCAGAACTGACACAGTGTATAATAAATAGTACTGACTAACTTTATTCCTTTTTAGAGCCTACATTTTTTACATTTTTACATTAATTTTCAATTTAAATTTACATTATACAAACACGGCTGAATCAAAGAATTTGATTCAGACTTCAAAGGTTGTGGTATAACTTTCGGTGACATCTTCGCATCTTTAAGCTACACGTAGATCTAGTTAAAAAAAAATTTTTTTTTTATACAGCTGGCTGTCTTGCATGCCTGATATGTGAACTTTAAAAAAAAATGACCAAACTTTTAAAAAAAATGACCAGAAGTAGGTCTGTTTTTCAATTGGCTAGAAGAAGGGGGGGGGGGGGGGGGGAAAGAGAGAGAGAAGTGAAGACACCGACCATCTCGTGTACGCGTGTTCATTCTATGACGTGTTCTATAGGCCTGCTGAACTCACGGTAACCCCGCGACCATGATGTGATTTTTCATCCACAGGATAGTAAAACGTAAGCAAGCAATCACGTGAGTGACGATGTTTGGAGATTTTTTTTTTAAAATCACATACGTCATGTTTTCAAGATGAAAAAAAATGTAATGTAAAAAAAAAAAAAAGACACTAATACCATGTATGAACCTCAGCTGCCACACTGTTGACTCAATATAATGTGAATTGAGTGTAAAATGTATTTGTATTTATAAGCTATCAGAACTATTACTATCATATTATTTTAAGCATATTTATTATTTAAAATTAGAATTTGAAATAAAAATATTTATTATGGTTATATGATTTATGCAGGTGTTCATTATTTCATAAAATGGTATGAATAACGTAGAGTAGAATTTAATAAATAATAAAATAACTAGATCTAGTTTTATTATCAACCAGTTGCTTTTTGTTATTTTCCGGTGAGTAAATAACCTAAGCTGACGCAATTACCATGGCGGGAATTAAAAGCTCGTGTACACAAGTCCACGACGTCATGTTAAGCCGGTCGAGGGGGAAGAACGAGGTTTCGACGTTCATTTTCCATTCTAGATTAATTTTCAAATTCTCTCTTTTCTCGTCAACCGAGTAAGCTAGATATTTAAATGTGGTGTCAAATGTTCTCTTTTAAAAATCCATTATTTAACCTAGTAATTAAGTATTGGATGTAGGTAAGATGAGAGACAAAAATGTCACATGACCGGGAGTTTTTGCACCTTTCTTGCAATTTGAATTAACTGCCTCCTGCCTCACCATTGACATTTCGCAATTTACCAACACTGTCCAACAGTAGTCCAACACTCACTACTGCACTAATCTCAGTGACTTTGACTTTTAAACTTTTTTATAAAAAATACAAAATAATATTACTAGATTCTAGATCTAGAATCTAGATCTATGTAGTAGTAGTCTGTAGTAGGGACTTTGAGAAAATTTTCAAAATGATTTACCTAGGTTAAGAAGCATATCATCTTAAAGAGCTACATCAGATTAAGACAAAACAGTTTACTTTTTCAAAATTGGACATTCCGTTTTAAAGTTATGATTTTTTTACTGAATTAAAAGTTACTATAGGATTTGGTGGTAAATTTCGCGGGCAAATTTTGTGTGTTCTTCATATAAACCAATGCCAAATCTCTATTACATGGAAATTTGTATTCAAATTTTCAGAGTTTCAAGATTAATATGTTATGAGGCAATTAAACTTAACATATTTGTAAAAATATGAAAGGGATGACAAAATGTGTGCCTTGAGGTGATGCAACCCCCCTAATTTTGTAAAGTGACTTTTTTCAAGTTTATCATTATTCTAAATCTAACAGGTTATCAATATCAATATTATGCCACAATCTGAATGTGTTAAGAGTCACTTTAAGGGACCTCATAACCTGGAGCTTTGTAATGTAATTTTAGACTCATTTCTCTCCAACCGGTAAAGGTTCGGATATCGCCAAACATAAATCTAGACAAAAATAAATAGACAGCTAAATTAGTTAAAAAAGAATGACTCCATTAATGGTATTAATAAAAACATATTTTAATATAAATTACATAGTAATTTACATAGTAATTTATGACCACAACACTAACAAAATAACAAATCGCCTTGAACAACATCAGTTAATAACTAATAAGTAATGTACTGTCAATAGAGGCGCTAACATTGTCATCCTACTCCTCTTTTATTTGCAATCCAATAGGCTACTCCAAGTGAATCTACACTTTACTGCTGACTTTTTTCTTTAACTTAAAAAAATTATACTTCTAAAACAGATCTCCCCCCTTTAACATTCCACTTATGTTTAATCCTCGCCCCCTCCATTCTACAAAAAAGGAGATAAAATTTCCTGTCTCTAGCATCCTATCCTGAAGTTATTCTGGCATGAAGATGACTTACAACAAGTTGTAGCATTATAATTTAGTTGTTCTCTTATTGCAAAACCTATGCTGCTGTCTTCTGTGCATTTTTCTTGTTACTGGCAAAATTGTAGAGCGCAAAGCCATCAGAATTCTGTCCTTCTGTGAACTAACAAGAAGCTCCAAGTCCTGAAGAGATTTGGAAGGCCACTCCATTTGAATTACTGAAATAACAAGAAATAAAAGCTTTGAATGCATTCTTTTTTCTTATTATATGATACTATAAAGTAATTTGTTAACTTGTACACTCAAGTTTCTATATTGTTCCAAGAAAACGAAATGCTAATTCAGTTTTGGTCCAACACTAAAGATTTTGAAAAAAAAATATTGTCTTTTTAATAAAATATAATGATTGAACATTGTTAAAATATAAATATCAGTTGCAGATGCCTTGAATTAGTTGAGATTTCAATAGATACATAATAGGTATCATTGTTCTTAACCAAATCGGCCATTATCGAAAACAGGTAACTATCGCCATTTGCCGATCGTCGGCTTAAATTTTAAGACCATGTTCACTTCGTGAGGCATTATCTAATTCATGCGAGGGTTAAATTTACAAAATAAAGACTTTATAAGAAACTTAAAACAAAAATCTAGGTGTATCTTTAAAAAAAAAAATGACTATCTCGTTTAGATATTAAATAAATTAAATATTTATACATACCTGTCCGAGAAGTGTGAATTACTCGAAGATACGTCGATGGTGAAGAGAAAAAGTTTTAATCAATAGAAAGGTGGATTATTCCTAGGTCGATATTCATGACGATTTGAGTGAAGTGAATGATTTTTAAATGAGAATCTGGCTTTATACAGTGAGCTATGTTTTGCCTGACGGAAACCAGAATCAAGTTTGATACGGCGGCGGTAGCGCAGTTTCCGGCCCGAGATTTGACGGATATCGTAGTCCCTATCTGTAGTAGATCTACTTTTTTAACACAGATTTAAATCTAGTGCTTACCAATGACATTATCAAGTGATGGTATCCCACTTGATATTAGTAACTGATTATTATATAACGAGGGTCTAGTTCCCAGAATCTGCCCTATCTTTATTTTAGCTCTTTTGTGAAAGCTAGACGGTGCTTGTGTAGCATATGACATTTTTTTTGTTTTCATCCAGGGTGCCAGATGCCAGATATATTTTCATAGATTCTGTCAAAAGTGTTCAGACAGAGACATAAAAGCCCACATTTAAATAAAAATTAGGCCGATCGAAATTCTGAATTTTAGAAATTGAAAGCAAATATAAATATATATTTATATAGCTAATGCATCAGAAACTTGAGCATATATATATTAATATAAATATTTTTTTAACTGAATAATAACTCTAATATTTCTACTTAGACTTTTTTGAGTAAACCAAATATTTTAGTGAACATTTTTAGAAAAATGATCTGGCATTCCTAGGCCAATGTTATCTAGGATTCAGTGTAGACTCAAGTGAATGTTTTAAGTCGGAAGCCTATCCCAGTTATTAGTCAAGCTCTGAATCTATCGGTAGCCTACTAGACTCTAGATCTAGTACTATAGTACTATACTAACTATTGCGGTATAAAGTAAACTAGATCTAATATAATCTAGATATCTAATACAATATTACCAATGTTCTGACTTGCACTAAAAGTTGTACTTAAAAGTACTTCAACATTCAACATAATAAAAAAATAATTATTAAATTTATTCTTTAGGCCCTAATAATAATATAGTAATATAAATATAAAGTTTAATTGGGCCTCTTAATATTAGTATATTAATAATTTTAGTTTAGTTTAATAACTAATACTAATTAATAGCGAGACTCACTAACTTAAAAGCGTCCTTGGTTGCTAACCAGAACATGGCTACCACACCTTGGCCTACGATTGGGCAATTTTTTCTGCTTTGTTCGAGAGACCACCTTAACATTAATTTTAAAAATAATTATCACGCGAAAAATGGCGTTTTTTTCGCGTATTTTAAGCAATCTAATGATGACAAAGCTATTTTTGTAGCTAGGCCAATGCTGCTGCCGAGAAAATCGGACAAATCGGCTTTTCCCTACCCCCTGCATGTTTAACTCTGTTTTTTGCATGCTTTTATTGTGTTTATGTTAACATGTTATACATCATTCTGTTCGTAATTGAATAACCTTTTTAACTGTATAAGTTTGATTTCTGTATTATTTCAGACGTTGAAGAAATCGCCGATTTAATCGCATTTTTTACCCCCCGCGGCGACGTGCCGATTAGGGGGAGGCTTTTTCACCTTTTTAAAAGATGGGTGTTACTTAGAGTCTATAGACTCTTTGAGTTTTCGTACTACAACAGTGAAACTTGGTAGAAGAATAGATTAAATGTTCACGTATAACGCTCAAGGTTCTTGGGGAAAATATGTTAAATACTTTTGGAGATATCGAACGGCAAAGTTGAACTAAGTTATTTGGGCTATTAATGAACCGATTTTTAATTTGAACCTTGAGCTGTATTCCTGAAATCTCGACGTTTATTAATATGTATGATATGTCATATTAGGCCCTATAATAAGGACGTCTATAGACTTTGAAGTGGACCGAAAATCAAAACATGACGCGCCGACCGCTGTCCGACTGAACCGCTCGGCTGTGCTTCGAATCGCTGTGTTTTAAATATGACGCGCTACAATTTTTTTTATAGACGTATCGAGTTTACGTACTACAACAATCAAATTTGGCAGACGAACAGATTAAATGTAGACGTACAACGCTCAAGGTTCGTGGTCAAAATAAGTTAAATACTTCGGGAGATATCGGACCGCAAAGTTGAACTAAGTTTCCCGGTCTATTATTTGACCTATTTTACATTTGAACCTTGAGCTGTATTCCTGAAATCCCGCTGATTATTTTAATGTATGACATGTATTATAACACCTCATAATAAAGCCGTCCATACATTTTAAGACGGAACGAAAATAAAAATTAACGCGTCGGCCGCCGTCCGACTGAATCGTGATCTACACATCGTGTAGCACAGCCGAGTGTGTGGTCACGTGACGCTAGGCGGTTGATCCGATTGGATGAGACTATAAACAATTTCTAAAGATAGATACGTGTTTCCCGTGTTTGACTCGTCGGGTATTGCTATTTTATATTTAAGTAGACAGGCATGTTTCATAACTTTGTTTTAAACCATTGAAACGGCAAAAAAAAAAAAGTCGTAATAGTATTTACTAATCGTCAAAATTAATCTTCTTTAGAAATTAATCCGGATAGCTGCGACCCGACCAAACAATGCTGACGTGATTCGCGTAACGTTTCATTATTGTGTACATTACTTTTTCGTAAAAATGGCTTTAAAAAATAAATTAAATTTAACCCCGGGCTCTTTTTTTTTTCGGTTGACTAAAAATTTTTAAAACCCTTAACAACGTGAAGGCTACTAGCTTGCCAAATCGACCAAAATGGGATGGGGTGGGTATGGGGAGTCACTGACCATCCTACACGGTATGTAACTATTGTAACACCGTATGTAACATCCATAGCCTCACCCCGCCCCCTCTACTCCGTGACGCGACAAGCCGAGTGACGGCGCCTTTGATGTTGTATAACACCCGTACGGTACCCGAGCGGCTCGCGGTGGTTTCATACCCCACCTCCCTCCCCCTTCACTTTGTGGAGTTGATGTTACTAACCCTCGGGCATAGATCAGGAAATCTTCCCAGACTTTTGTCTCTAAAATTACATAATATTCGTCTGACACGTTCATCGGGTTGGCCGACTAGCCTATCTAGCCTCGTGTTTACGTAAAACGGCAATAAAATTCGTTGGTCAGAAAACCTGGTTAACCATGTCTGATTTCACTAAATCTAGGCAAATGCTGATGGTGATAAACGCCTCCGGAAACTTAAAAAATGCCTAGCATCTACTACACACAGTCAAGCACTCAAACATGTGCTTTTTTCCCAATGTAATAGGCCTATGGTAGGCCTACAAAATACACAAGCTTACAACTAGCATAAACATTGAGCATATATAAATCTATGTTATAGACCTATAACTTACACTACCTTGTACAAGCTATAAAAAAAAACAATTTTCCTCCAATGTTTATGTTATTAAAATTGTAAAAATGAGCAATTTTTTTGTGTTTAAAAATATTACAAAATTATCATAAAGCACACTGATTCTGATAGGACACATTTGTAACTAGGCTAATTCTATAGAAGAAAGTTGTATCAATGGTATGACATTTAAAGTAACAAGAAATATAAATATAATAAGATATGCCTATATTTTTGGAATAGAGTAGGCCTGTAGGATTGCACATAGATTACATAACATATTTTTAGAAGTTACATCATCACAAATATACTATTATTTATAGCATCCTTCTCTTTGTATTAAAACTGTATTAGTTATCTTTTCTTTAAGTAGGCTATTCACTTAAGTTAACTGACAATGAGCAAAAGAGATTTTAAAATAAACACATGGTAAATTATGAGCAAAAGGTGCGAATTACATAACCTGACCTTTATAGTTTTGTAATAATGTTCGACTATTTTAAATATCACCATTAGCTTCAGCATATACAAATGTCATATTATGGTTTAAAACAGTGTTTAATTTAAAGAATGACTTCTTATCACACGGATTATCAGATGTTGTAAAAAAAAAATTGAAGGGGGGTATTACATAATCCATGAAATAAGTCTGTTATGTAATCAAAAAACATTTTTTAAAATAGCATCATTGGATTCGGCATACAAAAATCTACAAAATATCATAAAATGACATCAATTGGTGAAGTCTGCTTGCTTTTATACCACTTTTAGTGAAAAACTCTTAAAAATTTGGTCCATACCCTCCCAGTATTTTTCCTCTTTCAGGGTCTACCCCGATTGTCTGAAAAAACTGCTGTTTTTTAATGACAAAAAGATTCATAACTTTTTTGTTTATGGTCAGATTTTGAAAATTCAAACTGATCTGTAATCAGATTGACAGCCCCTATCCAAATATGTAACTATTATATTGTTTTACTGAAATTAAATTTTTGCATTGGCCTAGCTAATTTTTGGCAGATTTTTTTTTTTTTTTTTTGCTTCCGACATTGAAAGGTCAAACGTAAACATGGGTACAGTTTGAGTAGCTCAAAAACTTTAAATAATGGTCTCTAAGGTGTCAAAACTGCATGCCTAGGTCGAGTATTATTAGATTGATCATTTAGTGAAAAAAAATTGTAAATATTATGTTCGCCTTTTAAGAAATCGGCATCGCAAAAAGGTCACTGAAAGCACGTTATTTTTTATTGTGACGTCATCGCTATTGTTACGGAAGCTGTACAGTAGTATCCTCTCGCTGCTTATATAATTGTGTTTTCTTTTCACTTGACACTCTTTTTCAGCTTATTTTGCTAGCGTAATTAGACTAATTAAGCCTAATTATGTATATTTCACCTGACTTTTGGATTATACTATGACTCTAAAAACCCTAAAACCACAACGATCTGTTATTTTTATTTTTTTTTGTTGATCCCTGGAATTAGATCTAGATCTAGTAGTGAGCGTTGGTCTTTGTGTGCTTACTTAGGCTAATGACTTAGGCCTAATAATTTGTTTTCAAATTTGTTATAGCTTAATTAATTTGTCTTAATTCTTATTGATTTCATAAATTTTAATTAGGCTAATTATAATATTATTTTCACTGGTCTTCGTTGATACATTTATTAGGCTTAATAATGTTAATATTATTACGATTTTAGAGGCCTGATAGATAAATTAAATGATTTTAGCGTTGGGTCTAAGTTTACATTACTAATTAGTACTTAGTAAACCAAGTACGCATGGACTAGGACATGTGTGCTGTGCCCGCGTGTGGCGGGCGATGCCTCTCTCGCTGACAAACCAGCGCGAGCGAGCGAGTCGTTTGACACACGTGGTCTGTGTCGATGTTTGGAATGCATAGGCATAGGCCTAATTCTCGCTCTCGGGTGATTCATTTTTATGCGCTGACATTTGAAAAATCAAATAGACACACATATTAATTAAATACATTTAATTTGAACTTTATATTAATCTAGACCTATAATACTAATTAGGGCCTATAACTTGGGATAACAAAGTACTTGGACTAGATTTAGCGCATGCGCACACTGTGCTGTGAGTTTTCTCTCGCTGGTTGACAAAAGAACGCAGGCGGGCTAGCGATGTTTGTAATTTGCATATATCTTCGCTCACAGGCGATCATTTTAATGCGATTGGCCTCTTTTTATTTTATAGGCCTAATTAATTGTATTTGATAGGCTAACTTTTCTGGTTGACAAAACTAAGCGAGCGAGATGTCTGTCACGCGCACTGCCCGTGACGCTGTTTAGAATGTATTTCTCGCTAACTTGATGAATTTGAATGCTATTGCAGTGTTTTTTTAAAATAAATCAAATACTTACAAATCTTTACATTTTAAACTGAGCATAGACAAAACTTTGTAAATAACACACCTGTCCCAAGTGAAGTGAGAGAAGAGGGTTAGATTAATTTTACAATGACATCGCTATATTTTATGAATTGCCCTAATTAAGCATTGCTAAAACACTTACACTAGTTAATAAAACATGCATGGGATTGAATATCTTTAAAAAGATTAGATCTATACTATATATTCTTGAACATGTTGTTCATTAATTTGAATTTAGTTTTCCTTTTTAAACACCCTTCCATTTTAAAAAAAAATTAAATAAAAATATTTTAAAATTCTAGATCTAGATCTAATTCCATTATGTGATTTTTTATTCTGACGAAGACAGTGTCCATACGAATAGAAATGTGGTAATAAAATCAAATGTACTGTGCATATTCTGCTAAAATCAAATCAGCTGCAAGGTCAACCCTGCAGAGTTCGTCTCTTCAGAAAAGTAATGGCGATCTGGTTGTCACGGATTATTTGGCTTGCAATGCTTGGAGTGGCCAATTAATAAAAATCAGTAATTAACCTCCAAATGAGTTTATTTTCAACAAATTAAGTATTTGATTGATTAGAGATTGATCTCTAGTTTCCATTGGTAATGTTTAAATCGAAAAATAACGAAATTTAAAATTAGTGAGTATCTCTACTAATTAACTAGACTACCTGGTTTAACTGTTTAACTATCCTAAACCTAAAGCCTAAAAATTAAAATACTAAAAATATTAAAATATCCTTGGATAACGGTTTTGTGGGGGGTGGGGGTCAAACAAACGGTGGATCCATAAAAATGTTATCACTTTTGTTTGACAATATTTATCTTTCCCCTTCCCACTACACATTGTCACGAAAATCCAGACCACACATTTAAATAAGAGGTCACACCTCAGACATGTTTTTGTCATTTAAAAACACAGATTTTTGCTGAGCAGCCACACCTTTAAGCATAATAGATTTTAAAAATGTGATTATAAATAATACTTGTGTTATTTTTTTTATTCATGTGTAGTCAGATTATGTTTGACAAAAGATTTCAATAGCATAGGCCTATAATTATAATATTTAAATAATTTTTAAATAAAATATGTTAGTCAAGCCCAATGGTGATAGCAATTCTTCTAGGTATTATTAGGTGTCAAACCAATCTTACGAGCAATAAAATTTGTAATGTAGCTTTTCAAGTAGCTTTTGTTTTATTTTTATGTTTCTTGATTTAAAAAGTAAGCTCCTAAAATTAATTAACTTATTAATTTAGCTCATTGACATTATTTGTTTTTTTTTTAAATTAATTTGAATACATTTTTGCAGAACAGTGGATTCATCATGAATAGGTGTTTATTTTTCTTGTGCCTTCTTGTGATAATGGGTGAAGCATATTCAAGAAAAAAACGAGCCCAAGATCAGTGTGTATGCAGCAACACAGAAAGCTGCAAACATCCAAAAAAAGATCTGGGAATCAATCAAGAGGTACTTTCAAGTAACTACTGCAAATGTTTGAACAAATATTCAGCTGTTTGATACATAATTATATATAGTAACATTTTTGTAATTAGTCAGAGATCTTGTCTTCCCCTGCTTTTTATTTTCAGCACCCCACAGTTTTAAAGCAACTTTTATTTTCTTCTTTTCACTATGGTAGTTCCCAACATCAGCAAATTCTGAATTATAGAATGATTTAACAAAACTTTTGGAAGGTTTAGGGTTTCAATTTATTTTACACAGCCCATAGGGCCTAGACCAATGAAATTTATTAAGAAAAAACATTTCTAATAGGCTAAGAAAATTTTAAACAAATTTAATTCGTAAATTATTTTATTTTATTTTTAAAAGATTTATGGATTTACCTATGAATCAACCAAAGTTGAGTTATGGAGTTGGGATACATTAACAACATTGATAGTGCCATCCTCTTTCAATCCGAGCAACAGATCACATTACAATACTAAATGTGTTGCACATGATAAGGGGAGAAAATTTGGTTTTACAGGTAGGTTATCAGAGTTTTGAAAAATAGTGATAAAACAATAATAAGATAATAACAGGTACAATGGACGTTTGTCCAAACAACCTTTATGTCTTTTCATTTGGATTTGTGGCATTTAGACAGGACGTGTCCTCACTGTCATGCTAAGTCCAAAATTATGTTACTGTTTGTCCTTTTTTTCTAGTCTTTTACCACACTCTTCTGTGTTGTCAAAACGTCCATTGTACCTGTTATTGTCTTGAATAGACAAAATGGGGTGTGACATGCCCGTTTTATCACTATTTGCATAAATCTCACTGCAGCTACTATTTTTATTCACAGTTTTGGAAATAAATTTATATTTGACAGAAACTTATCATTTATAATATAATTTCAGCTTGTCTCTTGTCTTATTAACTGTACTTGTTTTTCAGTGGATTTTAATCTGTCTGGTTCAATTAATAGTACTTCAACTGATGCAATCAGTTGGAGTTCACTTGCTTTTAAAAAATGGGAAGAATGGAATGCTGAAGTAATGGTAGTAAATCTTCTGCCATACTTCCATTCTGATAACTCAAGCACAAAGGAGGATCATATGGTTTTAGTTCAAATCCTACATAATTTAAAAAGTCAAATGATTCAAGCTCAAAACATCACAATAACGGTAAAAATATTTATTTTATATGATTCTGTAAAAATATTTATTTTATACAGTTAGCCTACGTTAAAAATATTTATTTTATACAATTATGGTTAAAATATTTATTTTTACTGGGAAATTTATTTGCATGAATAGATTTCATCTTATAAGGGTGTATGGCATTCATTGCTATTTTGTTAGTTTATTGTTGTGCATTTATTAATTTCTTTTATTACTATTTAATATTATTAAATGAATATTTTTTATTAGTTTCTCTTATTTCCCTAGCTGGCATGTATATTACCATGGAAACCCCCTTGTACTGAAGATGATGAGACCTGCTACTTTACTTCTCATGCAGCGGATGTTTGTGACGTTATTATCCTAAACCCTGATAGTTTTACAGATCTTGATGGCGCCAAATGCAGGGCACGAGCTACAATTCCATTTTCTAAACTCTTTTATAGTGAGTTCTCTTCTGTGGTGACATTCTTTTGGAATATAGATATAAAAGTTAATAAGCTGTCTGCTTCAAGAATGATGACAATGAAAAACACAAATATTTATATATGCTTCATTGAATATTTTTTAAAAACAGTCTTAAAAAATGCATTTCTTAAAATTGAATGTTTTATCCTCATTCTTAGAAAATTAAGATACATTGATAGACATGTTTTTAACAATGTTTACCATATTTAATATTTTCATTCATTCAGGCATAAGTGATTATAACTCACACCATGTTGCCAACAACAGAATAATCTTAGGGGTTCCATGGCATGGATATGACTATAAATGTTCTGAAGCTCCAGTAAGTTTTTTTTTTTAATGTATGCAATGATAATTTTTTTTTTAAATTAATGTTTTGTTTCACTACTACAAAGAGTACTTTTTATTCCTCAGAAAAATGACATATGCACCCCTGTATTAGGTGAAACATGCCTTCTCAGTGAAAGAGAGCGCTTGACCTATGGTGATATAGTATCCAACTTTTCAGCCCACTATGCCAAACATGATTTTAGTGAGATGTACATGGCCCCATATTTCACATACAATGTAAGTTTAAATCTCAGCTCATTTTTTTCTTTTCTCATATTTAAAAAAAATTTGGTTTGTGTAAGAAACAGCAAAGTTATACTTTCATATACAGAAGTTGTTTTTTTTAAATTCCTGCTGTTATTGTCATTAGTGTCAGTGATTGAAGGTTAGGTTCCTGGTTCTTGTCGAGTTAGTAATAATGGCAAAAGTATAGCTTCAGCTACGTCCTACCAATGTTTTACTAGGTACTGATTATTTTTAGAATATTATAGGTTGCGGTTGTGCTTCTCACACAATCTCTTCTTAAGGAGTCATCCATTTATGATGTCTGCAAAATTTTAGGATTTTATCACAATTTCTATCAAGCTGTTTGCCTGTTAGAAATAGTGATAAAAATCTTCCTCAATTTAACTTCTTTAAGGTTTAACATTTTTATATTTTTTAAATTTAAATCTGTATTGTGCACATATATAGGCCGGTGCAGAATATCACCAGGTTTGGTTTGAAGATGACCGCAGTCTGGTTGCAAAGTACAGGCTTGTCAAAGAATTCCAACTGAGAGGTAATCCTTGCACTAAATGAGTTATTTTCTAAGTGGGAGGCACAGCTTTCTAATATTATAAAAAAAAATAGTAAAGTGACATTCATTAAAGTCTACACACGTAGATCCTACATAAAAGAAAGGAAATCTTAAATTGTACAAATGTAACATTTGTCTAATTCATTAAGTAAAAAAAAAAGAAGTAAAATTCATTCATTTGCCGTTCACTTGGTGCACAATTCTTTTTTCTACGAAGTTCTATACTATTTTTAAAAGTTTAAGAAATTAAAAATCATGTCTATGCCCAGAGTTGCCTTCACCTGTAGTGTTAAATATGTATATTCAAGAAAATTTAGGGGAGATCACTCCGTTATTTATTCTACTTTTATTGCTAATTTTGCATTGTATCAGTTTAATTAACTGGAAATTAATACTTTTCCTCTGAATGTTCAGGTATAGCCCTTATGTATGGGGATGATTTGTCACCTCATACATCAATCAACATATTAAACAATGACCTGTTCATGTGGTCTTGGCTGTCACATGAATTACTTCTACATAAAAGTCAACAATCATCTAATGGTATCCAGTGTGCAGGTTTGTTTTTAAATATTGGAAAAAAAAACTCATATTTTAATAACATTTATACTGAAGTAATCTTAATTTACACATTAAATAGGAATTAACTACATTGAAATATTTTTGAAAGTTTCGTCCATTTGGTATTCATAATAAACCTCAGGTTAGTGGCCCAGTATTTATTTTGGATGCAAAAATATGAATTCTTAGGATGTAAGGATCTTAACCTTATCTCTAATTATTTTAAAAGTGTCTTAAACCTTTGTGTAATGTCAAGAGTATAAATTAATCATTTTGCAATTACAAGGGTTTATATCAATCTAAATGTAATTTCAAGGGCCTTTGAAGGGAAATATTTCAGTCTATATATCATTGCAAGGGTATATTTCACACTTCATGTTAAGAAAATACAATTTTTTATTTCAAGAGTATGTATATGAATCTGTATGAAGTATCAAGATGTAAGAATGTTTAGTAAAAAAAAACATACTCATCATTTTTCAGAGACTGTAGCTGGTGCAGCTGTTGGTTGTCTTCTCTTGGGGACTTTGTTAGGAGTTACTTTCACTTGCCTGGCATTGAGGAATAAAGTTAGAAAACCCAAAGCACCATTTTCTCGAGATCGAAATGGGGCAGTGGAAGAGTTTGTTGATGAAGATCCCAACTTATAAATTTTAGTGTCTACATCTTTAGCTACTTAACTCTTTACAGTCCTATGTTCCTGCTATAGCCCGTAAATTTTCTTTAGTGGCACAGTCCGATGCATCCATATTTGCCTAAACTATGTACAATACATTTATATCAATGTAATAATAAAAGTCTTAAGTGGTTACAAGATTTTAAAAATAATGGCAGGAGCAGGAAATAATAACATTTATTTATAAATATATTTATTCCTAGTAGCTTCATTAGGCTATTTAACCTCACTAAAAAAAATTCAAACATTTTCCAGTATAATACCTTTTGTTTTATGTTTTTAACTTCCGTGGATATTTTAAAATAGTTTCATTTTAAAAATGTGTCGTCTTTTCGCCGGCCATATGGGAAGTAAAACTGTATATTCTCTGGACTGTAAAGGGTTAAATTTTTATCTGTTCAGGAATATTTTTGGACTTGGAAGCAAAAATGAGTAAGTTGTATTATATTCTGTATATACAAACATTCCAAAAATGGCTTTTTTAATTCAAATATTAGATTACAATATTGTATTTTGTAAATTACTCAAAAAAAATTATTTTGGAATAAGTTAACATTGATTATTTAAAATAATAGTGAAGTTGACATCTTTATACTGTATCTTGACTCAACTATGAATTTCTTTTTTTGTAACACACTTAAAACCTTTTTGAGAGAATTTGCTAAATATGTCATTCTTTATTATTTTTAAAGCTAAACTATATACAGTAGTAAGGGGTAAACTAACCAACAACCATAATTTATATACCATGTTTAAAAAATGTAATCTTGGTAGTAAAATGACCATCGATTTCCTTTTCCTAGACATTCTATGGTAAAATAATTATTTAATTATTTTGACCTATGATTATGATAAAATTCTTGCATTTGAACTTTAAAAAAAAATGTTTTTTTAAAAGATTTTGATGTCTTATTCATTTTGTGATTGTTAAAAAGAATTTCAGAAGTCACAAGTGAAAAAGTTAGGTTTTGATTAAAAAATTTTATTTGAATAACTTTAAAGGGTGACTGGAAAGATGTGCAATGGGAAACTACACACAAAAAAGTGTGAGAGCTCATTTTTGTTTTCTTAATTCGATCATTTGTAGACATACATTGTAGTATAATAAAAAAACTTTTCACAAAATATGACACACTTAAGTGTATTAGTATAATTAGTTTGTATTTGCACAGTTTTCCATTTGCACGTTTTTCTGGGAACCACTTAAAGATCTATATTTAGCAAAAAATTTATAATTTTTTTCCTGGACTGTGACATTTTTTATTTATTCTGTTGAAGTTTTAAAAAGTGGTCTATATCCGGTTTTGTCTTAAAAACCAACAACTCCAACCTATAATTTGAGGACAGTAAACCAAAAGTTTGTTGTAACAATCCAGGGGATGGTGTGTTGGATGGTTGGGCTCTAATAAAATTACCTGGCCCACACTAGAGAAAGAAAAGGTGGCTGGGCACTGTGCTGACCACACTACCCCTTCATATGCTTAAGTCACAGAAACTGGTGAACTTTAATTCCTCTGGCACATGGATCAAGCCAGTAAAGCTTTTTTTTTTAACTTGCATTTATTGTAAAATTCCAGTGCTGGCAATAGTTTTTTACTATTCTCGCTTTCATTATTCCTTAGTGGCCCCTGGGGAGCTAAGGGCTGCAGCCACACCTCTCCAGCCGACTCAGTTTTAGGCTGCTCTCTTTATATGTGCCCATGTAAGTCAATCAGCCCTTACCTCATCTTCTACTGTTCTCCGTGATTTCTAGGCTGGCCTACTTTCCTCTTCCCCTGGGGATTCCAGTCTAGCGCTTTCTTGGCAATATTATCCTCATCCCTTCTCAGGGTAGGCCCAATCCATCCCCATTTGTGGGCTTTAATGTCCTTAGACTATTACCATGCTTATAATAACAACAAACTTATCTGACATCACAATTATACCAATATTTTATAATAGCATACAGATTGTTAATCCATTTTATTGTATATCTCTATGCATTTGCATAAGTTATTAGTTACGTTTTTTTGTTATAGCTTATAAGAAAAATATTATTAACTCATTATTAATATTTTTTATTGTATCCTAGATGTAGAGATTTTTTTTGTAGCTTTTGGTAAATGTAGTTATGTATTAATCAAATGGATTTCTAATTATTTTCATCTCTGCAAATTGGTAAAAAAAAATTTTTTTAGCCGTGAACTCAATTGAAAGAATACTTTTTTTTGTCAATTACTGTATGTTTAGTTTGTTGAAAAACAAAACCAATGCTTTATCCGACTGTAGAGATATAAATCAGTGCGAACACCAGCTTCTATATTTGATTATGATTATTTATTCCAAGCATGCATTAAGTCACAGCAATTACCCTAAATTATTTGTACATAGTTTTGTTATCATTGATGCTTGTTAAAGGTTGTTTTTACATTCCTTTGTACTATTTTGTACTGATCTATTTGAATTTACCAGTACATATCATATTATCAACACAAAAATAAAACAGGTTATACTTTTATAAACTCTTCTACAGGATTTTTTACTGCTTCTAATACAATGTGTCTGCTCACACTTTTTTCATCTAAATGTGATCAATATATTATTGTTTATTTTCTTGCTGTTATTTGTTAAATTGTTATAGTTTCTTACCTTTATATTTAAATAGTTATAATATGCTGGAACAAATATTAGTTTTTGCTGTTGAGATATTAAAATGTTTAATCTTTCACAACAAAACAAATTTAAATTGAATGTTATATTTTAAAATACTTTCCACCCTAATAACCAACCCATTATTACAAAAAGCAATTGTAAAATATATTGCTAAAGGTGTGTGTGTGTGTATATATATATGTATGTGTGTGTGTGTATATATATATATATATATATATATATATATATATATATATATATATATATATACTGATATTCATTTGTGCCTTTATATTATTATTTTTTTGCAAAGTTGAGTGAATTTTTTTTTTTTTTAATTTACTTTATTGATAAATATTTTTGACCAATGTTTTCTTGTCAATGAACATTTAAAGGTTGTTTTTTTTTTTTTGGTGGATACTATTGGTTTTGTTAAACTTAAAAGGAATTCTTTTTATTAAAGAAAAAATATTTGAACATTAAGGGACTAATGTTTGTCAACTAAAGTAAGTTTTTAGCATTCATGTCATCTTATATTGTCAATAGTTTTTGCATTGGCTTGAAAGATTTATAAATATAATGTATTTAAACAGAAAAAGCTTCAAAAAACAATTAAGACCTAATAATTTTCCCAAACTTATTTTTTTTTACTACCAGTTTGCATAAAATAAGTGTTTTAAAAAAATAAATAAAACAGATTAATTCATTTTTAAGAAATATACATAGCTTGAAATCCAAATATTAATGTCCAATGAAATATTAATAAAAATATTTTTTGAGCCTCAAAACACAAACACCGAGAGGAGAGAAAAATTATTTTTGTGTGTTGGGAATATAAATCTTACCAGGGAGAAAGAAAGAAGTAAACACAGTATCAATTCCAAAAAACAATGAGCTGAATATATTTTCTTGTATTCATCTTAGCAGTAATCTCTGATTGGAAATGGGTTTTTTTTTTGCTTTGTTATAGATTAACTAGATCTGCTTTGTATTACCTTGTGTGGCTTGAGATTACACATAACATTTTACTTTGTTACATTTACTTCTTATGACAATTATTTTCATTATAGAAACCAACCTGTTTTGTGTGTATACAATCATATCTGTCTGCTACCAATACTGACAATGTAAATCTTTTACAATTTTTTTTATCCTATTATCTCTGTTAATCTAGCTCAATTAATTTCTATGTGTCTATGTCTAAATCATAGTTACGGAAAGCTAAGTATTTTTCTGTTAGTTGTTAGATAATATATTCTAAAGCTTAGTGATCCTTGATGGAAGCGCCATCTATGTGGTCATCTTACCTGCTGGTTTCTAAGTTTTTAACAATATATTTTTATGACAGTATATTTTGTCTCAATCTTTTCAGTTTGTAACATAAGTATTGAAATGTCAGTGCTTACCTTTCTCACAGTAAAATTTTTATATGCTTTTTTTTCCTAAAGGCTCAGAAATATTGCTTGATATATTTACAAAAAAATATAGAATCACTATTTGAGGATGTTTTCTGAATGTATTTTGTTTGGGTGTACTTTTTATGTTAGCATAAGCAGATGTTTTTTAGGATAAACTTTACAATAACCCCACTTGAAATAAGTTTGGTATACCCAACATGACTTATTTTACTATTTTAGCTCCTGCATATCTATTATCTAATACTTATCAATAGCTACCTGGGCTAAAAATTTTATTAAGTGTAACTTAATGTTAAATATTGTGGTTTCATATATTCTTCTTTCCAATTGAGAACATTCCATATAATACTTGATATATTTAAACATAGCTTATAGCAGATAGTTATATTTTAACTGTATTTGTATTATTGTTATTTATACATAGAAATTATTTAAATACCAGTAATTTCAACTTCATTTAATAAATTGAATTATAGCTCTTATATATAGAAATTTTGCACTCAAAATATTTGGTTTTTTAAAGTGAATAAAGTGCTTTCTTGAAGAAATATAGTTTCTTGTTCTTTGTTTAAAAAATATATATTCAGTCTCTTCATTATTTTAAACATAATATCTTCATTGTATCATAATAATTAATAGTATCAAGATATACATCACTTATACATTTTATTTTCAGAATCTATCATGTTTACTCCTCACAAATGTTTTTGATTTCATTAAACACAGTAGTAAATTCTGATTCAGCATCCTTCCGCATATTCACCAGTAGCTATATATCACTAGTAGGCTATTTGAATCTTTGTCAAGTTTAGAGCTGCAGATCAAAGTTTTCTGTTTTGAGTATTCTGCTGTCAGGAAATGTTATTGCAAAGATTTTTGAAATAACTCTTAAGGTCTAAGAGAAACTTGAAAATCATAATTGCTCCTAAAAGTTGAACCGATGTTGAAGAAGTTGTTGTATCATTTTTGCTGCAGTTTTGCACTATCATTATAAAAATATATGGGGGGGGGGGGGGGGGGGGGGGGGGGCGCCAAATTGAGAGTTTGTTTCCGGGGAGGGGGGGGGGGGGGAAATTGAAAGTTGGTCACCGGAAGGGTCGATACGCCTCTGGCAATGTGAACTACCAACTAAACTGATGCATAATTAATATTATTTATTTAAAAATTACTAGATCTATAAGACTAGTATGGATTTATTTAGAGTGCATAATGATAATTAATTGATCATCTACCTATGATGCAGATATGAGCCTAAAAATAAGTAAAAGCTAATGCTAAACTAAACTTAAACCATCATATTTTAAAAATAAAATATTGGATGATTAAAAATACCACAACAAGTTAATAAAAAGTCTATTGACAATTTAAGCGCAATTTCCTTAATTAATTTTTTGTGACCGAACGAAAGGATATTTTTGAAAACTTTCTTCGGCAATATTGTTCTAAATTATGGCAGGAATCGATTGGTAAATGTTTCAAGTCGCTAAGTGGTCTGGTTGCCGAGATATGGGCCAAAAACTGCATTTTTTTCGAGGTTTTTTGGCTTTTCCGGGAAATCCAGGAAGGAATTCCGGGAATTTTTTTGACCCACAATCATCCTCGGAACTTGCTTAACATATTTGCTTTTGGAACTAGTCCTCGATATTGCTTCGTTGAGGAGGAGATACGACTTAAAGCTGCGGACACACATCCATCACCAGAAATGACGAGTTAATAATCGCAATTGTCAGTATGGAAATTGCGCTAAAAAATAGCACTGCTATCTTAATCTATACCTCACTCCCCAGTCACAATAAATGCTTTAATTTATTATTGTAAGATATTATTCCCAGTCGTATTTAGCGTGAAAAGACAGCCGACTGTGAATAGCCTTGGCCATAATAAAATCGCTCCTTAATAAATTCCTTTGTTTCTAGATCTAGACGCTTTTCGGATGCGCTACATACATATTAATTAGACAAACATTAGGCCTACACCCACGTAGCTCACCTCTCCCCGCTCCCCTCCGACACTCCTTAACTGGTCTAACCTTGGCCAGCCTTCCCTTGGCCTACTGCGTTCAAGATTTTTTATACATTAAATTTGTGTGATAAATTAGAAATCGTATTAAATTCTACAGGCACTTCTCATCAGTGGCGTAGCGAGGTCGGGTGTCACCCGGTGCGGCACTTAATGGTGTCACCCCCCAGAGGCGTTGCGACCCTTCCCGGGGACAAACTTTCAAGTTTTCGATTTGCACCCCCCCCCTCAAGTTTTCGATTTGCACCCCCCCCCCTCAAACTTTCGATTTGCACACCCCCCCTCAAGTTTTTCTCTATATATTTTGCTACTTTTTGCCTTGGTGTCACCCCCCTAAATGGTGTCACCCGGTGCGGTCCGCACCCCCGCCCCCCCCCCTCGCTACGCCCCTGCTTCTCATCACTTAAGTGACGAAATAATAACGACACAAGTCAATAGCTGTAACTTAGGGGTCATCCATAAATGACGTCACGCTTTTTTTGACGATTTTTACCTCTCCCCTCCATCACACGTCGTCACAAAAAGACTGACCCCCCCCTAGAATGATGTCACACCTCAGCCTACAACCCCCTCAAAATTGCTGTTGAAATTTTTTTTAAACATCGTTATTTTTTTCCAAAATCTTGTCAGAACTCTGACAACATAGTATGTTGATCAATTCCTATTACAATTTATTAAATCCGTTTTCTAAATCGCGAAATAACGGCTAAAACTCGTTTTCTAACATTGCTTTTATATAATGCAAAAGTGTGACGTCACACCATCTGAACCACCCCTCCTTCCCTCTCATCACACACCGTCACGAAATTACGGACCCCCCCTCCCCCTACGAATGTGACGTCATTTATGGACGACCCCTTAACGTAAAAAAAGTAGTCATTTTGCCTTGGGGTCCATGGGGTGGTGGGGGGAGGGGGGGAGGCTGCCTAAGCCACTGTAGAATGTGTGTGGAATGGGTATTGGGGGAGATGTCCGTACATACATTTAGTATCGATACACTATATTTAAACTATATTATGTTATTTAAATTGTTGTTCATTATTATGTATTTTAAGAAAATAAGAAAATTTATTTATTATATACTTTTTAGTAAATAATTATATAAAAGCTTGTTATCAAAATGTTTTCAAAATTAATTTTTGAGTCATATATTTATAATTTTAAATTAACTAAAATAAATAAACTCAAAAAAAAAAAAACCCCGGCAACGAAAAAAACTGGCAATATAAATTGAAAATGCTCAACAAAGGGCCAGCACCCTAAATATTTTCAGAAATCGACGTTTTCGCAAATAAATAATTAAACATTTTTAGTCTTTGGGCTTTCGGCCTTTTATTAAAATGGGAGAAATAACCAGAACAAAGGATTGTTTTCTTTGGTTTATGTCATTAATTTATTTATTTGCATTCTCATCGCTCTACATACAAATTCCAGGTGCATAAAATAATAAATAGGCCTACAAAAAAAATTTGCTTTTACTTTTCTAAATCTAAACTTTAGATTTTTATTTTAAAAGTTAGGCCTAGGGCCAAGTCATTTTATTTTAATTTTTATGACATCATTTTCATTTTGTGCAGTCTTGACTTAGTAAAATGAGTTTACTCAAACTCAACACTGACTAAAAGTAGAGTATAGGCCTAATTATATTTATAATTGATTAGTTAGTAGAGACTCACCCTACCCTCTACGAGTCTACTCACCTACTGATACTCAGTCAGCTGAGTCCACAGTCCACACACTATTTCATGGTGGTGGCTAAAACAAATAATAATATAATAGGGGTCTACAAAAAATAAACATTTGCAAACATCCTAGCTAGATCTACTACAAAATTGTTTTATGCTGCAATCAGTAGTTAATACTACTAAATCAGTACAACAGAAAGAGACAAGATGTCATCATGGTAAAAAATGGTTTAATTTACTGTGGGGCACACCAATATGCTACAAATCATCATGCAAATTTAGCATGTTGACACTCTTGGTTGCTAATGATTTTAAAGGTGACCCGTCAAAAGAGCGCCGACATAAGAGCGCAGACAAAAGAGCGCCGACATAAAAGCGCAGACAAAAGAGCGCCGACATAAGAGCGCAGCCAATTAAAAAAACACATGTTGTACGCTAAACGAATATGACATGGTTAGCACTTGTTTTAATTAAACAATCGGCGGTACGATAAAACGACGTGTTTATTTATATATTATGTTTAATATGTTATGAATGCAGTTTGAAAATATTTCTAACCCAAGTAACATGGAGAAGATCGAATCACAGAAAGGGAAGGTTATTATATTGGTCGAAGGCTACAGATGTGGAAAGGACAGAGCAAATGCTGGTGGAAACAATATAAATGCAACTATAAATAAATGTTTTATTCATTTGAAATATATTTTCATTTTGTTACATTTCATTTCAGTTTATATTCTAAATTTAGGCCTAACATTTAAAATCGTTGTATGTGTTATTAAATTGCGTTTTGAATAATTGGACTTCACGTTGATTTTATCACTTTTTTAGTTAAAGAAACTGAACAATTAGTTTTTTAATGAAACAATAAAGAGTTAACATCAAACGATGCCTTCTGATCTAAGTTAATTTTTATTAACCATTAACTATGGTTTTCGATCTTTAGTTTGCGCTCTTATGTCGGCGCTCTTTTGTCGGGAAATTAGTGCGCTCTTATGTCAGCGCTCTTATGTCGGCGCTCTTTTGTCTGCGCTCTTTTGTCGTGCGCTCTTTTGACGGGGTGCCGATTTTAAATGCTGATCATGGGGATGGCGTGGTCGAGTAGGTAAAGCTCATGGTCGCTAAACCGAAAAAGTCTTGGGTTCAAACCTACAGGTAGTTGAGGCTCGAAATCCAACTCAAGTTTATGGATGTTAGGCTCTGTATAATGAATGTATAGTTTAGGCTTTTATTTGAGATTTAGATTTTTTATCTCGACCTAGTAGGTTTAAAAACTTAAAAAGTAGGTCTTGACTGGCTCAACTTGCTCTTAGTATTGAAATTACATCTAACCTCAAACAGTGGCTTGTGCTTGTGTGGATTTACATTTTTTTTTATCATAAGAGGGGGGGGGGATTAAATGAAAACCTTGCTGCTCTCACTGAATTTCACTAATATTTTAATATTAGATTTTAGAACGGGATGTTTGTCCATTCTATGCCAGATAAATTCACCATTTTTTGTGAGAAAAGAACCTTGTTAAAACTTAAACAAGCAGGTCAGTTTTTAAGTAAAACAGGTTCCAGTCACAAATCAGCCTACAATTAATTAAATTAGATAGGCCTACTAGCTTCAAAAATAATATATTATTTTATTATTTCATTTTTAGGAATTATTTTACACCAGAATTTAAAAGCTTAAGTTTTATTTCACTTAAGTTGCAACTTACAACCTTAGTGGGTATTTCAAGTTTATTCACATTAATGATGTTTAGTTAACTTCCATTCATTCCACAGTTACAGTTATATCATACAATACACATACATCTTTTTGTAAAAAAATAACTTACAATTTGAGCCACAGTGAACTACTTTTACTAACAAATAATTAACTTTAACTTTGATTAAAATCTAGTTCTAGACAGGTAATAATTTAAATTACTACTGGCAACTACAAATAACAATCTCCTATTATAAAAAAAATTTCAAATCATTATTTAATGTTGTTCTACCTTGTTTTTCTCTAGGATTGTATGGAGACAATGGATTGTTGCCAGCAAGATTAGTGATGAAAGAAGGTACAGTATCATATAGATGATTAAGACTTGTGACTTATAAAATGTTGAAAATCAATTAATACCATCTCATCACGTTATCTTATGAGAAGCTATTAAAAACAAATCATAAACAGTTTTGACAAACTGAAACTTAACTGTATAACTTTTTCCTTCTTCTTCATTCCTTGGGGAGTACACATAACAATTTTATAATATTGCCTTAACAGGTGGCTCCACAACATTCTATCCATATTTGCTGCAGTGTCAATTGACCTTTTCTATTTTGTTTAAGCCTACTCATTTTCTATTTGCTGGGGTGGGGGGGGGGGGGGGGGTCAAACTAATTCCTGTCCTGGCATTATAGTCTTTTATTATCTACATTTTACAGTACTACATCTAATAAAAATTTTAATACAAATTTTAAATCATACAAAAGTAGGATGTTGAATTATGTGCAAACATAGAGTTAGACTGAATATATTTGTATTACCAGGCATTTATTATTTACTAGATGTTAGCATTAAAGTTAGCCTATTTAAAGTTTAACTAAATTAAAAAAAAACAATAGCTTGGGCTAAAGATTTTGCCATTATAATCATTTAACTAAAAAACCTGAACTTGTGTCTAGATGAAAAAAGCAACTCATGGCAGCAGTTAATGGAAGGCAGCCCCACCCTGCTGAAGCTGATGCCCAACATAGGGCTGGACACGCAGACGGGCATGGACCTGCTGTGTCTGGCAGGGATGCTGGTCTCCTTCTTCTGTGTCGTCTCACAGACAGCCAGGGATTTCATCTCCTTCACCTTGCTCTGGATGTTCTACCTCTCACTCTACCAGGTCTGATTACTTCCCTTACACTACACACTCATCAAAGTTTTACAAGAGCTACATAAAGTCCCTATATCATTTTTTACATTCATTATTACAAAGGCAAACAAAAAGATGTGAAAATTATTACAGAACAGAGCAAATACATATCCTTTTTTTAAAAAAAATATTGCAGAGGGGAAATAAAAGAATTATTCATACATTGAAGTGAAGTTGCCTTATTAAATACATCTCTATATAAGCACCATTAGTTATATTAAGTACATTATGATATACAGTAGCTCACTATTACAAGTAATGACAATTATGACATCTGCATCAGATTGGCAGTGTTTTGTAACTTTGTTCAGTACATGATATTATCTATATCACAGAGGGGTGATAAATCCGTAAAGAGATTTTATAGACATTCTGGTTATTGCATTTTTAAGTTATTTAATTTGGTCAAAACATTTTTTGGAACTGGCCTAATGAGTAATACACAATAATAATGTTTTATATATAATGTAAATAATTTTAATGGTTCTTAGTAATTAGATGTATTGTTTAACTATGTTATTATACTCTAATCCTAACACTGTTATTTTATTCTAATAAAAAAGTTTAGCGAATTCTTAAAACTACTTCTACAGGTTGGGCAAACATTTTTATGGTTCCAATGGTAAGTAAAACACTTCATTATCTCTGTTTAATTATCAATTAGAAGAAAACAAACAAAACATTAACATTGTGTTCATAAATCACATTAATTAATCATTGGTTTAAGAGCTTATATTTTGTTGGTAAGTATTAAAGAAAACAGACACTCATCTTGTAAAGATAATTACAATTGATGTATTATTACTCTAAAGCCATCATCAGCTCCCAACTCAGTGATTAAAGTCTTGTATTGATACAAAACCTTGAGCCGCAGTCTGTTATGTCATTGTGATGCTAAAAACTCAATCCGTTGTATAGTAATTGTAGTACATGTATATGATAGCCACACTTAATTGTTTTGCTGACAGGGATATTCTGCTGCTGGAGGCAGGTTTTCTGACGCTGCTGGTAGCGCCCTTCAACCTCCAGCTACTGGGGCGACGCTGGCCAGTTGGGTACCCACATGATGGTATCACACTGTGGCTTGTGCGCTGGCTACTCTTTAGGCTGATGTTTGCCTCAGGTGTTGTCAAGCTGACCAGTCAATGTCCTACCTGGTGGGGACTTACCGGTATGTTTTTAGTGGTTACATCATCCACGTTAGAAAATCTCTCATTTAGAAGTGTGCTTACAAAAATATTAATTTTTATTTTGTTATTGAGTTGATGTGGTTACCTGGCCTTGCATATGATTTTATTACAAAAAAACTTGAGTTTGGTCACTGGCCTCAAATCTTTAGCACATCCCTGAGTTCACCCAGCCCTAAAGGGTACCTGGCTCAGGTCAGGGCTCAACCAGGACCAATTCTTGTACCATCTACAGGTTTAGTAATATACTTGTATATGAGGGTGGCGTAGATTGATATCCATGGTTTGCTTACTTCTGTCCATAAAAACATATTAGACTTGGATTTCTGTTATTTTAAACTTAAAATCAACATTACACATTTTTTTAATTGCTTTATAAGATAGATTTTTTAAAAGTTTTCTTTATTTTCTTTACAGCTCTGACTGTCCACTTTGAGTCTCAGGTAATTTCTTTTATATTAGTGATTAGTGTTTATTTTAAATATGATTCCTTTCACATTGTAACAGAACCTGCAGTATAAAAATTTTTCCACCACATTATCACAGATTCTGTCAATTTAAGTTGAAATTTCTAACAAGTTACTATGTGATTTCTTGCAAATAACTACAGAACCTGTAAATTGAAGTTAAATGTGATTATTTATCTAATTTTCTCAGAAAAATCTGTAATGTTAAAATTTTAAGATGTGATTTCTACCAAGTTGCAATATGATTTCTACCAAGTTACAATGTGATTTCAAGCAAATTATCACAGAACCTGTAAATTAAACTTAAATGTAATTTTTTTAAAATCACATCATCTCAGAAAAACCTGTCTCTGTATGGAAGTTAAAATGTGATTTCTATCACCTCATCACTGACCTTGTAAACAAATGTAAAAATGTGATTTCTCTAACCACCAGTGTAAAAATGTGATTCCTCTAACCCACAGTGTATCCCAACCCCTGCCGCCTGGTACTGGCACCAGTTACCTGAGTGGTTCCTCAAGCTGAGCTGTGTGGCCACGTACATCATAGAGATACCCATCCCATTCCTGTTTTTCTCACCTGTCAAGTCTCTCCGTCTCTTTGCTTTCTGGTCTCAGGTAGGAAAACAATTTTTTTTTCATTTTTATAACCCATAATATTGGTAAATGTCTGACACAGTTTTTTCTTCATTTTATTATTTCACATTTGCCAAAATTTAAATTTAAAATAACCAATTGCTTGATTGCCAAGTCTTAATGTTGATTTTTATTGCCTCAAAAATCTATGTCTTTTATGTTTTGAGTTGTCTCAGAATGTTATTAAAATGAAAAACAATCACACCTCATACTTTTAATTTTTATATGCACTTTGTTAATTTATAACTTACAAAGCTACAAGGTTATTAAAACATTTTGCTAGAATAAATATTTAGAAACAATACTGCAGTAAATTACAGTTTGAAACATTAAATTACAAACACCTTAACAGTTGCCTTTTTAAAGATTATCACAGTTTGCTATGTTTTATGTACATGTCCTTATCACAGTCTTTTATTTGATCTTATGAAATCACAACACAGTGTCATCTACTCCACAAATCATTGCAGAGTTTGTTACACAGTTTAGCAGTAAGAAAAATGAGTTCAGAATCATGCCCAGGGCTTTAGAAAATATATTCATTTATAAATAGTGAATATATTACGTAACTTAGTGTTTTCAGATTTAAAACTAAACAAATACTGTTCAGCTTTAGTTTGCTTGATGAAATTTTTGTAAACCAAGTTGGTTAGTGTAGTAAATGTCACCTGGCATGTTAACTTTTGAAAGACATTGGTTTAATGAGTCGGCTTCCTCTGCGTCCTGGGGTGTAGTTTTTGGCCCCGTCGTTGTCACCCAGTTTGAGCAGCTGGAGACTGCTGGCCCCCATGGGTATGGTCAGCTTCCAGTAGAGGCCGGGGTACTTGAGCAGCAGTGTGTTGATCATGTCCACAAGCTCCTCCATAAAATCTTGGACCCCAGCAAACTCCGGCCCTCTAACCAGCACGGTCAGGAGGGTCGTTGACCCCTGGGTGGAGTGCTGAAGGAGCAGCTTCTCTGTCTCACTGCAGGCGTAGATGTGGTCCTTCCAGTCCATCCTCTCGTCCACCACGTCCTGCAGCTGGACGGACACGCTGGAGAAGATCTCAGGGGGGAAGTGAAACTCAAACTCGTAGATGACCGCTAGTTCCTTGTGCCCGCTGACCTTAGGCCAGACCTCCTGCAGTGGGGAGGTGTCCGTGTCTCTGTTGTACCAGGGCAGCACAAGGAGTGGACGCGCGTACAGCGGGCCAGTTGGCACGTCTGGTTCTGGCACGGCAAAACAGATGTCAAACAGGGGAAGTAACTCTAATAATTCCGCCACACTGTCGTTGTTTAAGTTGAGGTCAAACCAGAGACAGTTGAGCAGTGGGCGGGAGATCTGCCCAGTCTGGATGAAGAGGTTTGCTGTGTCCTGGAACTGGTGCAGCTTGAGGCGCCCTCTGCTGAGGAACACTTTGTTCTCATACTGCAAGAACTCAGCTATGTCATGCCTGAATAGGCTGGCAAAGATCTCCACCAGGAACCTTGGCTTGTGGAAGACGATTTCAGAGAGCCCAGGGAGCTGATCATACCAAAGGACTTCATCAGTATTGTGGAGGTACTTGATGCATTCCTTGAGTTCATCCCCCTGTATATCAAACTTGTGTGCTGTCACCTCCATGTCCTCCCAGTAAACATAGAAGCCTTTGCTTTGTTTGATCACTGCCCCAAAACGTTTCCAGCGACCAGGCACTGGGGACTGAGCATGTGGGAACAAGCTTTTGTCTATCGCAATATGCTCCAGCTCATCAATCAGAGGCAGGATGCCTTCAAGTGTGTCTGCTGAGCTGACTGATGCCACCCCAGGGAGGATTCTCAGTGGGTGGAGGAGAATGTCTTTGATTTTCTGCTGCCTGACTCGCAACATTTTCAGAGCAGCTTCTTCAATGTCTGTTAGTTCAGACGAGCCAGATTTCTCCAGCTTGGCGATGTCTTTTTCAATGATTTTTAACTGCTGCTGGTACTGTTCCTCTTGTTGGCTCAAGTGTCTGGCCACCATGTCCCGCACCAGTTCATGGTGAGGGGGGTCAGGCACCAGAGGCGTGCTGGTGATTCTTGTGCTGTTCTGGTCGTTGACACTCTCAGAGAAGGCATCATTTTCCTCCTCTCCATCAAGGTCAACTGACGCTGCGGACAACAGCTTGAGTTCATGTTCTGAAGAAAAGAATGTTTTTGTTTCGTCGTCGTCTTCCTCAAAGTTGAGCTGGTCAACGTGTGTCCCGATGATTTTGACCACAGCGCCAGGTGTACATGTACTCAACAGATCCAGCCACTGACCAACTGCGTGGTAGAAATGTTTCTCACTGAATGTTGCTGCGTTGTAGACTATGAGCTTGAGAGACGTGCTGTCTAGGAATGTTTTATAAAGCATCTGGTACGTGTTGTCCCCCCCGAAGTCATGGATGGCAAACTTGACTTTGTTCTCAGTCTCCCACTTGGTGTGCTGTACAAGTCGTGTCCTGTCCCGCAGTCCTCCAGTCAGCATGGACTTCCTCTGTGTCATTGACTGTACCAGACTTGTCTTCCCACTCTGAGTTTCCCCCAGCACCTCAATCTTCTGCCTCTGCAGGTTGACTGTGTTCATTATCAGGAGTTTCTTGAGGTACTCAAATATATGTTCCGGGCGCTGGGTGCGCCACACCTCAGGGGGTGGCTGCTCCAGGGGGTTCTTGTAAAGCCACAGCCCTGACTTGGTCATCTGGTGAAAGCAGTGGGCCTTGGTCAGGTTGGTCAGCTGGAAGAGGTGTATGGGCAGCGACCTGATCTCATTGCTGGTCAGGTCCAGAGTGTGGAGCTGTGTTAGCCCACACACTTCCTCTGGCAGGACCTCCAGCCTGTTGGTCTCTAGAATTAAAATCTTCAGTGCCTTCAGATCTGGGGGGAGAAAAAGTAACTTGTCATTTTTTTTAATTATTTAAAATTCAAGGTTGTTTTTATGCTTGGTGTAACATATTGGTAGCTATGTAAATATTTTTTTTTAGAACCTTTTGTTTCTCTATCCTCTTAGCTAAAATCATTGCAAAAAAAAAATAATTTTTAAGGGCAGGTTAAACCCCCAAATTGAAATTTAGGTGTTAGGACTTTTTTGAGTGATAAGGAAGTTGTAACTAGCATAGTATATGAAAATAAACCGGGAGTGATCTCCCCTAAACTTTCTCGAATATTCTTATATAAAATAACGGGATGGGAACTCGGGCTATAGACATGATTTTTTAATCCATTTTAAATACTTAAAGTTTTAAAAATAGAATAAAATCTCGTAGACAAATTAATTGCACACCAAGTGAACGCGAAATAAAAAAGCGCATAATAGTGCGCAATATTATTATTACTTTTAAAATTTACATTAGTTTTTTGAGAAATCGGAAGTAGCGTAAAGTACTACTTCCAGTCAACGGAAATGACTCAAAATTTAATAGAAGGTAGAGAATTAGATCTTTTACTTACGTATGAAATTTCATTTATCTATCTGAAATAGTACTCAAGTTATAGGCTTTTGAAAAATTCAAAGTAGGAAAAGTACCACTTCCGGTTATCGGAAATCGCTCAAAAGTTGATACGGATCTACGATTTTGATTAAATACTCTGTAACAGTAGTAGTAGACGCTCATAATGTAGCAACTGTTGTTGCCCCCACTTCTGACACCATATGTAACAACATGTATTCTTTGTTGTTGTGGGTTTCATACAGGAACACGAGCAACAGTGGCAACTTGAAATGACAACTTTATTTACACTATGTACAGATAAATCCGTGGTACATCCATATTTGAAGATCAACTGATATAGGTACAAATAATAATCACGACTCCAAGTCATGGAGACATCTTACATTCACTGCCCTCGTTCCAGTCCCAAGTCCTAGCACACAACACCCGTTCACCTTTTGCTCTCCCTTTTATTCACTCCTTTCTCTCCCCTTACGTACATGAGCGATCTCACCCAAAAACATGGAAAAACACATGACGATCGCTCAAACAGTCCTTCCGCTAGCCAGGTACTCTTCATTCATGCAACTTCATGTAAAACACAATAATATAAACATATCTAATTATACAGTCTGTGACACGTCCCCCCTTCAAATAAAATTTTGTGTAACAAAATTTATAAATACAATATTGGTAGGGCAGGACCATGTGCCAGACAACAAAAATTTTTATATATCTCAAAAACATGGAAAATACATTCTTTGTAGATTAATGCACAAGCATTATGTGTAATATATTCAAATATGAGAAGGAAAAACATTTCAATTACCCAGTAATTGTAGTATAAACAAGATCAATGAGTTTAGTAAATTACCAAACTATAATACATAGTTGAAATTATCAAAGACTTGATTCAACTCATAATTTAAATAACTATATCCTATGTGGTAAAAAAAACTTCCTTATCATCAAGGCATGTTATTACGACTCATGATTAATATACTTTGTTGTCTCCCCTAGTTGACCCATTTCAGACAAATCTAGGTCACAACACAATCACATTCTTGCCTTACACAGGTATTGACTAATACACAATACATCATTGAGACTTCCGTCTTATTGTTATGCGGAATAAATAGTCTCTAACTTTTATTTATTTACTTTATTCACTGTTAATTAATAGTATAGAATAGGTTTAACATAATACAGTTTACAATCTTTTGAAATAGTACACATTTTATATTACTGATACAAATTGTTTGATATCCATATTCTACAGTTACAGACTGTATAATATTAATAAACTGTAAATTGATAATGTATTATTATCCCAATATTTTTATTATAAATGTTGACTTATGTGGTTTAGGGTAGGCTCAGTTTCTGTACTGTCAACATTTTGCCGAGACAAAAAATCTGCTACTACATTATCCTTCCCTTTTATAGACTTAATTTCATACTGAAAATCCAGCAGAATCAATAACCATCTGTTTATCTTGCTGTTGGCTATCCATTTGTTGTTCATAGCTAACAATGGCTTGTGATCGGTGAGGAGAATGAATTTTGTTCCTAATAAGTATTTCTGCAGTTTGGTCATGGACCATACAATGGCCAGACATTCTTTCTCTACGGTTGAGTAGTTTTGTTCCGTTTTATTTAGTGATCTACTCAGATAAAATATAGGCCGTAGTACCTTGTCCACTTCTTGCATTAAACATGCACCCAATCCATAATTTGAAGCATCCGTTACCAGTGTTAGTGTCTTCTCAAAGTTAGGGGCAGTAAGCGTTACTTCATGTTCAAAGTACTGCTTTATTAGCTGTAAAGCATCCTGACATTCTTTAGACCAATTTATTGTTCTACTGCTGTCCTTGGTAATTAGCTGTCTTAGAGGTAGAGTTATATCTGAGTACTTGGGTATGAATTTGCTGTAGAAATTAAATAGACCCAATACACCTTTGACTTCTTTCTTGGTTTTAGGTATTTCTAAGTTGAGAATTTTATTTTTATTTCCGTCAGTAGGTCTAATTTGATTTTTGCCTACTTTGAATCCCAAAAAATCCATTTCTTCATTTGCAAATTTTAACTTTTCAGGTGCAATAGTCGCGCCATGCTCCCTTAATTTTGTTAGTACCTCTCTAACTGACTGCATATGTGTCTTGATATCCTTAGAATGAATACATATGTCATCAACAAAATGTACTACATTCTTTATATCTGCCAGCATTATTCTCATAAATCTGGAGAATGTTGCTGTTGAATTTACTAGGCCAAAAGGCATAACATTCCACTCAAATAATCCTTCATCAGTTGTAAACGCTGTGTAGTGTTTGGATTCCTCATCCATACCTATTTGCCAAAAACCTCGGTTTAAGTCCAGATGAGTGAAAATTGTTGAGTTCCCTATCTCTTCCAATAGTTCATTAGTATCTCTCAGTGGTTCTGCGTCTATTTTCGTGATTTTATTCAAATCTCTATAGTCACAGCAAATTCTTACTTTTCCATTCTTCTTTTTTACTATCACCATTGGTGAAGCTACAGATGAATTTGAGCGTTGTATTTTGTTAGTTTCGATCAAATGATTTAATTCTTTCTTCACTGCTTCTCTGTATGCATAAGGTACTGCATATTGTTTCTTTTTGAAATTAGCATCCTTGTTTAATTCTATGACATGAGTAATCGTTCTTGTGTAGCCAGTATCTTCAGTAATGACATCTTTGAATTCGTTCAATAACTGCTGTAGTTCTTTTCTGTACTTCAGCGGAGTAATTTGCTGGATTTCTTCTTCTGTTTGAATTATGTTCGCTAAGGTAGGTTGTTCCTCTATAATTACTACGCTAGATTGTTCTTCTATTTGACGTTTTGGCAGTTCTTCATCACGACCAACTTCCTCATTTATGTCAGTGTCATGTGTATTAATGTCCTCCATCACCTGAGTTATCTGATCAGGCATGTTATCGTATTTCCTCAGTAGATCAACATGTACTATCTTTATTGTGCCTTTGATGTCCACAGCATAATCTACTTCGTTCACTTTCTTTTTAATCACAAATGGTCCCTGCCATAATTTGACCCCTTTCCAGGTAGGTAGCCAAACATAGACATTGTCTGTCTCCTTCAATTGCCTGAGGTATCTATTTTTGTTTTTCAATTTTCTCTGTCTACTTGCCTCTCCCTCCGCATTTTGTTGAGCAGATTGTAATCCATATACCATTTTGCTTTTCTTTTCAGTAATGAACTCAAAAGCATCTTGTTCAGTGATTTGAGTGCCAAGTAATCTATCATTTAGCAACGAAAGCGGCCCTCTTGGATTTGATCCAAACATTAATTCAAATGGCGAGTACCCCGTCGCGTCATGCACTGTTCCTCTATAGGCGAACAGTATCGCCGGAATATACTCATTCCACTCCTTAGGATGATCTTCTGTAGCTTTTGCTAGCATTACCTTGAGTGTTTTATTCCACCGTTCACACATACCGTTTGCTTGCGGTCTGTAGATGGTCGAGTGTACCTGAGTGATCTTCAGCAGCTTTGTTAATGCATTAGTCACATTAGAGGTAAATTGTTTGCCGTTGTCTGACAGCAGAGTTTCAGGAAAACCATATCTTGAAAAAATGTCTAATAATGCAGAACATATAGTTTCGGATTTTATATCCCTTAGGGGTATAGCTTCTGGCCATCTGGACACCATGTCTATTAAAGTTAGAATAAATCTGTGACCTTTTTTTGATGCAATTGGTAGAGGTCCTACTATGTCTATAGCCACTTTCTCAAACACCCTTCCTATTTTATCAGTTGGCTGTATAGGAGCAATATGTTTGCTGTGTAGATGATTTTTAGTTATACATTGCTTGCATTTACCAATGTATCTTTTCACATCCTGATGGATTCCCGGCCAGAACGAGTTGTCAAGGATTCTATTTATAGTTTTCCTGACTCCCATGTGCCCAGCCAAAGGACTATCATGTGCTGTCTCCAAGACTAGACCTTTCAGTGTCTCTGGAATGACTATTTGTGTCCTTTTAATGCTGTTATTCTGAAATATTCTAACCAGTATATCATTTTTTATTTCATAGCAGTGGCCTCTGTACTTTCCTTGTCGTTTATTGATGTTATTCATCAGTTTTTTTGTGACTTCATCCTCTTTTTGTAGCCTTGCCATCTCAGGCGCTGTTAAGTGCGTTTGTACTATAGGTTTTAGCTTCTCTGCGTTATCATCCTGTATAATGGCGTTTACAACCATCTTACCTTTCTTGGCTTGCCATGCTTCTAAAAATTTCATTGAGTCATCCGGAATACCCGGGATGTTGCCAACTATTAGAGGACAAATAGGGTTCTCCATCACAACTGCTGTGAATGAACCCGTAACCCATGGGCAGTCTATTTCAATCTTCGCCATATCACAATGGATAGACATCCTATTAGCTAACCTGACCTCTTGTACTTCTCCGGTGTAATCTGATTCTTTTACCATTGCTTTGTCAACAATCAATGTTGTACAGCCTGTATCCCTTAGGCAAAGTGTGTTTTTCCCATTCAATACCGCTGGGAAATAAAATAATCTTCCATTAGCATCACGGGCAGTAGCTACTATTTGTTTCGCTTCCGTATCACCGTTATTATTTTTCTGCCTTTCAATATTATTAAATGACAGCCTACTTCCTTGGTTGAAAGAATTATTCCTGTAGTCTTGCGGGTTTCTGTTGGTACCACTATAGTATCTGCTTGGACTCGGTGGTGAATATTCCCTACGGTTAGTATAGTCACCGCTGTTTCTATTGTGCTGGTATCCCCAGCTCTTATACCTCCCACTGCTATTAGGACCTTGTCGCTGTCTGTCATTCATATTGTTCAGCCTCCAGCATTCAGCTCGCATGTGACCTTCTTTATCACAGTGATAACATGTTATCCTTATTGGTCTACTCTTTCCAATGTTAGGCAGGCTGTTACGCCTTTTTCTTGTCGGCGATTGTGTTCTCGGTAGCTGTTCGTATCTGCCCGCTACTGTCTGTGCCAGTACGGTTTCCTCTGCCGACAACTGCTCATGGGGGTGTGAATCCCTGAACGTTGCCACCGCTATTCTAAGCTGATCTTCCGTTTTTATTTTCCTTTCTTTTAGAAAGCTGAATAAGCCCTTGCCCGCTTCATCATAAATTTTGAGGATTAGAAACTGATCTAACAGAGCCTTTGGATCAGTTGTGTCTATCTCCGCTAGTTCAAAGTATTTTAGCAAGTTTTCCTTCATTTTAAATAAAGTGGCCGTTGTGTCCAGGTGGCTCTCCAGTTTCATCGCCACAAAGGCTTTTCTATATTCGTCCTCTGACTTCCCATAACAAGTGAGTAGTTTCTTTTTAATATGGTCATAGTCCTTTTTTTGAATATCAGTAAGCGTGCCAATTATGTTTAAACATTCACCTGTGAGCCTGCTCAGCAAAGTACTTGCCCACATGCTTCTACTGTAGTTATTAGTTGTGGCAATCCCACTTCTGACACCATATGTAACAGTAGTAGTAGACGCTCATAATGTAGCAACTGTTGTTGCCCCCACTTCTGACACCATATGTAACAACATGTATTCTTTGTTGTTGTGGGTTTCATACAGGAACACGAGCAACAGTGGCAACTTGAAATGACAACTTTATTTACACTATGTACAGATAAATCCGTGGTACATCCATATTTGAAGATCAACTGATATAGGTACAAATAATAATCACGACTCCAAGTCATGGAGACATCTTACATTCACTGCCCTCGTTCCAGTCCCAAGTCCTAGCACACAACACCCGTTCACCTTTTGCTCTCCCTTTTATTCACTCCTTTCTCTCCCCTTACGTACATGAGCGATCTCACCCAAAAACATGGAAAAACACATGACGATCGCTCAAACAGTCCTTCCGCTAGCCAGGTACTCTTCATTCATGCAACTTCATGTAAAACACAATAATATAAACATATCTAATTATACAGTCTGTGACATACTCATATATGAAATTTCATCAACCTAGCTGTAACGGTACTCAAGTTATCGTGTTTACACACGGACACACACACACACACACACACAGACACACGGACAAGATTGCAAAATTATGTTTTTCCGTATCAGTGAGATGCAAAACGTCGAGATTTGCAAAAATCTCGATTTTTTTTTTTTTTGCACGATTACAAGACTTTCTCTATACTTCGTATATACGAGAAAGTAAAAATGCAAAAAAATCACTAAAAAGTTATGGTTTTGAGAAAATATTTTCTAAAAAGTGTCATTTTTAGGGTAAAATAGCTCAAAATTAACTCTCATTGAAATCAAAATAACACAGCTTCTGTTTGTCAGAATAACACAAATCTTTAATATAGTGTAATATACGCAATTACAAAAAAGATGAACTAAAACAATTAGAAAATAATAAAAAATGGATTTTAGCCAAGTTTTTTAAAAGTGAGACCTAAATTTTTTCCAAAAAGTAGGGAGTAGACTTAGCTTTTTTTTTATACAATGAGAAGTTTCAAAGATATAGAAATTCTTTTAGTTCACCTTTACAAACAGTGTTTAGTAAACATGTGTGCAAAATTTCAGCTAAATATCTCAAGTAGTTTTTGAGTTATAGTGATTTAACTGGTACTATTTTGTTGAAAAGTAACATTTTGAGAAAAACGCTAAATAGTGAAAAATATACTAAATTTGAAAAAAACAAGAAAAAGCAAAAACTATACCAAATGAGTCATTTTTAAAACCTCCCAGTTACATAAATTGCATCTGGAGCCTCTTACTCAGCAATAAGAACATCTATTTTAGTTAGTTTTTAATTTTTATGTTGTTAAATGTTGCTTAATACAGGTGAATTACGTCATTAGTCTCATTAATTAAAAAATTATAAAAAATACTAGCAATACGAAATTTTGCAAAACGATTATACAAAAATGTTCAAAATTGAATGTAGTTTCAGAAACAATAGATTTTCTAAAATCAACATTTCTGACTTAAATATGTATTTGGGGGGGGGGGGGGGGGTGAGTTTGGATATGCTGCTTTAAATAGTAATAACTTTTCCTAGTGAATGCAACATAAGTTGATCTGTTGTATAATTTAAGTATGTTTTGTTTACCTTTGATTTCTCTTGGCAAGACCTTTATTCTGTTCTTGGCTAGATTGAGTTCCTCCAGCAGGCTTAAATTTCCCAGGGTAGCTGGGATGACCTCCAGGCTGTTGTTGGCCAGTCTCAGGACCTTGAGCCCCACAAGGTCACCTATGCTGTCCGTCAGCTCTGTCAGTAAATTGTGGGACAGGTCAAGCAGGCGCAGTTGTCTGAGCTTGAATATACCAGGTGGGATGGTCTGGGGATATGAGAGGAATAGTTAGCTACACATTCATAGCTGGGAACTTTATGAGAACATTAGAACCACTGGGTCAGGCTGCTTTCTCTACTCTTTAACATCCTCAGCATTTGTTTTTAAATTTTAACGAGCCATTATATATTTAACTAAAGATATTTAATTAATTTTTAAAACTTATATGAGGTTTTTGTAATCAATACAAAGATCTGCCGCTATCCATTGAAAGCTTGTATCAAACTCTGCTCCAATTTAGACTAGAGCAAGGATAATACCTAGCTAATAAAACAATGAGCATTTTTATGAATGGTATTTTAAGTATTGCAAGGGTATTAGAGTATGTGTGTTGTGAAATGATTTCTATTAATAAAAGTTTGTGACTGTGTGAGAAAGTATGTAAAGATGTGAAGTAGGCTCTTGTTGCTGGGGGAAATAGGTTAGAACAGTCTTTGTCATGTTTTACTAGGGTGTGAAGGTATTTGTCTAGTGTCGTGAATTGTAGTCAAGTCTTTGTTTAAGTTGTCCGTGTCTAGCTAGTGCAATAAACCATGGAATGAACCAATGTGATCCCATTGAGTCATTCATTTTAAATCATCATTGTTTATAAACCCACGTTGTTAAAAAATGTTATGTATGGTCGACCCCGTCCTACACTCGCTTCGTAACAAGCACTTAGCCCTTCATTCTAACATCTTGAAGAAACCAGACACCCCCAGCAACACAGACTAACTTCTATCCCCTTGAAGAAAACAATACATGTAGCCTAAAGCACTGTAGGTACCTGTAGAAAATTGTTATACCTGTAGAAAGTTGTTATACCTGTAGAAAATTGTTATACCTGTAGAAAGTTGTTATACCTGTAGAAAATTGTTATACCTGTAGAAAATTGTTATACCTGTAGAAAGTTGTTCTACCTGTAGAAAGTTGTTATACCTGTAGAAAGTTGTTATACCTGTAGAAAGTTGTTCTACCTGTAGAAAGTTGTTATACCTGTAGAAAGTTGTTCTACCTGTAGAAAGTTGTTATACCCGTAGAAAGTTGTTATACCTGTAGAAAGTTGTTATACCTGTAGAAAGTTGTTCTACCTGTAGAAAGTTGTTATACCTGTAGAAAGTTGTTATACCTGTAGAAAGTTGTTCTACCTGTAGAAAGTTGTTGGAGAGATAAAACTCCTGCAGCTGTGTGTTGGAGATCTCTGGGAGTGTGTTGAGCTTGGTGCTCTCCAGGTCCAAGATCTGAATGGCTGGCAGCTCAAAGACCACGCTGGGGATGTGCTCAGACTTGATCTGACCTTTCCTCAGTAGGTTCTCCATGTAGGGGGTGTCCACCACACTGCAGAAACTCCTGGGGGTGGGGGGGGGGATGCAATCAATGTCACATAGTGCTGGTATTGGTTGTTTTTTTTTTTACTAGATCTGATGTGTCTACAATTTCAAATATAGCTGACCATTCCAAATATAGCTGGCCATTCCAAATATAGCTGACCAATTCAAATATAGCTGACCAATCCAAATATAGCTGACTATTCCAAATATAGCTGACCATTGCAAATATAGCTGACCATTGCAAATATAGCTGACCATTCCAAATATAGCTGACCATTCCAAATATAGCTGGCCATTCCAAATATAGCTGACCAATTCAAATATAGCTGACCAATCCAAATATAGCTGACTATTCCAAATATAGCTGACCATTGCAAATATAGCTGACCATTGCAAATATAGCTGACCATTCCAAATATAGCTGACCATTCCAAATATAGCTGGCCATTCCAAATATAGCTGACCAATTCAAATATAGCTGACCAATCCAAATATAGCTGACTATTCCAAATATAGCTGACCATTGCAAATATAGCTGACCATTGCAAATATAGCTGACCATTCCAAATATAGCTGACCATTCCAAATATAGCTGACCATTTCAAATATAGCTGACCAGACCAAATATAGCTGGCCATTCCAAATATAGCTGACCAATTCAAATATAGCTGACCAATCCAAATATAGCTGACTATTCCAAATATAGCTGACCATTGCAAATATAGCTGACCATTGCAAATATAGCTGACCATTCCAAATATAGCTGACCATTCCAAATATAGCTGACCATTTCAAATATAGCTGACCAGACCAAATATAGCTGACCATTTCAAATATAGCTGACAATTCCAAATATAGCTGACCATTCCAAATATAGCTGACCATTTCAAATATAGCTGACCAGACCAAATATAGCTGACCAGACCAAATATAACTGACCAGACCAAATATAGCTGACCATTCCAAATATAGCTGACCATTCCAAATATAGCTGACCATTCCAAATATAGCTGACCAGACCAAATATAGCTGACCAGACCAAATATAGCTGACCATTCCAAATATAGCTGACCAGACCAAATATAGCTGACCATTCCAAATATAGCTGACCATTCCAAATATAGCTGACCATTCCAAATATAGCTGACCAGACCAAATATAGCTGACCAATTCAAATATAGCTGACCATTCCAAATATAGCTGACCAGACCAAATATAGCTGACCAGACCAAATATAAATGACCATTCCAAATATAGCTGACCATTTCAAATATAGCTGACCATTCCAAATATAGCTGACCATTCTAAATATAGCTGACCATTCCAAATATAGCTGGCCATTCCAAATATAGCTGACCAATTCAAATATAGCTGACCAATCCAAATATAGCTGACTATTCCAAATATAGCTGACCATTGCAAATATAGCTGACCATTCCAAATATAGCTGACCATTCCAAATATAGCTGACCAGACCAAATATAGCTGACCATTTCAAATATAGCTGACCATTCCAAATATAGCTGACCATTCTAAATATAGCTGACCATTCCAAATATAGCTGGCCATTCCAAATATAGCTGACCAATTCAAATATAGCTGACCAATCCAAATATAGCTGACTATTCCAAATATAGCTGACCATTGATATTGCAAATATAGCTGACCATTCCAAATATAGCTGACCATTCCAAATATAGCTGACCATTTCAAATATAGCTGACCAGACCAAATATAGCTGACCATTCCAAATATAGCTGACCATTCTAAATATAGCTGACCATTCCAAATATAGCTGACCATTCCAAATATAGCTGACCATTCCAAATATAGATGACCAGACCAAATATAGCTGACCAATTCAAATATAGCTGACCATTCCAAATATAGCTGACCAGACCAAATATAGCTGACCATTCCAAATATAGCTGACCATTCCAAATATAGCTGACCATTGCAAATATAGCTGACCAGATCAAATATAGCTGACCATTCCAAATACAGCAGAGCGAATGTTTTACCTGTAGTTGAGTGCCAGCACCCTGAGCCTGGGCATCTCTGGCAGAGTCTCAGGAAGTGTCTCTATGGTGTTGCCCCAGAGGTAGATCTCCTCCAGGTCCTGGCAGTAGGCCAGCTCAGGTGGCAGGGAGGTGATGTTGGTCTGTTGGAGGCTCAGCTTGGTCAGCTGCTTCAGCTGCCCTATGTCAGGCAGAAGGATGTTCACCTGAAATGGACAAGTCTTAACTTATAGGTAATGTCATTGACAAGTCTTACCTTAAAGGTAGTGTCATTGACAAGTCTTACCTTAAAGGTAAAGTAGCAGACAAGTCTTACCTTACAGGTAATATGACCAGCCTTATGTTGTAGGTTTTTGTAAGTGACCAGCCTTACCTTATTCCTGCTGAGGTCCAGCACCTTGAGACTGGAGATCTTGAAGATGGCAGGTGGGACAAAAGGGAGATTACACTCTGAGATGTTGAGCTCTGTCAGGTTGGTCAGCAGGGCCATGTCTTGTGGGAGGCCAGAGAAGTCGTTGCTGTTGGAACATTTGAGCCCGTTCTTTGAGAGGTCAAGCTTCTCCAGGGTGGTCATCTGTTTGATCTCAGGGGGGAGGGAGCGCAGGTTGTTGGAGGACAGGATCAGGTGGCCGATGTCTTTGCCTGGAAAGTGTAAGGACCAGTAGTCAAGATCAGTAACTGTTTAAATAATTACAAACTTGCTGAAGCATTGTAAATACTTAACCAGTGTGTTGGTAACAATAATGTTACCTGTCTTGAGTGCTGAAGTTAAATAACTGACATAAAGTCTCTTCATGTTAAAGCACAAGTAAAAAAGAAGACTATGCTCAACTACCCTCTGTTATGTTGTATTTGTCCCAGGCTACTTCTGACAACTTGACTACTGTCCTGGACTGTCTGCTAAACACTAGACTAAAAACTCCAATGGTTTCTGATTTGTATTGATTGCTTTAGAAAATATTGACGTTCTGTATACTTTTGGAAGTTCTGTAAATGATGATGACAAAGGAAACAGGTGAAGGACTCACTGTTTATGAGGGAGGATGGGACACTGGTCATCCCTTGTCCTGACATGTCCACTATCCTTAGACCGGATTCTGTCAGTTTAGGAAGTTCTGGAACTTTTTCTGGAGCAGGGGCTGTTTTTTTCTTTCTCTCATCTAAAGTTTGTATTGACAAGAGTTATGTCAGATTAATCATTTTTATTTGTTTGGTGTTAAACAAAGTCATTTCAGAAATAATTGGTGATTACCTTAGGCTTTAATGCTAACCTTCATTTCTATTTATAGCTTTTTATAGATGTTAGGACAATACTTTCTTTACAAAAATTAACTTGTTTTAAAAAAACAAAACTATGGATCTATGCCCAAAATGACTACAATATCTGGAGTTCAATGCCTGAATATCAATCACTCCTCAATTCTAGTCTGTCAGTGGACTTTTACCTGACCCTTAGTCCCAGTCAGCATTGACTATCATCTGCGGTTATCTAACTAATGTATGAGAGATCCCAAGCACATAAGGCTTAGTAGCTGGGGACAGTGAACCATCCAGGAGAAAAAACTCAAAATTGAACAACTGCTGCCTTGCAGATTGTTTTTGGGTGAACATGGGCTATAGAAGCACATCCAAAAAGAAACGCAGGCTGTTAACAGGCCATATGTCTGCTAACATGTAATATGTAACATGTTATTGTGTAAGAGGAAATCCTCTTTAATATCACAATGCAAATCAGAGTGAAGAAAAAGAGAGTTTAAAGGTGGCTGTGTATTGTACTGGTCACACTCCCCCCCCCCCCCCCCTCCACACACATTCACCACAGAAACTGCTCAACTATACAAGCAAATTAGCCTTGCTCAAAATCTGCTAATGCTAGAATTGATCTGCCCCATACCTTGAGCAGCTTTGGTCTGTAGTTTGGTCAACTAATGCCTGAATTGATCTAACCCGTACCTTGAGCACCTTTGGTCTGTAGTTTGGTCAACTAATGCAAGAATTGATCTAACCCATACCTTGAGCACCTTTGGTCTGTAGTTTGGTCAACTAATGCAAGAATTGATCTAACCCATACCTTGAGCACCTTTGGTCTGTAGTTTGGTCAACTAATGCAAGAATTGATCTAACCCATACCTTGAGCACCTTTGGTCTGTAGTTTGGTCAACTAATGCAAGAATTTATCTAACCCATACCTTGAGCACCTTTGGTCTGTAGTTTGGTCAACTAATGCAAGAATTTATCTAACCCATACCTTGAGCACCTTTGGTCTGTAGTTTGGTCAACTAATGCAAGAATTGATCTAACCCTACCTTGAGCACCTTTGGTCTGTAGTTTGGTCAACTAATGCCTGAATTGATCTAACCCGTACCTTGAGCACCTTTGGTCTGTAGTTTGGTCAACTAATGCAAGAATTGATCTAACCCATACCTTGAGCACCTTTGGTCTGTAGTTTGGTCAACTTATGCAAGAATTTATCTAACCCATACCTTGAGCACCTTTTGTCTGTAGTTTGGTCAACTAATGCAAGAATTGATCTAACCCATACCTTGAGCACCTTCGGTCTGTAGTTTGGTCAACTAATGCAAGAATTGATCTAACCCATACCTTGAGCAGCTTTGGTCTGTAGTTTGGTCAACTAATGCAAGAATTGATCTAACCCATACCTTGAGCACCTTTGGTCTGTAGTTTGGTCAACTAATGCAAGAATTGATCTAACCCATACCTTGAGCACCTTTGGTCTGTAGTTTGGTCAACTAATGCAAGAATTGATCTAACCTGTACCTTGAGCACCTTTGGTCTGTAGTTTGGTCAACTAATGCAAGAATTGATCTAACCCATACCTTGAGCACCTTTGGTCTCGAGTTTGGTCAACTAATGCAAGAATTGATCTAACCCATACCTTGAGCACCTTTGGTCTGTAGTTTGGTCAACTTATGCAAGAATTGATCTAACCCATACCTTGAGCACCTTTGGTCTGTAGTTTGGTCAACTAATGCAAGAATTGATCTAACCCATACCTTGAGCACCTTTGGTCTGTAGTTTGGTCAACTAATGCAAGAATTGATCTAACCCATACCTTGAGCACCTTTGTTCTGTAGTTTGGTCAACTTATGCAAGAATTGATCTAACCCATACCTTGAGCACCTTTGTTCTGTAGTTTGGTCAACTAATGCAAGAATTGATCTAACCCATACCTTGAGCACCTTTAGTCTGTAGTTTGGTCAACTAATGCAAGAATTGATCTAACCCATACCTTGAGCACCTTTAGTCTGTAGTTTGGTCAACTAATGCAAGAATTGATCTAACCCATACCTTGAGCACCTTTAGTCTGTAGTTTGGTCAACTAATGCAAGAATTGATCTAACCCATACCTTGAGCACCTTTAGTCTGTAGTTTGGTCAACTAATGCAAGAATTGATCTAACCCATACCTTGAGCAGCTTTGGTCTGTAGTTTGGTCAACTAATGCAAGAATTGATCTAACCCATACCTTGAGCACCTTTGTTCTGTAGTTTGGTCAACTAATGCAAGAATTGATCTAACCCATACCTTGAGCACCTTTAGTCTGTAGTTTGGTCAACTAATGCAAGAATTGATCTAACCCATACCTTGAGCACCTTTAGTCTGTAGTTTGGTCAACTAATGCAAGAATTGATCTAACCCATACCTTGAGCACCTTTAGTCTGTAGTTTGGTCAACTAATGCAAGAATTGATCTAACCCATACCTTGAGCACCTTTAGTCTGTAGTTTGGTCAACTAATGCAAGAATTGATCTAACCCATACCTTGAGCACCTTTAGTCTGTAGTTTGGTCAACTAATGCAAGAATTGATCTAACCCATACCTTGAGCAGCTTTGGTCTGTAGTTTGGTCAACTAATGCAAGAATTGATCTAACCCATACCTTGAGCAGCTTTGGTCTGTAGTTTGGTCAACTAATGCAAGAATTGATCTAACCCATACCTTGAGCACCTTTAGTCTGTAGTTTGGTCAACTAATGCAAGAATTGATCTAACCCATACCTTGAGCACCTTTAGTCTGTAGTTTGGTCAACTAATGCAAGAATTGATCTAACCCATACCTTGAGCAGCTTTGGTCTGTAGTTTGGTCAACTAATGCAAGAATTGATCTAACCCATACCTTGAGCAGCTTTGGTCTGTAGTTTGGTCAACTAATGCAAGAATTGATCTAACCCATACCTTGAGCAGCTTTGGTCTGTAGTTTGGTCATAGTGTGTGAGGCTGAAGACTTTCTACCAGACTTGGGGGGTGACTTGAGATGTCTGGGGGGCAGGGAGTCACCCGAGATACTTTTTCTGTGGGCTGTGGGGGACAACTTCGGTGTTTTGGATGGGGAGTTGTCCCTGGTAGAGTTCCTGCGTGGTGACTTGGTTGACATGGTGGGGGTGAGGTCAAACTACGGGCAGAGAGAAGTTGTGAAATGTTAGGGCATAGAGTAATTAGATCATAGAGAAACAGTGCAATATTAGATCTTAGAGAAACAGTGAAATATTTGATCACAGAGAAACAGTGAAATATTTGATCATAGAGAAACAGTGAAATATTTGATCATAGAGAAACAGTGAAATATTAGATCATAGAGAAACAGTGAAATATTAGATGACATAGAAACAGTGAAATATTAGATGACAGAGAAACAGTGAAATATTAGATCCTAAAGAAACAGTGAAATATTAGATCCTAAAGAAACAGTGAAATATTAGATGACAGAGAAACAGTGAAATATTAGATCCTAAAGAAACAGTGAAATATTAGATCCTAAAGAAACAGTGAAATATTAGATCCTAAAGAAACAGTGAAATATTAGATGACAGAGAAACAGTGAAATATTAGATCTTAGAGAAACAGTGAAATATTAGATGACAGAGAAACAGTGAAATATTAGATCTTAGAGAAACAGTGAAATATTAGATGACAGAGAAACAGTGAAATATTAGTTACTGAGATTTAATTAAGTGCCAGAAACAATAGAAAAGTGAAAAATTTTTAGGATAAAAAATCAAACCACAGTTCTAAAACTAAAATAAATGGAATATAAATACTATTTTAAGTTTTATTTATAATATTCTTGCCTTATTTAGTGTGAAAGTGTTTGGCTAAAAGTGCTTATATCATTATATTCTTAAACAGCACACTTTTAACACTCACTACCCGTACCTTTTGTTTCTCCTTGCCTTAAACTAGCCTAGGGTATATTTGTAAAGAAACGTTACATTTTCATAGGTAGATAGATCAACCCATTATTTAAAATAACTTGGCTAAACGTAGACCGGGGGGGGGGGGGACAGGCATTGTTGTAGAAATAACATTGTTAGTCAGACAATGTTATCTTACTGCCGTAAAGAGACACAGGTAAAAAAATGTTTGACGGAACTGTATAGACAGAACAATAGAGCACAGTGACAGGGTGTTTACCGTATTTCTTTACCTCTCAAAACGTACGGTAGACATGAACAAAGTTAGAACTTACTTTAACACTGCGCGTTAAAGAGACCTCCGAATTCGACCTCACTAACCGCTTCAACCTCTTGGACATTCTCACGTTTTTCACGACCCGAAATTGTCCTAAAACACAGTGGTCAGTTACAAGAAGAGTCCTATACTTGCGTCCTACAGGACAATTGTGCTACAGAAAGTGCCTCAGTGAAACTAGGCACCGGCGTATTGTTGACAGGCGGGATAAATCGATGAGACAAACTTTAATTAGACTGTTCCCTTCAGGTCCGACAACCCCGCTGTTGTGTACACAGAAGAGTTGTGGAACCTGTCGGGCCCCGTAGCTTGTTACTGCTTTCATTGTGCTTTCCCTTCCAGCGCTACCTACAGTCTAAAGACGGTGTATATAGACCCGGTAGGTCGTGGTGTGACTAATCTCATACGTTTGGTACCATGTTGACAGGCAGAAAAAAATTTAGCCCCGCTTGACATAAGCTAATTAAATATCGTTTTACTATTGAGCTTCATATTTAAAAAAAAAAAAACGTTTTTAATGCGTTTTAAAAAAAAACTTGTATTAGAATAATGTCATGACCTACTCCTTTGTTGTGACGTGTCGGTCTTTGTCTTGTCATCTATTAGGTATCTATATCTTATATCTTTGGTGCGGTATGTATAGTTATGTGGCTATCTGGGCATAACTTTGTTGTGGTGTTTGGTCATGTAACTTTGTTGTGATGTGTTTGGTCATGTGATCTTCTGGGCATAAATTTGTTGTTTGGTCATGTGACTTTGTTGTGATGTGTTTGGTCATGTGATCTTCTGGGCATAAATTTGTTGTTTGGTCATGTGACTTTGTTGTTGTGTATTTGGTCATGTGATCAACTGGGCATAACGCGTCTATCCTAATGTTCTTACAAAGATACTTGTTTTACAGTTTTATAGACATTAACGGCTCAATAATGAGCTACTTAATCCCTGAAACGTGTATGTACGTACTGCAACTTAAAACCACGTCTCCATAAAACCCCGTTGTTCATTAATTTCTAACCTAGTATTTCATGTAAACTGTTTCTTTCCAGCATCTCGTCCCCTTGATGGAGTAGAAAAAATGTATATAGAAATATATACTTGAATCAGTGTCCGCCCCCCTCCCCCCGAAATTTCTAAAATCTAAAACACGGGTGAAAAACTGAAACTTCTCATTTGTCCTAATACACCGTTTTATTGGAGCAGTCACTTATCTCCCTTTGATCAACACAGTTACACTGTCGCATTCAGTCGTCCCCCCGCCCCTCCACCACCGGTGTGGGTTTTCTTGATAGACCCGCGGATCGAAGACCATTTATGGTTCAATAAAGCTCATAAAATCAATCTAACCATGACTGCGTTGAACAGGCGTGAAGCGTATGGGGGGGGGGGGGGGGTTTACACGGTTAGGTTTGATAAAGCATAATCGGCGATAGCACACAACACAGGTCCATGAAGGAGATTATAGTGCGTTGGTAGATACGTCATGTAGATACACGATACTGTCTTCATTACAATATACCTGCACTGTACTGACGTCATTACAATATACCTACATTGTACTGCCTATAATATCCACATATTCACCACCGTACCGACACTTACACCACCGTACCGACACTTACACCACCGTACCGACACTTACACCACCGTACCGACACTTACACCACCGTACCGACACTTACACCACCGTACCGACACTTACACCACCGTACCGACACTTACACCACCGTACCGACACTTACACCACCGTACCGACACTTGCACCACCGTACCGACACTTACACCACCGTACCGACACTTACACCACCTTACTGATATTACACGATATTGAACTAAAATTTACATTTGGTTTCTAACAATTTGCACAACTTAATGAATCTATTGCCTTAAAAGAAATGTAAATATTGGTAGACTAGCTTTATCTTATAGATCTCGCTATAGTGCCTGAATCACACGTCGGTTATATTTTTTTAAAGCAGCGCTGGCTTTAAATGTAAACATTTAGTATGCGGTATAAATGACGTGTAGTGTTTGTGCTAACCTTTATGTGGGTTGATACTTGATGTAACATGAGGATACCCACACGGACCCCCCCCCCCCCACCCCTGTTCACACAAATCCACACAAGCTAGCGTGTACGGCGTGGCCGTAACTGGATTACCCCTAAACGCTGGAGCTTTAACTTTTAACCCAAACAAATAGCGGACAAAGGCCTTTATGTATATACCGAGTTACTGTTCCTATTACGTTTTTTTTGCTCATATCTATCTATCTTCTATATATATAATTCTCTTCTGGGAGACGCTAGAAAACAAGCTGTAAGCGCGCCTTCTTACAGTCCCCTCTCTTCTTCACTAGGCATAAATCAACCTCCCCCACATGGTCTGGTGAGCTGTGGTACACGCTAAATGTTTACAATCATAGAGCCGGGTTTAGGGACTCCTATTAGGGGCAGATAATTTAGTTTGAAACTATTTTAAACTTAGGGGAGGTAATTAAGAGGAGGCTGCTTTCACGGGGGGTGGAGTAGGGTAGGGGTTGGGGGAAATGAGGGTGGGGGGGGGGGGGTTATCGTCCTTAACGACCAACTGATAGTATTTTAAAGCAAATATTTTCAGTGGCAGCATTGGTACTGTCGAATTCACAAATTATGAATTACTGAAAAGTAGAAAATAAAACAACTAAATAGCGGCGTATGATACGCCGCGGGCCGGCTCGTAACGCTATATTCGCTTAGGTAATTGAGGCAGATGAAGTAGAGCTCTCCTGTTTCACTGACATCGGCATATGACGGGATAGTTTGTTCATAGTATGTACAGGCGTCAGACTTTGAACGCTAGATTTTTGGGTTAGGATTCGTGTGGCCCGCTCACCTGTGTCTCATGCTTTAAAAAGTTAGAACTAAGCGGTTTTTTTTTAAAATACAGTAAATAAAGATAGAGTTATGGCATTATAGATATTAAACCATTATTATCCCATACGCAAGGGAAGCAATCAAGCAATACCCAAACTTCAATCATTAGTCTACGAGTTACCTCCTATTTTAAGCCCCCATTTAGCCTTTCTTTAAAATAGCGTCTTGTTACACCGGTTATTATTTTGACAAGATTTAACTAAGGTGACAACGTCTGTGGGTTTGTGGTCACATAATGAACCTCACTGTTGACCCACTTCTAATGCAGCGATTTCGTTCAATTTTTCCGAATGACAACGCAAGTATATTTAATTTTCAATCTAATTTTATAAAATAGTCCTTTAAAGTAGCAAATATATTACCATGTGCAGTAAAAACAACAACAGGAAATGACGGGGTAAATTATTAACTCGCTGGATCAACCAATTGACGGGGGGGGGGGGGGGGGGGGGGTGAGAGGAGCCGATGTTCACGTTTATTATACGCTTGAGAAACATTCAATGGACCTTAATAATAGGGACAAATTATTGTCCTTTAGATCGCAAGCTAGTGATCGGGGTTTAATGCAGAGCAAATATTCTACGTCGTATGGGCTGTTGACATTATTAAGAACAAACATGGGGCAAATGTAATGAGAAACAGTGAAGCGTTCGTAGTCATTGGCCAGCACGTTTACAACTTGGCTGATCGGGGGGGGGGGGGGGGGGGGAGACGTTGTTTACTTAAACACACGGCTACACAGATGTACACACGGCTACACAGAGGTGTGCTTAAACACAACTACACAAATGTATATTTAAACACACTAACATGAACACCTAGCTACAATGAAGTTAAAAAGTTAATTATTTTATAAAACCATACTTTTCCATACTATATGTGCTTTTCAACCCCCCTATGATTAGCCTGTTGATTAAATGGGTTGATACAAACTTTTCGATAATTAGTAGATCTATATTTTTTTAAAAATCCTTTAAAAATTAACTTAACGTCTTCAACGTAGATTGATTTGAACTGTCCCAAGTCTAAAAAATAAGTGTTTAATACTTTTAACATTTTTCCATGTTAAGATTACAGTCCAAAGATTTTAAAAAAAAAACGTAAATAATTTTAAGAATAGACTAACTGTATTGTAAGAAATTGTATACATAAATAAACAATAAGTTGCCTTTCTGTTAGATATGTACTGAATTTCAATCTATTTAAAACTTTTTAGTTACATAGTAATAAGTTATTTCCCTTTGTGTTTTTTATTTGTTTTGTTTTTTCTACGAATGGGAAGCAACTAACTTATATGAATTAATCAATGTAAAACTAATTTTTAATAATGCAATGTGTCTTAACTTATTAAAAAACCAATGTAATATATTCTGATATTTAGTATTGAGTATTACGATGAAATTAATATCTTTACCTGTATCTGTATATTTTAAGAGAGCATTTTGTTCACGATTATTCACAATTCCTAGCACAAATCCCAGTTAAGAAACAGCTGCACTAAAACCTAAGATTATCCCACGTGTAAACACGACCGACTTGAATGTTTGAAATCTGATCTAGCCTTAGACCCTCGATACGACTGCGACGTTTAAAATCTGATTGATCAGCTAACAACGATCCCCAAATGTCCATAATGTGTACACGATTTGTTTAAAATTCGATCCAGCTAACAACGATCCCCAAATGTCCATAATGTGTACACGATTTGTTTAAAATTTGATCCAGCTAACAACGATCCCCAAATCAGGGGCGTAGCGAGGGGGGGGGGGGGGCGGGGGGTGCGGACCGCACCGGGTGACACCATTTAGGGGGGTGACACCAAGGCAAAAAATAGCAAAATATATAGAGAAAAACTTGAGGGGGGGGTGCAAATCGAAAGTTTTGAGGGGGGGGATGCAAATCAAAAACATGAAAGTTTGTCCCCGGGAAGGGTCGCAACGCCTCTGGGGGGGTGACACCATTAAGTGCCGCACCGGGTGACACCCGACCTCGCTACGCCACTGCCCCAAATGTTCATAATGTGTACACGATTTGTTTAAAATTTGATCCAGCTAACAACGATCCCCAAATGTTCACACGACCCGGTAATTTAGACTGATCCTCTACACCAACGAGACATTGATTTATTCGCTGAACTCTGATAGTCTTCTGGCTATAATATACTGTCCTGCGGGCAATCATGTCTTATCAATGATACGCGGGCCTATAAATTATGTCCTCTAGATGTAGGCCTATCTCCTGTCGATGCATGCCTACTTTATGTCCTGCTTATACTTCGTGTCATGTCAATCGGGTTGGGGGGTGGGGGGCAGTGCACTGAAACGTATCCACCTCCCCCCCCCTCTGGAAATTCATTGCCCCTTCCCCAAGGATGAAAAATATCTGAAAGACACACTCGTAGCGTGAGTGGGGTATGTTGATTTGAGGGTAGACTTTTGTCGTATTAAAAAATTAAATTACTACATCGCCAATTAATTCTCTTTTCTTTTAAATTCTTTTATTTTTCTGGTTTGGGAACCGTATGTGTAACTAATGACTTCTTGACATGTCTATAGTTAATGCACATACCGGAGGCTAGATTAGCCCTTTAAAAATATTTGAATGTGTATTTTTTAAACAAACTCCAACGTTTAATTAGTGTTTTTTTATATAAAAAAACACAATTGATATCTATATTGGCATAAATATATCTCTACATCATACGTGGGTGGGTGTAGTGCACGTTACTTAGTCACTCACCTGTGCTTTAGACCACACCAGTCACTCACCTGTAGAGGGCTGAAGTCCTGTATTTTAGACCACGACGGAAAAGTCTACGCAACATCCATTAGCACGACACTACCAGGTAGAGGGACACAACTCAATGCTGTAATCACCGCCACCACAAAGTCTCAGACACACAGTTGGGGTTTACAACCCAACAAATCATTGACAAATCAAGTGTGACATGATCAAACAGCCTGGCCGTCCAAAAGCTGGCCGGCTATAGACGCAGGTCGATAAGCCGTAGACAGAGGAGTATTGTTTACATACATTGGTCGACGTCTGTTTTTTTTTTCTTTCATAGAGTCATTCACGCCGGCTAAACTGTGACGTATGTACTGACGTCACCTGGGGGTAGCGTGCTGGGGTGGGCTGGTGCATGATTCAGTGGCTACATTCGATTGCTTTAACCAGTGGCTACATTTTAACTGACTTAACCAGTGGCTACATTTTGACTGACTTAACCAGTGGCTACATTGTGACTGGTTTAACCACTGGCTACACTGTGACTGGTTAAAACACTGGCTACATTCGACTGGTTTAACCAGTGGCTACATTTTGACTGACTTAACCAGTGGCTACATTTTAACTGACTTAATCAGTGGCTACATTTTGACTGACTTAACCAGTGGCTACATTTCAACTTACTTAATTAGTGGCTACATTTTGACTGACTTAACCAGTAGCTACATTTTAACTGACTTAATTAGTGGCTACATTTTGACTGACATAACCAGTGGCTACATTCGACTGGTTTAACCACTGGCTACATTGTGACTGGTTAAACCACTGGCTACATTTTGACTGACTTAACCATTGGCTACATTTTAACTGACTTAATCAGTGGCTACATTTTGACTGACTTAACCAGTGGCTACATTTCAACTTACTTAATTAGTGGCTACATTTTGACTGACTTAACCAGTGGCTACATTTTAACTCACTTAATTAGTGGCTACATTTTGACTGACATAACCAGTGGCTACATTCGACTGGTTTAACCAGTGGCTACATTGTGACTGGTTAAACCACTGGCTACATTTTGACTGACTTAACCATTGGCTACATTTTAACTGACTTAATCAGTGGCTACATTTTGACTGACTTAACCAGTGGCTACATTTCAACTTACTTAATTAGTGGCTACATTTTGACTGACTTAACCAGTAGATACATTTTAACTGACTTAATTAGTGGCTACATTTTGACTGACATAACCAGTGGCTACATTCGACTGGATTAACCAGTGGCTACATTGTGACTGGTTTAACCAGTGGCTACATTGTGACTGGTTAAACCACTGGCTACATTTGACTGGTTAAACCAGCGGCTACATTTTCACAGTTTTAATCATTGGCTACATTTGGCTGGTTTAACCATTGGCTACATTTTGACTGACTTAACCAGTGGCTACATTTTGACTGACTTAACCAGTGGCTACATTTTGACTGACTTAACCAGTGGCTACATTTTGACTGGTTAAACCAGTGGCTACATTTGACTGGTTAAACCGGTGGCTACATGTGACTGGTTCAACCAGTGGCTACATTCGACTGGTTTAACCGGTGGCTACATTTGACTGGTTTAACCACTGGCTACATTTTGACAGTTTTAATCACTGGCTACATTGTGACACACTATATCAGTAAATTGTGAGATACCACCATGAACTACCCTAAACACATTGCCATACAATAACTGCATTGGCACAAAATCAAGCTGGTGTAATTTCAATTAATTATTGATCACCTGTAATCAAATAAATGTCATACCTGGTTGAAGCTTATCAAAAGCAGGGTCTTAAGGTAATCCTCATGGACTGACTACACTCTTACAAGATTTTTACACTCCAGATATTGTATTGGGATTTGTGTGTGTATGTGTGTGTAGGGGAGGTAAGGGGTGGGTTAAGTATGATTTTTTTTAAAGTGGGATCTATGAGGATTTTAAATTTTTCATGATAAAATTTGTCTGAAAAGAAATGAAATCAATATATTGAACACTTTTTTACTTTAAAAATTAATTTTGGCTTGTTGGTTCTGTTTCTCCATGCGACTGGTTGATTAAACTCACCCAATCAAAACTATGCTTGCGTGTAATACAGGACACATGTTAACACAGCTCTGTAATGGTGTACAGGTGTACATGTAATGGTCTAGTGGTGTACACAACAGGGTGTACATTATCCGACTCAAACTACGAGAAGAAAATATACAGCCCATAAAATAAATGTCCTGAAATGTAGCAACAGGACTGTACGTAAACAAAAATAATTTTTCCTAATAGCCGTAGCCACTTCATGGTACTTCTGTTGTCATTGATAATGATATCACAACAATTGGGTCTAGGGTATTGTTGAGGCTTGATGTGTTAGCATAGGTACTAGCTAGAGGTGTATAGGCAGGGTTAATTGAGAGGGTCTAAAGAAAAGCTAACATTAGAGGTTGTTCAATCTTAGAACTTAACAGATGATGGTGTGGGTGTGGTGTGGGTGTGTTGACTTGCAGGGTATAAACACACATATTCAGTTGTTTACCAGTGGATACTGGGCACATCTCATCAGTAGATGGTAACACACATGATGCAACCATTACATCAAGAAATGGTGTCACACTTGATTAAACCATCTCATCAGTAGATGGTGACACACTTAAGGTAACCATCTCATCATAAAATGGTGACACACTTGATGTAACCATTACATCAAGAAATGGTGACACTTGATGCAACCATCTCATCAGTAGATGGTGACATGCTTGATTAAACGATCCCATCAATAGATGGTGACACACTTGATGCAACACATCAAGAAATGGTGACACGCTTGATGCAACACACCAGTAGATGGTGACACACTTGATGCACCCATCTGATGAGTCTTGTTTACCTTGCCAGGTGCTGCTACAGATCTCCATCATCCTGACTGGCAACTACAACTTCTTCAACTTGCTCACCATCACCCTGTGTCTGGCCCTTCTGGACGACTCGTGCTCATTCTTCTCTCACACACACAAAGGTAAGCACACACACACACACACAAAGGTAGGCACACACACACACACACACACAAAGGTAGGCACACACTCACACAAGGTAAGCTGTGAACTCCACACACACACAAAGGTAAGCTGTGAACTCCACACACACACACACACACACACAAAGGTAAGCATACACACACACACACAAAGGTAACCTGTGAACTCTACACACACAAGGTAAGCTGTGAACTACACACACACACACAAAGGTAACCATACATACACACACACAAAAAAAAAGGTGACCTGTGAACTCCACAAATACACACACATGCAGAGGTAAACTGTGAGCCCCACACATATAAATACACACACACCCTCTCAAAGGTAAGTTGTGAACTACACACACACATACACACACACTCAATGGTAAGCAGTTATCTCCCTACACACATACACACACATAATTAAACAGTGAACTCCCCTGGTCTATAAAACTGATGCCCTTTTAAACTAAACCTCATTAGGTACATATAGAAATAAAATACCTGCAACTTTTCTAATAGTCTCTTCTTATACAAGTTACAAGATGTTAAAAGATTTTTGTGAAACTATAGATTTCTGTTCACACAATAAAGATGATTGATTTTAGTTTATATATGTGTGTATATATAGGCTATATATATATATATATATATATATATATATATATATATATATATATATATATATATATATATATATATATATACATACATATAGCCTATAAATATATATACACATATATACATTATATACATATATATTAAACATTGAACATTTGTGTATAGAATTGAGAATGAAAGTACTGTCATTGTCTACAGGTAGTAGCAAGAAGAAGAAGAAATCTCTAGCCTGGGCAGGGGTCAGTGGCCTGGCCACTCTAATCTTCCCCCTGGTGGTGCTGGGCTACATGGGTTACAAGAGCAAGGAGTACTTCAGTCTCAAGTTTAATCCTGACTGGACCGTCCACTCTAAGATAGGTCAGATTCTTTATGGTGTTTTGATGGGTGGTATCCTCGTGTTGATGGGTGGCATTGTGTTGTGTTGTTTGGTGTCACCATTAGGTTGATGGGTGTCATTGTGATGTATTGATGTCTGTACCATGTTATATGTATGTGTGTCTTTGTATCATATATTGTTTTAGCCTTGATAAGTCTGTGTATCTCTTTATGTAAAACTGTTAAGTTGCCGCTACTATACAAATGATGGTTTTTATTTAAAATGTTGCTATTGCAACAATCTTTTCTTCAATAAGAAAATTGTGTAATAATGCAATTTAATTATGTTTTTATTATAACTACTTTTATGACAACATCATTATTGTAACTAAATTTGCTGTTTGGTTTTTTTTTAATAGAAAATGTAATAAATATATCAAAATGCATTTTAAAACTTTTTAAACAAAGAAATTTAAAATGCTTTAAAGAGGAAATGTTCATAATTAACATGGGTTTACACACCAGCAACATCCTGTTGTTATGACGATGTATTTAAATTGTATTTAATTTGAATTTGTGAACAGCTTTCTCTGAGTCGTCTTTCATGGAGTGGCTGGAGAAGGTCATGCCCTACACAATCTACCTGGGTGCTGGCTCTCTAGGCATTGAGGTGCTGCTCTCTTTGATCAGGTAACTGGTGCTACACTCATCTTCTGCTTGTCTTCATTGACAGGTTGTTGGGCAGATGTTTGACAGGTTGTTGGGCAGATGTGTGACAGTTTGTTGGGCAGATGTGTGACAGTTTGTTGGGCAGATGTGTGACACTTTGTTGGGCAGATGTGTGACAGTTTGTTGGGCACAGATGTTTGACAGTTTGTTGGGCAGATGTGTGACAGGTTGTTGGGCAGATGTGTGACAGTTTGTTGGGTAGATGTTTGACAGTTTGTTGGGCAGATGTGTGACAGTTTGTTGGGCAGATGTGTGACAGTTTGTTGGGCACAGATGTTTGACAGTTTGATGTGTCTATGATGTGTTGTGTCTCTATAAGTCTCATGCCCCCATGTGTCTGTGTTGTGTCTGTATTAGTCTGATGACCCCATATGTCTGTGTTGTGTCTCTATAAGTCTCATGACCCCATGTGTCTGTGTTGTGTCTCTATAAGTCTCATGACCCCATGTGTCTGTGTTGTGTCTCTATAAGTCTCATGACCCCATGTGTCTGTGTTGTGTCTCTATAAGTCTCATGACCCTATGTGTCTGTGTTGTGTCTCTATAAGTCTCATGACCCCATGTGTCTAATGATGTGTCTCTATAAGTCTCATGACCCCATGTGTCTGTGTTGTGTCTCTATAAGTCTCATGACCCCATGTGTCTGTGTCTCTATAAGTCTCATGCCCCCATGTGTCTGTGTTGTGTCTCTATAAGTCTCATGACCCCATGTGTCTGTGTCTCTATAAGTCTCATGACCCCATGTGTCTGTGTTGTGTCTCTATAAGTCTCATGACCCCATGTGTCTGTGTTGTGTCTCTATAAGTCTCATGACCCCATGTGTCTGTGTTGTGTCTCTATAAGTCTCATGACCCCATGTGTCTAATGATGTGTCTCTATAAGTCTCATGACCCCATGTGTCTAATGATGTCTCTATAAGTCTCATGACCCCATGTGTCTGTGTCTCTATAAGTCTCATGACCCCATGTGTTGTGTCTCTATAAGTCTCATGACCCCATATGTCTGTGTTGTGTCTCTATAAGTCTCATGACCCCATGTGTCTGTGTTGTGTCTCTATAAGTCTCATGACCCCATGTGTCTGTGTTGTGTCTCTCATGCCCCCATGTGTCTGTGTCTCTATAAGTCTCATGACCCCATATGTCTGTGTTGTGTCTCTATAAGTCTCATGACCCCATGTGTCTGTGTTATGTCTCTATAAGTCTCATGACCCCATATGTCTGTGTTGTGTCTCTATAAGTCTCATGACCCCATATGTCTGTGTTGTGTCTCTATAAGTCTCATGACCCCATGTGTCTGTGTTATGTCTCTATAAGTCTCATGACCCCATATGTCTGTGTTGTGTCTCTATAAGTCTCATGACCCCATATGTCTGTGTTGTGTCTCTATAAGTCTCATGACCCCATGTGTCTGTGTTATGTCTCTATAAGTCTCATGACCCCATATGTCTGTGTTGTGTCTCTATAAGTCTCATGACCCCATATGTCTGTGTTGTGTCTCTATAAGTCTCATGACCCCATGTGTCTGTGTTGTGTCTCTATAAGTCTCATGACCCCATGTGTCTGTGTTATGTCTCTATAAGTCTCATGACCCCATATGTCTGTGTTGTGTCTCTATAAGTCTCATGACCCCATGTGTCTGTGTCTCTATAAGTCTCATGACCCCATGTGTCTGTGTTGTGTCTATAAATTTGATGACCCCATGTGTCTGTGTTGTGTCTCTATAAGTCTCATGACCCCATGTGTCTGTGTTGTGTCTCTATAAGTCTCATGACCCCATGTGTCTGTGTTGTGTCTCTATAAGTCTCATGACCCCATATGTCTGTGTCTCTATAAGTCTCATGACCCCATGTGTCTGTGTTGTGTCTATAAATTTGATGACCCCATGTGTCTGTGTTGTGTCTCTATAAGTCTCATGACCCCATATGTCTGTGTTATGTCTCTATAAGTCTCATGACCCCATATGTCTGTGTTGTGTCTCTATAAGTCTCATGACCCCATGTGTCTGTGTTGTGTCTCTATAAGTCTCATGACCCCATGTGTCTGTGTTATGTCTCTATAAGTCTCATGACCCCATATGTCTGTGTTGTGTCTCTATAAGTCTCATGACCCCATGTGTCTGTGTCTCTATAAGTCTCATGACCCCATGTGTCTGTGTTGTGTCTATAAATTTGATGACCCCATGTGTCTGTGTTGTGTCTCTATAAGTCTCATGACCCCATGTGTCTGTGTTGTGTCTCTATAAGTCTCATGACCCCATGTGTCTGTGTTGTGTCTCTATAAGTCTCATGACCCCATGTGTCTGTGTTATGTCTCTATAAGTCTCATGACCCCATATGTCTGTGTTGTGTCTCTATAAGTCTCATGACCCCATGTGTCTGTGTCTCTATAAGTCTCATGACCCCATGTGTCTGTGTCTCTATAAGTCTCATGCCCCCATGTGTCTGTGTTATGTCTCTATAAGTCTCATGACCCCATGTGTCTGTGTTGTGTCTCTATAAGTCTCATGACCCCATGTGTCTGTGTTGTGTCTGTATTAGTCTGATGACCCCATATGTCTGTGTTGTGTCTCTATAAGTCTCATGACCCCATGTGTCTGTGTTGTGTCTCTATAAGTCTCATGACCCCATGTGTCTGTGTTGTGTCTCTATAAGTCTCATGACCCCATGTGTCTGTGTTGTGTCTCTATAAGTCTCATGACCCTATGTGTCTGTGTTGTGTCTCTATAAGTCTCATGACCCCATGTGTCTAATGATGTGTCTCTATAAGTCTCATGACCCCATGTGTCTGTGTTGTGTCTCTATAAGTCTCATGACCCCATGTGTCTGTGTTGTGTCTCTATAAGTCTCATGACCCCATGTGTCTGTGTTATGTCTCTATAAGTCTCATGACCCCATATGTCTGTGTTGTGTCTCTATAAGTCTCATGACCCCATGTGTCTGTGTCTCTATAAGTCTCATGACCCCATGTGTCTGTGTTGTGTCTATAAATTTGATGACCCCATGTGTCTGTGTTGTGTCTCTATAAGTCTCATGACCCCATGTGTCTGTGTTGTGTCTCTATAAGTCTCATGACCCCATGTGTCTGTGTTGTGTCTCTATAAGTCTCATGACCCCATATGTCTGTGTCTCTATAAGTCTCATGACCCCATGTGTCTGTGTTGTGTCTATAGATTTGATGACCCCATGTGTCTGTGTTGTGTCTCTATAAGTCTCATGACCCCATATATCTGTGTTATGTCTCTATAAGTCTCATGACCCCATATGTCTGTGTTGTGTCTCTATAAGTCTCATGACCCCATGTGTCTGTGTTGTGTCTCTATAAGTCTCATGACCCCATGTGTCTGTGTTATGTCTCTATAAGTCTCATGACCCCATATGTCTGTGTTGTGTCTCTATAAGTCTCATGACCCCATGTGTCTGTGTCTCTATAAGTCTCATGACCCCATGTGTCTGTGTTGTGTCTATAAATTTGATGACCCCATGTGTCTGTGTTGTGTCTCTATAAGTCTCATGACCCCATGTGTCTGTGTTGTGTCTCTATAAGTCTCATGACCCCATGTGTCTGTGTTGTGTCTCTATAAGTCTCATGACCCCATGTGTCTGTGTTATGTCTCTATAAGTCTCATGACCCCATATGTCTGTGTTGTGTCTCTATAAGTCTCATGACCCCATGTGTCTGTGTCTCTATAAGTCTCATGACCCCATGTGTCTGTGTCTCTATAAGTCTCATGCCCCCATGTGTCTGTGTTGTGTCTCTATAAGTCTCATGACCCCATGTGTCTGTGTTGTGTCTCTATAAGTCTCATGACCCCATGTGTCTGTGTTGTGTCTGTATTAGTCTGATGACCCCATATGTCTGTGTTGTGTCTCTATAAGTCTCATGACCCCATGTGTCTGTGTTGTGTCTCTATAAGTCTCATGACCCCATGTGTCTGTGTTGTGTCTCTATAAGTCTCATGACCCCATGTGTCTATGTTGTGTCTCTATAAGTCTCATGACCCTATGTGTCTGTGTTGTGTCTCTATAAGTCTCATGACCCCATGTGTCTAATGATGTGTCTCTATAAGTCTCATGACCCCATGTGTCTGTGTTGTGTCTCTATAAGTCTCATGCCCCCATGTGTCTGTGTTGTGTCTCTATAAGTCTCATGACCCCATGTGTCTGTGTCTCTATAAGTCTCATGTCCCCATGTGTCTGTGTTGTGTCTCTATAAGTCTCATGTCCCCATGTGTCTGTGTTGTGTCTCTATAAGTCACATGACCCCATGTGTCTGTGTTGTGTCTACAGGAGTGTGATGACTGAGAGAGGTATCATCCGCAAGAGTTTGAGCACAGCTGGGACTGTGTTTTTTGCTCTGATGGCCACCTTCATGTTCATCATTAGCTTGGTGAGTACATCAGTTGTCAGATGCTGCTTTATTCCATGTCTTTGATCATTCAGACATCAGACAGATGTTCATTGACATTACATAACAGACTTTTGTCAGAATGTCTGTCATGACAGACTTCTGTTGAAATGTCTGTCATAACAGACTTTTGTTAAAATGTCTGTCATAACAGACTTTTGTTAAAATGTCTGTCATAACAGACTTTTGTTAAAATGTCTGTCATAACAGACTTTTGTTAAAATGTCTGTCATAGCAGACTTTTGTTAAAATGTTTGTCATAACAGACTTTTGTTAAAATGTCTGTCATAGCAGACTTTTGTTAAAATGTTTGTCATAACAGACTTTTGTTAAAATGATTCCTTGTACTGCTGGCTTGATTTAAGGATAATTTATCAACAATTTTTTAAAATATGAAACTGTCATCTTTATGGCAGTTAATATAAAAGCTAAAATTGGATGAAATCGCAATTCCATTTTATTTATTTGAAACTAAACATTTTTCAGTTTAACTTGTGGTAAGGATAAAGCCACTGAAACTTTGACTAGTCACAAAAACAAAGTAACAAAAAACCAGTGAAACTAGTGACAGAAAAAAAGCCATTTTTACTTGTGACAGAACACCACTGAAATGTGTGACAAATAAGCCAGTGAAACTAGGGATAGAAAAAAGCTACATAAATGTATGTTGACTAATGACAAAAAAAAGCCACTTAAACTTGTGACAAATAAACCAATGAAACGTGTGACAGAAAAAAGCCACTTAAACTTGTGACAAATAAACTAATGAAACTTGTGACAGTAAAAAGCCACTTGCCACTTAAACTTGTGACAAATAAACCAATGAAACTTGTGACAGTAAAAAGCCACTTAAACTTGTGACAAATAAACCAATGAAATTTGTGACAGAAAAAAGCCAGTGAAACTAGTGACAAAAAAAAGCTGCTGAAACTTGTGACAGAAAAAAGCCACTGAAAGTTGTGACAGAAAAAAGCCAGTGTACGGAACTGTTCTGATCCTTGTAGGTACCCCACACCACAGTCCACAAACCCACCCAGACAGCCCTGCCTAAAGATTTCTTAAAGTACCATGGACTGGCTAAGCCCTTTCACATCACTAGTTCTTATGGGCTTTTCAGAAGGTATTTTATAGGGCCAGATGGCAATTTTTTTATTAGAAGAAAACCCATAGTCTGTTTGTTACTAAAACTATAATGTTGTTCACACTATTGTTTAGCACTAAAAACCTTAGATGTAATTCCTGAGTGTATTTCTAGCATGACTTGTGTTTTCTTCGTGTATTTTTTTATACTAATATTGTTTTCTATTGCACACAAGTGTATCTTCACTTACTAACTGTGAAGTAAAATCACAATTTTAAAACTCTTTTACAACTTGGTATGCTGTTTCATCATTGTGGTGATTGCCTTGCAGGGTTTGTTCTGTTGTCTGCCATGTTGGATTTTCTGGTCTAACATCCAATCAAATTAATTCTAACATCCAATCTTCTTCTCTTCTTCTTCTTCGTTCTTAATTATTAGTGTTGAAGGGGATCGAGATTTATCTGCCAGTGTGGTTGAATTTGAGACTGTTCGAATTTATCAACCATGAGCTTTTGCCGACTCGACCACACCTCCAACACAATTAAGCGTTACGTGTCAACTGGTTATGCGCCATTGAGGCCATTGACTCCGATTTCAGCCTGCTTTTCTTTTTGGATTTGCTTCCATAGCCTTTGTCCAACCAAGAACAAACTACAAGGCAGCAGTTGTTTAATTTTGGAGTTGTCTCTCCTATAAGAGTGGCTGTCCCCAGCTAACAAGCCTCATCTGCCCGAGGGTTCGAACTCGAGACTTTTCGGTTTAGCAACCATGAGCTTCACCGACTCGACCACGCCGACCCCTAACATCCAATCGTATATGGTAATCTAACATCCAATCCAATTAATTCTAACATCCAATTGAATAAGCTGGTCTAACATCCAATCATATTAGTTCTAATATCCAATCATGTAACATGATTTAAAATCCAATCAAATCAGTTCAAACATCCAGAAAAATCTCTCATATTATGGGAACCCATCAGTTGTGTTGCTGCTGTATTCAAGTCATCATGTTTCACAATGTCCTTTTGATATCATCAAGCCTGAATGTTAAAAGATGTCCATGCTAATGATATTGTAGATATGCTGCATGTCATCTTCTCTCAGTCACCGCACGCTGCACGCCCCTAGTTAAATCACATGACAGCACAGGTTTGGGGTTTTCTTCCAATAAAATGTTGCCCCCCTTCACCCCCACACTCCCCTCCTATATTAGGACACTGAACCCAGGGTGCCAGAGGTATTAGAACCTGCATATTCAGTCAGTTTGTTTTGTTCTTGTCTCACAGGTACCCCATAGTTATGTGGACACTAGCGCGTACCGTAGTCTGCCCAAGTATGCCAAGTCCTGGCATAGTAAAGTTGACCCCTTTCAGATAACCAGTTCCTACGGCCTGTTCAGAGTGTAAGATGACATGGTTGAGATTTTTAGTTCGGTCTTAAAACCTTGCCTCAATTAAAACTTTTTGCTAGCAGTTGTATTGAAGCTCAGACTTCTCAAAGTTTTGTAAGATAAGTTCTAGAATATTCAGAACATTTATTCCTTGTGTTCAGTATTATTTTTTATTTCTTGTTTTTATTTTTTGGCATACCTAAATGTGAATTAAATTCTAATATAAATTAGAAATTATAGAAATGATTGTTTTACTCACACAATCTGATGTATGGGTTGATATTTAAATGTAGATTTAATAAACACACAGATAAAACATAACATTTATGGAACTACAGAAGAGCGACTTTAATGCTAGATATTTTATCAATGACTTTCATTCTAGTTAGGTAACTTAAAATTGTAGATGCAGTGATGTGTATGTAATTATTGTAATTAATATAAAAAACTAATAGTGTTATTCACCTCACTAGATAAAGGATATCTGTTAGTTGTGAGGTTCCTCACACTAACTGGTTCTATATCTACTTATTCTAGTTGGGTACTTTTGTGTGTGTGTAAGTCTTGTGTTTTGTCTTTGTAATTTTTTGGAGAGATGTTAGGTAAATGGTAAACTTGTGGCATCACCCTTCAGGTTTTATTTAAGCTTTTTCTAGCTTAGATCAACTTTATATCAGTTTTTATATTTGCTTCAGCTTTGCTATTGCTTGCCGATACTTCTAAAGTTTTTACATTCCTTATCTTTTCATGCAAACAACTTTTTATTTTTGTTTCAAATTGTTTTTATTTCTTCCATACTTACATTAGCTAATTTATTAAAAATATTTCTTAACTTAGTTTTGTAGAGTAAATATTTGACCTTGTAAATGCTTCATAATCTAGCTTTGTTATATTCAGATTATCAATTAATTTTTTTAAAGATCAGTTTTAAATTTTCATTCATCTGACCTCTAAAACTATATGTAAATTTGTCTAAATTATCAAGATTTATTTTTCTAATTTGTTGGTTGGTTGTCAATTGTTCAAATAAAAAATTCTTAGTCCTCGAGGATAACTTAACTTTTTCTTCTTATTTGAACATTAGAATGACAGGTGTAGGAGGTCGACCTGAGATTGTTGTAGAAGGTCATGCTAGTGAAAGGTCAGCAGTAGACGGATGGAAGCCTTACGACTTTTTCTACAAACCTGGCAACGTATCATGGGCCCCACCCATAGTTGGTCAGTTCAATCTTTTAGTTTTGGCCCACCCATAGTTGGTCAGTTCAATCTTTTAGTTTTGGCCCACCCGTAGTTGGTCAGTTCAGTCTTTTAGTTTTGGCCCACCCATAGTTGGTCAGTTCAGTCTTTTAGTTTTGGCCCACCCATAGTTGGTCAGTTCAATCTTTTAGTTTTGGCCCACCCATAGTTGGTCAGTTCAATCTTTTAGTTTTGGCCCACCCATAGTTGGCCAGTTCAATCTTTTAGTTTTGGCCCACCCATAGTTGGTCAGTTCAATCTTTTAGTATTATAAATTTATGCCAATAAAGATAATCTACACTTATCTGTCAGCATTTTGTTTAATATAAAAATGTAATGAATTCTATTAGCATTTGTTTTAAAAACCTTACATTCATTTATTGGGAATTTCCCAAGGCAGCTTTAAGTAGTGTGGCTAGTCTATTCCTACCTCTGACTGTAGAAGAGCTCTTCATCAAATACTAGACTCTGAGATAACCTTTTCCTCCTCAGCCCCTCACCAGCCCCGCCTGGACTGGCAAATGTGGTTTGCAGCTCTGGGCAACTACCAGAACAACCCCTGGTTCCTGAACTTGGTCTACAGACTCTTGCAGAACCAGCCGGATGTCCTGGACCTGATCAGCAGCAACCCTTTCCCTGATAGACCACCCAAGTACATCAGGGCCACCCTCTATCATTACCACTATACCAGTCTTAAGGACTGTAGTGGAGTGGAGAAATGGTGAGTTGTGTACATGCTTGTCATATCACAACCCAGGACCCGGACCTGACTAGCCATTGGCCTAATCCTAACAACAGTTATCTCTGTTGCCTAGCCTGGTCTCATTGATTAGCCTAAAGTACACCCCAGCCCACATCTATCATGGGGGGGGGGGGGGAGAGTGTTATAGTTATACTGCTTGTGTTATCATGTTGTTCTAAAGTGTTGCTAGTATTTACAATTCATAAATTTACTGGAGACGTCTTTCAATGCTCTATTCACACACAAAATAATGAGATCTTAATGTACACTATGGTCGAATAGCAGAGCTTAAAATCTACAATAACCACTTTATACAGAAAATCTACAATTACCACTTTATAAAGAAAAAATGCACTTGGCTAATTGTCATGTATCAAAAAACATGATACATTGAATTATTCCCCTTAACAATACATTCTGTCTTGAGGTGGTTGTCAAAAGACTGACCAAAGCTGATTTACATTTGCTACTTGCAGCTCCTGGTGGAAGAGAGAGATCAAGGCTGAGTACTTGCCAGCTCTTTCTATAACCGACCAATCATTTGTTGACTATTTAAAACATGCCCAGCTACTGCAGGTTTGTTTGCACTTTTTTTTTCTTTTATTCTCCTACAAAATTACTTTTACATTAGCAACATTTAGAAGAAAAAATGATTTATGAAATTTTATTTTCTATAGAATTGATTTATACTGAAGTCAAATCAGCTTTTGTATAAAAGGAGTGATTATATGGGCAAGGCTTATTTAAATAGTTGTTTTGATTATTTATCAGATTATTGTTTATTTACTCAATTAATTACTCTCAGGAAAAGAAGCCCAAGAAGTTAAAGCTGGACAACATTGTAGCCAGAATTGTTAAGTGGTTTAGAGAAAAGATTGGCCAGCCTGAAGGCTTCAGTTTTATTGTCTCAATCTTAGCCTCAGCCATCCTCGTCATTATGTTAAACAGGGCACTTTTTAGATAGGTTGTTTTTGTTTCGGTCATGATTAAATATTATACCTTGTACCAGTATGGTTCTTATAAGATTTTAGCTCATACATTTGTATGTTAGTTTTCCCAATTCCTTGTTCTACATGTTGACACAGTCTCACCCTGCACACATTTTATTTCAAAGCTTGATCTAAACTAGTTTCTGCTTGTTACATTTTCCTAGAGCATGTACCATACCCAACAGATGATCTCACTGTTGTTCAAATCCTAATTTAGCCACAAGATCTGCTGCAAGAACCTGATTGTCTCAGATTTTTAAAAAAATTATCTGCCTAAAAGGTGAGCAGTTGCTAGAAAAGACATGTGACCTGCCGCACCAATCAGATGATCACAAGTGCCTTACAGTGTTTGTCCAATTGTGGTCTACTGACTGGATGTGTTCATGGCTGCCCATCTTTCATCATGTTGCCCTAAGCTGTTGCCATTTTGTACAGATTTATGTACATATCTAACAATATCCCTTCATTTTTTGTGTCTTTCTAGACCGATATATGTCACATAATTCTTTTTTTTTTTTGGCATGCTTTAATTGTTCTTGTTTAGAAAAAAATAAATTTCTATCACAAAACTTGAGTCAAGTCTTTAATTATAGGAAAACAACAAAGTAAATTCATTAATTTATTTTAAAATCCTAGTACAGGTAAAAAAAATAAATAGTTATCACAAGAAAAAGTGGATGGATGCTACCAGCATTTGTTCTGGCATGTTGATGGAACTATGATCAAGCTGTGCACACTTTTAAAACATGTAAATAATTGAAGAAATTAAAAATAGCCTTGGTTTCCCATAAAAATTTAAAAAGTAAAAAAAAATTATTTTTAAAAACTGATGTCATTTTGGCACATTTTTTTTTCATCATGCATACACATTTCTGATTTGGTAATTCACATGACAATAAAAAGTATTTGAATGATTTAGTCTATGATAACTCCAGATTGCTGCTTAGCCAATCCCCTACACAAAATGGCTTTGAGTCTCTCCTTGGCTGGCTCAAAAGTGGGCTGTAACCCAAGTGTTGACTGGTAGAATAGGGTGGCGTGGTCCCAGTCAGACTGGAAATATCAAACTAGTTAACAGGGCTTCATTCAAACTTACTAGTTAACAGGGCTTCATTCAAACTGACTAGTTAACAGGGCTTCATTCAAACTTTACTGTACTTGTTAACAGTGCTTCATTCAAACTTTACTGTACTTGTTAACAGTGCTTCATTCAAACTTTACTGTACTTGTTAACAGTGGTTCATTCAAACTTTACTGTACTTGTTAACAGTGCTTCACTCAAACTATACTTGTTAACAAGGCTTCATTCGAACTTTATTATACTTGTTAACAGTTCTTAAATTCAAACTTACTGTACTAAATAAAATTAGTAAAGTTTCAATGAAACACTGTTAACAGTATTCATTTAAACTTTACTTTACTAATTCAATTTGTTAAAAGTATTACACCAAATTTATCTATACTTGTTAACAGTGCTTCATTCAAATGTTACTTTTTAATGGTGGTTGTTTATTAAAACTTGTTATAAAACTATATAGAAACATTAAATAACAAATTTGGTAAAATAAAAATGTCAAAAAAAAAAAAATTAAAATTAATCACACTATAAAAATTGATAGTGTTAACAAATGAGACAGTTTTTACCTTGGTGGCATAAAGGTTGGCCATGGTGAAGTGGGACACAGACAATCTGTTGTCAACACCCAGAGCTGCGCTGGTCACTAAAATAGCATCAGTGGTGAAAGATGTGTGCTGGAGAATGTTAGCCAGGCTAATCAGGCAGGTGTCCTACAGAGGATAAAATAACATTGTTAGTCTATGATGTGTGTTGTAGAATGTTAGCTAAACTTATCAGGCAGGTGTCCTACAGAGAATAAAATAACATTGTTAGTCTATGATGTGTGTTGTAGAATGTTAGCTAAACTAATCAGGCAGGTGTCCTACAGAGAATAAAATAACATTGTTAGTCTAAGATGTATGCTGGAGAATGTTAGTTAAACTTATCAGGCAGGTGTCCTACAGAGGATAAAATAACATTGTTAGTCAGAGAAGTATTCTGGTGAATTAGCCAGGTATGTGACATAGAAAAAATATTTTCCTAATGGTGAGTCAACATTTCATGGATTCTAAAATCTTGCTGAAACTGCCCAATAAAATAAAAGATATGAATGATGTTTCACCTTGAACTGGTGTGGCACGTAGGTGAGGGCCATTCTGATACAGTCCAGCGCCTGTTGTGCTTCTCCTTCCACCCTCCAGTAGAGAGAGGCTAAGATATAGGCCACCCAAGATGTTGAGTTCTGGTCAGGAAAATAGGGTAACAAACTTTAAACACACAGGTTAGAGCTCAGACTGTACTGTTAACACTGGGTAGATAACCAATTTTAACAGTGGTTATCTACCCTGCCACTACTGTTGACATTGATTATCCATCCTGCCACAACTGTTAACATTGATTATCTACCCTGCCACTACTGTTAACCTGATTATATACCCTGCCACTACTACATTAGCCCCTACTATAAATATTGATTATCTACACTGAGACTACAGTTTCTAGAATAACCTAATAAAGTTTATTTAACTAGTCAACACATCTAATCTATAGGAGCTTTTAAAATAATTACCAAACCCATTCTACTTTAAAAAACTCTGGAATACTAATATATAAATTTAATTGGGGGACTAAAATAGACAAGCCCTATTCGTGTAATAAAAGTTTACCCGTGACATAGCTTCCGCTATACGGGTACCAATGACAGTGTTTGGTTCCATCTCACCTCCAATTGTTTGAAGAACCTGTCAACATTGTATTTAAAAAAATTTAAAAATAAATAAATATATTCTATTCTAATATCAAATCTCTACATGACTAACCCTTCAACATTGTATTAAAAAAATAATAATCAAATATTCTATTCTAATATCAAATCTCTACATGGCTAACCCTTCAACACCACCTAGTCATCAACCTTAGCTCTGTTGTGATACAACAAGTTAACCTCAAATTATAACCAGTTTGTAACAGTCACTTTAATTAATGCTTATTCATCATCTAAAACCACACATCTGGGACATCAAAACTTCAGTAAAAAAATGTTATGAATAGTTTCTATGGCTGAATGTCAGCAGTGTTACCTACCTTGGTTAAAGCTTCTTCAGGTAACAGAGTAGAATCCGCCTTGAGAGTAACACCAGGCAAATGGTCAAAGGACCTGATGGGGGAAACCTGGTCTGTCTGGCAGTATGGATCCTTGTGTTCATGTTTCAACAGGGTGCTGAAATCTATGTGCTCACCAATGCTATGGAAATAGGCACAAGAAAGTTGACACCTACATTCTCCAGAAGACAAGTAATTCATGCCCTCTAGCAATCAGTATTTATATTAAACAATCATTTACATATAGCAATAAACCATACATTTATATGTTAATAGGTGCTGCCCTTTCATTTAAATCTGATTCTGGGGAAGTTATCTTTTAATTAAACAATTTTTGCTAAAAAAATATACATACAATGTTGAACTAATCAGTTTTTAAAAATTATGCAAAACAGCTTGTGAAAAAAAAAGCTCAAGGCTATCACCAAGTAATTTTCATACAACAAAAAAAGGAAAAAAGAATTTTATCAAACTAAATTAAGAAATATAGAACAAAATGGTATAAAGATTATAAAAGTCTTCACTCACTTTATTCCTTTAGCTGTTGGACATAGCCAGGTACTTGTGCTGTGTTCAAAGTCCACCAACTCCTCACCAGTGCAGTCCTCAACTTGCCAGTTTAGCTGTGCTAGGTTTTTTAAGTTAACCTGTGTATCTGAATGGGAAAAAAATCTGGCTTAGTAAAATGTCTTTTTATTTACATTTTAATTTTATAGCCAAACATGGGCACAAGCTAAAACATGTGGGGAGGGGGGGGGTGTCAGCCTGTCAGCAATGTATCAGTTGCCTGGCAACTCAATGACAACAAAGTATCAGTTACCTGGCAACTCAATGACAACAATGTATCAGTTACTTGGCAACTCAATGACAACAATGTATCTGTTACCTGGCAACTCAAAGTCTTCAACACTGGAATGCTTTGAATGATGGGCAGGTGGTTCTGGACTTCGAAACTTAAAATCAGACAAAAACGGTGGGGCTTGGACAGCATCTTCTCTGACTGCCTGGGTGAGAGAATCTGACGTTTCCTGCGGTTTCTCCTGCGTTGGTTTCTGTTCTAGAGGTGTTGATTTTAAAGGTGTTGCTTCTAAAGGTGTTTCCTTATCATAATCCAGCCCCCACTCCCTCAGGGCCTGAAGTTCCCGATCCTCTTCTTCTTCTTCATACTCATAGTATTCAATCGTGGAACCCGGCTCCACCCACACAGTTTCAATTTCATCAGCCTGAAATTTGTTTCAAGTAGAATTAAAAGTTAACTAGAAAAAAAAAACAAGAATGTTTATATTTAATTAATGAATTAATCTTAATTATTTTGGTTCTTCAACAAGTAAAAAGGTGATGAAGAATAAAATGTATTAATATGCCAGAACCATAAATATTTTTTCAAATATAATTTTTTTTTCAAAAACTAAACTAAATGTGTATTTTTAGATTTTTTAAAATATTTAGACATATCAAAGCATTTCTACAGTTGTAAATCTTCAAAAAATAATTCTAAACATTTAGTAAAGGATAGTTATTTTACAATTTAAAAACAACAATATATTACTCCATGTTAGCAAGCCATCAGTTAGAATATACACATTTTTAAAAATTTGCCATGCACTACTTAAGAGGGATTGAGGATGCATTCAATGTAACTAAATACAGACTAATGAAGCACAAAGGATGAAACAACTTTATTTCAGAAAAGCAGAAAGACTTTAAAATTGGATTAACATTAACTATTAATTAAACATTTGTTTTCTTTTAATTTTAGTCTCTGAAAAACTACAATTTCAATACACACTTTAAGAACTAAAACCAATCAAACACAAATTTACAAAAAATTAAAAACACAATTTTGCAAACAAAAATGACTACAATCAAGATTTTTACAGACAGCTAAGCTTGTGCGCTATAATTTCTGGTCAATGATTGATGATTTTGTAATTGGATAGTTCATGGTTAATTTTTTGTTTTGTTGCAGATGTACCCTAAATTGGTAAGTTATAAAACTGCAGGTAATAAAATATTACCTGATTAAACTTTAAAGTAAAACAAGCCTAAAAAATATTGACTGTTTGTGAGACATTTTAAAATCTTTTATTATCTATCACAACTTATTAAACAGTTAGGAAGATTTGAATAAATAGAAATACACAACTGAGTAATTTATTTATGAGATGTTAGAGAAATATGTTTTTCTAAAAAGCATCAACAGAATTCAATTGTAATACATGTAATCCACTAGGCCGAACAGTAAGTTGGACATAGCGCCTCATGCCAAGAGCTGCCCTGCAAGTCACATGCAACATCAAGTCATTCACAGTGAGCGTTAAAACAGTTGGATTAGCAATAGAAATGAAGCCAATCTTGAAACAACAAGTCACTTACATGCTGGAACTGGCTTCAGGATTATCAGAGTTACATCCCTTTACTGCTACTCCAAACTGCTGCCTATGCTATACAGTTGGTCCAGTTCAGGAAACTTTGCCCCATATTATACCAGGTCCATTCCAATTAACAATTGTCCCTTCGTCAAAGATGCAACTTTCATTATATTTTCATTAAAATTGACTTCATAGCTTCAGGTTCACTTCAAATTCTCAGAGGTTATTTATTATTCCCACATATACATTTTTTCTGTTTTTTTCTCTTTCTTCAACTTTTCTCATTCTGCCAACTGGTGGAACTCCCATCAGCAGTGATTTGATGGACATGGGACACACATACAAGACACCAGTACACTGATCAATGGGAACAGCAACAACAGACACCAGAACAAAGTCAAGAGTAAACCTCAGTAGTTTGCACAATGGAAAATATGTATCCTTTTATTATCAGTTCAAGAAACAAGAATCAACTGATATAAGATAACAATAATAATACAATTAAAAGCTGTATAAATATCAGGTGGTGAGAGGTTTGACCAAACCTACAAAGAATTATTTAAACGGTGAGTTAAAAGTTGAAAGAAAAATAAGAGTGCTCTCCTTTTGTTTCAGAACTTTAAAAAACCAAATACCAAAAAATTTAATTCAACTACTTAAAACAATCTTTCTGAAAGGTAAAAATTAATTTATTTTAAAAAAATCCTTTTCTCAAAAAGCAACAAAAACTTAGCCAATTCTAGGCTGTAAAACATTGACGAGCAAACAGAAAGGATCATGATCATTAAGTACATGGTAAAACATGGAATGGTTGGAAACACAAGCAGACTCTGGTTCAGATCTGACACTTGCAGATCTATGGAGGTGCTTCATCAAGTAGAGACACATTCACACCAATTACGTTTTATTTATCAAATCTTTTTAAACAAAATATTTCTATCTTTTAAGCGATAACAAAAAAATAACATGCTAGTTAAAATTGAAAATCTTTCTTTTTTTCCATTAAAGGTAAAATTCAAATAGAGATGAGTGCAATGGACGGGAAGTGGTGTGATCAAAACCAAGTTGGACTAAAGGCAGTAAATTAAGCAAGGAGCGAATCATAACAAATGAAAGACATAGTTACTCAATCATAAATTAATTCTCATAGTTAAAAACATTTTCTTAAAATAATAAAATCTGGAATTTAAAATAGAAATCAAGTCACCATGAACACTCAGACAAATTAAACCAATCCTAGCAAAGAATATCAACACCAGCCTGGGTTTCCTAAACAAACTTAGGTAGTCTACACGTAAACAATTTTTTGTATCGTAGTGAGATCAGAAAAAAAACATTTATTTAGGTTATATGAACTCATCAATGAGTTGGATTGGTTACAACATCAACATTGTAAAATGTGCTAGAAGACTCAGGTCCCAGTGTTTGATCGAATCCTTTGCGTGGGATCTACATGTGTAAAATAACAGCACCTGACATTCACAAATTTCCCTCTTTCACAAGTGTAAAAATCATTCTTCAAGAAACATTCAGTGGTTCAAGAAAAAGATTTGTACAGAAGCTGAATAGGTTTGAGCACAATTTGCATGTCATTAAAAAAGGGTTGCATATTAAAAAAGTTCACATAATTATTTTTAGTGACAAAGTCCAGTTGTTGATATCAGTATGGTGCTACTTTAAACAGCTCAGTTCTCTTAAAAAATTAAACTTTAAAATTACTCAGGCCATTTATTAACAAAGTTTGACTGTAAAGGGTTAAAACAAACTGGGTACAGATCTAACCTTTGTACATTGGTTAATCATAAAAATGTCCTTTTTTAAAACCATGCTATCCAACTTTAAACTAATTAATACATTTTTTTTAAAACTTCAATGATAAAAATATAAACCAATCGGTTCACATAGCATTAGAACAAAAATATTCTAACATTGAGTAGATCTTAAAACAATTGAAATACAATATGAGTAATAACCTATTAAGAATACCCATAAAATACTGAAGTACTAAATATTTATAGTAAACTTTATCTCAAATAATTTTCAAGTTACAAATCCTGCATGTCAATTGTGCATAGTTTCTACCCAGTGTCACTCTGTCATTAGCTCAACTACTTTAAAAGTTGACCAACTTATTACACTTTATATCTAGCTGTTACAGTTATATTCATGTTTAATACATACAAGTCACACAATTCATTTCTAAACACACAGAACAAAAGAGTGGAGACAGTCATCAGATCTGACCAGTAGAATTAGAGTTACATCCCCTTTTTTACATTCAAGAAGTCAATACATTTATGGTGTAAGAGAATTATTGAAGAACTGTCTGGCACTGCAGCTAGACATCTGACAGGCATGGAATATCTGGCATACAAGATTTATACTTAACAGCACTTGTTTGAAGCGGCGGCAAAATAAACATGTGGGTGGTAAATGGCATGAGGTGGGTCATGTGGCAATCAGTTGGGCACACTTACATAGGTCCTGAACTCCTCTCTGTTACAGCCCACAGACTTGGTGCCATCATTAAAGATAACACAGTCATCTGCGTCAATCTGCATCTCTGATGGAGAAACCTGAAAACAAAAAGTTTTTTTTTTAAAGACCAGCGATTGGTTGAGTAAGATGTGTGATTAAACAAACACAATCAGTGATTTATTTAATAAGAAAACTAATTAAACAAACACAATCAGTGATTTATTTAATAAGAAAACTAATTAAACACAATCAGTGATTTATTTAACAAGAAAATAATTTAACAAACACAATCAGTGATTTATTTAACAAGAAAATAATTTAACAAACACAATCAGTGATTTATTTAACAAGAAACTAATTTAACAATTTAAAAAAAAAGTTTTTTTATCAGAATTATTTCATCAAAGGTTTTAAGCCATGAGTAAAAAATGAAAGAGAGCCTTGAGTTGAAGGTAAAAGTGTAAGATTTTAGCTATAAAGGTAAAAGAGAAAGTGTAAGATGTAATCCAGGAGTTAAAGATAAAGTGTAAGATGTAAGCCTTGAGTTAAAGGTAAAAGTGTAAGATGTAAGCCCGGATTTAAAGGTAAAAGTGTAAGATGTAAGCCTTGAGTTAAAGGTAAAAGTGTAAGATGTAAGCCTGGAGTTAAGGTAAAAGTGTAAGATGTAAGCCTGGAGTTAAAGGTAAAATTGTACGATGTAAGCCTGGAGTTAAAGGTAAAATTGTAAGATGTAAGCCTGGAGTTAAAGGTAAAATTGTAAGATGTAAGCCTGGAGTTAAAGGTAAAAGTGTAAGATGTAAGCCTGGAGTTAAAGGTAAAAGTGTAAGATGTAAGCCTGGAGTGAAAGAGAGAGAGAAAGATGTACCAACTTGAAGGAATATGAACTGATGCTTGAGGACACCCTCCACATACTCCAGCTTGGTGTGAGGCTTCTGGTTACCCTGTGGATCAACAAATGTTTGATCTGTAAGTATATTTTCATCAATCTTTGTAGAAACAGTCAACTGATTAAAGAAATTCTAATGAGGGTAGTTTCCCTAACTAGTGGAGAGCCAGGTTCTACAACCTAATGGTGGTTAAATAAAAAGGGAGTTAATTGGTGGGACAATCTACACATGTTTAGCTCATACTTAGCCTGTGGTTCTGAAAATTTTTATACTAAAAAAAAATTACTTGATTTATTTTACTGTAAGATAGATTAACCAATAGTACATAAACAGTGACCACAAAATTAATTTTTTTCAGTGTTTCTATTATTTTGAATAAATAATTATAAGTCAACTACAATCATGTACAATGTGTATATCATGCATATAGTTAAATTGTCTGGTAACAACAGGAGTTCAACATGCACAAAAGCCACAGGTGTGACACTAAGAACTTAATACAGACTGACAATGGTACAGAATAAATATAGGAAGGTTATAGATCAAATAATACAGGCTGACAATGGTACAGAATAACCATAGGAAGGTTATAGATCAAATAATACAGGCTGACAATGGTACAGAATAAACATAGAAAGGTTATAGATCAAATAAAACAGGCTGACAATGGTACAGAATAAACATAGAAAGGTTATAGATCAAATAAAACAGGCTGACAATGGTACAGAATAAACATAGAGTTATAGATCAAATAATATAGGCTGACAAAGGTACAGAATAAACATAGAAAGGTTATAGATCAAATAATACAGGTTGACAATGGTACAGAATAAACATAGGAAGGTTATAGATCAAATAATACAGGCTGACAATGGTACAGAATAAACATAGAAAGGTTATAGATCAAATAATACAGGCTGACAATGGTACAGAATAAACATAGAAAGGTTATAGATCAAATAATACAGGCTGACAATGGTACAGAATAACCATAGGAAGGTTATAGATCAAATAATTATAATACAGGCTGACAATGGTACAGAATAAACATAGAAAGGTTATAGATCAAATAATACAGGCTGACAATGGTACAGAATAAACATAGAAAGGTTATAGATCAAATAAACATGGCATCTGAACATTTGAAATAAACTGGCATATTGAATGGATTTACTTCCATAGTAAGGCCATGCAATTTGTTATCCTGATAAAATACCCTTCTAGAGCATTTTTATATTCAAAGCTGACCCAAGCTCAGGAAATGTATGTTTTGACACAGTTAATAAAACTAATTAGCTAACAAGTCCAAAATAAGTCTACGTTGTAGATTTAACTAGAAATATGCCAATTGTTTTTTTAAACTCCCAACTGCTAAATAAAAAATAATTGTATTAATAAATCTGGCTCTTCTGGTTCTCAAACCATGCATTACTTCCAAAATGGTTTAATGGTGTTGGGAGGTATTTCAGGTACATAATACTGGCTGCTCCACGCAGGATGCAAACACAAACATTTTGAATAAATCAAACAATGCATGATCATGCAGTCTATAACATTTAATGAACACAAACTTGTACGAGACTGAAGGCATTCAAAAACAAGAAAAAATTAATAGTAAACAAAATGTGCATTCAAATTTTACTGTCATGGTTAAGTTATTTAAAAAAAAAAATGGTTATTTAAAAATGAGGATTAAGAATGTTATGCAAGGGTAAATCTACAAGAAACTAGAATGACAGAGAAAATTGAGCAAGCTACTAAATGCACTAACAAAAAAAAGGAGTGAAACAAAACCGGCTTGCTACAGACTAAAACACTAGATGCAAACATGTGGTTGACCCTACCGGGCACTGCGCAGCATGGTACGCAACAGGTCGTACAAACAGTTTTGGAGGAGTGATAACATGTGCTATGAGCCCAGAGTGTGTTGTCATAGGGAGAAGGCACTGTGAGAAAAGGTATTGAGCCATCAGACAAATAAACACAAATAAATTCCCAGAAATCAACTTCCTGTTTCAAGTTAAACTAGGATCTTGGGGAGGGCAGAATAAATAATTTACATGCAACTAGACTTTCATCTAGTTTTTTAAATATGGACATCCTGAAAATTTGTGTAGTGTGTTTTCAGCGGGTAGCAAGTGAAAACTCAAGCGTGTGAGGTTGGCAATAATAGGTAAAATACTTTAGGTAACCATATGATACACAAAAAACTTTCAACATAAACCTGTTTGAAATCTCAAAAATTATAATACAACACAATTTTTCTTCAAGTTTTTTTATAGGAAGAGTAATTTTAAGAAACAAAACATTTATTTATGTGTAGATGTGCCACCAATTTTAGAGCAAAAAATATAACCAAGATTTGACATTTAACTCTGCTCTTTTAACTTTATTATTTGTATGCTGTAGCCTTTAAAGAGGCAAGAAAAGTTATGAAACAATTACAACTGAGAAGCCAATTCAGCCAGCATGCAACAAACATAAAATCTTTACCTGAACACGAAGGTGGCTGCATTCATCTCCTTCACAAAGCCCTTTCTTCTCATAGTACTGGCTCACCTCGTCTAGTTTACTGGTGAAATCTGTTGAGACTATTCAACAAAAACAAAAGTTGTGTGGACTATTCAGACAAAAAAAGTTGTTATAGTTATTACAGTTATATAGACTATTCAACAATTAAAAATTCAGAAGTCTTTCTAAATTTTGAACTGAAGATTTTAGCAGGTTTGAATAGACTATTATCTAAATTTAAATTTCAGCAAGAATAGAAGTATTAAAATTATTTTAACTGTCCACATTTCTATTAAACTGAATAAAAGCATGTACAAAAATGTATATACTTTCTAAAATTAACACAACATTTTAAAAATATGTTTAGCTGCTTCTAATACAACCATTAACCCTTTGAACCCTTAGCTCCTGACCCTAAAACCCCAGTGCCCAAAAAAATTGAAGACTGAATATAACAACAAAGCTAACTATTATTTTAATGAACATTTGTACATGTATTATCGCCAATACTTTGACTTAGTATGCTGGTCCTCCTAGCAAGTAGACCCTTCTTTCCAACTTAAGTAGGTGCGGACATAAAAATAATGCAGGTAACTGGCATTTTCAAATTGTATTTTGATAGTAAATTGCAATGCAAATGATAAACAGAATTTAAAAATTACTTTATGGGTGCAGCGATGACAAGAACTTACCACAAGTAGAACAGTACTAGTTACATACTTATTTAATTTAGCATTTTTATGTATTGACTGTCAATATGAGGTAGGGTGTCTCAGATTGGTCTGCCTGGGCACGGAGATTTAACTCAAATTTAACCACGGGTTTAATGGGTTAAACATAATCGTATATCAAGTATATGAATAACTTACAAAGCATGTCTTCCTGGTCTGTTGAGAATGGTTTACCTCCCTTGCCAGAACAATGACCAACTGGAAGAAAGAACAAAAGCTGTGTTGTGACATCAAGCAATCAGTTCATGGAATGTAACATGAGAAATCAACACAAACATGGCAACCATCAGCACAACTTATACTGCAGAATACAAGTAATTGGAATTGCTTTAATCAGAAAGAACTATAGAACAACAAAGATGTATAAATAATTTTTAATACAAAAAAAGAATATTTTCATTCAGAATGTTAGTATCATACAATAAATAAATCAATTTTACCTTCAACATTTCCCACCTAATATAAGCATATATCCCTTATTTCATAATTATAGTTGACCCAAACAGCATAAAAATATATTTAAAAATATAGCAATCACATTGGACTGAATAAAGAGCCAGTGAATAGACCATGATTAAAAAGCCATTTTCAAACCAGGTGTTAAGTTTAAAAACTAAATTTTTTATATAGAGCCAAGCATAAAATCAGACAGTAAAAAACAATTATGTAAACAAAATTTGATACAAATAGTGAACATCATTAATAAATAATTTAAAAATCTGCTTCTTCAGCTTTAAAATAATGAATTAAAATTTACATTTTTTAAATATTTAAAGTATATTTAATATTTTTATCATTACTTAAGTTTATCACATTCATTTTTCAAATGTAATCAAATTTTAAAACTGTTCTTTATAAGAAGTTAACAGCATTATAAGACCTGGTCTACAAACTAATGAGATTAAAATTGGTGTGTTTGCAAGGTGAATTAGTAAATCACTACACAGGTTAAATTGAGACTATCCCTTTTTTGAAACATTTTTTTTCAACATGATTCAAGCAAAGAGGGGTACCAATAATAGCTGAGGTTCTAGAAAAAAAAATATCTCCTCCATTACAAACCACAACCAATTTAACTTGTTGTCTCTGAAAAGGAATTTGACTGATTACTTTAGATAGGAATAATCATATAAATTTTAAAGATTATTGCATGCGTTGTAAGTAAAGAGTTAATTTAGAAAAGCACATACAATGGTTAACAGGAGAACGTAAGTATAAATATCTTAACATTAAAATCTTACTTAAAATAACATAATTTAAAATTTGTAAGATATATCAATATGTATATATTTACATACACAACTAATTAATTTGAAAACAACTTTGTTAGAGAGAGAGGTAGATATAATGGTTGCCACCCAGCATAAAAATATTTCAATTTTGTATTTATTTTTAAAGTTATTTCCTTTGCCATCTTGTCAAATATTATATCCTAGAAAATCAACTGTTTCAACCAGGATATTATAGGCTACTACACTTAAAGGCACTAGGACAAACAGGTCATGGGTCAGGTAGGCTTGTACCTTGTGTATGTATATATTGAAGTGATATCTAACAGTAAAAGATTTGTAAGAATGTAAACCAAAGAACAACTTGAATAACAGAACATGGTTCAGAGGTAGAAACAGTGTACAGTAAATCACATTACATTTCAGCTTGCAGCCACACAGACTTTTCCCTGCAAGTGGTTCAATGTTATCTTGGTTAAGTCAAATACAACAGTTACACTAGCTACCACTAGCTTTAAGTTCAACATCTTGGTTAAGTCAAATACAACAGTTACACTAGCTACCACTAGCTTTAAATTCAACATCTTGGTTAAGTCAAATACAACAGTTACACTAGCTACCACTAGCTTTAAGTTCAACAAGCTTTTTTCCTTTGATCTGACAACTTCATACAAAGATAAGTTGGAAATGCACAAGTTAGTTATGACAGTACCTACTACTAACATAAAAAAGGAACTTGATATGAATGTAAAGTTTAAATAAATGTCTAGACTTACTAATGGTATTCTCTAGATTAACATCACCACTGCACCCATCAACCTTGATTGGAGTGATTGTGCATGTTTGGGTACACTGGCCATTACAATCTGCAACCCTGTTGCGGGAACGTGTCTCAATGATACACTTCTCTTCATTGTTTTCCTGTAAAAATCATACGTTTATGGATATGAATTATGTCTGAATATAGTTCAACATTTAGTTCACTCAGTAAAAAAAACATGCTTACAGTTTTACAGATAACTCGGCTCTCTGTTTCCGCTGGTTTTTGTTGACAGTTGGTCTGGCTGTTGGCAGGAGATTCCTGAGGTGCAGCACTCTGCGCAGCGTGGTGAAACTTGAGGTAGCATTTCATGGCTCGAACAGCATCCAGTGCTCCAACAAAGGTGGGGTCAGCTGACAGGGCCTCGTGATAGTGGTGGGCAGCTCCAGTGTAGTTGCGTGTTGCCCACAGCAGATGGCCCAAAAAGAAATGAGATGAAGGCTGGAACATAAATAAATCTGCTATAGACATTTTTATTTTAAAGGTATTTAAGATATGAATTCACAAACAAATTAACATGAGCCTTGAGTGATCATAAACAATGGTGCTACAACGCTAAATAAAATATTTTTACAAAAGAAGATTTTTCACTTTTTCACACATTTTTCCAATTGTAACCCTTCAAAAATGTATTTTTCAAAATAACTATAATTTAATTTAAAAAAATAATTTATGTGTGAAAAGTATTACACAACTTACTTAACTAGTAAATTATCAAAAAATTTTGTCACAGTAGACAACGTAACAAGTGGTGTTATTTCTCGTTTAGTTTTATGAAATAGGCAAATCATAATTACGGTAAAAGATTGCTCCAGTTATCAAAATTTTATATTTTTATTTTACCTATAAAAAGTCCAATAAATAACCAGGTTCACATAATTATACTTTATAACCTATGTAAATGTTTCAGCTAAATGATACCACCTGCCCTTTCAAAATTTGATTTTTTAAAGAAGGCAAATCCAAAAGCATAACAATGAGACTTGGGTGTCAAAGATTATTTGGCAGCCCTGACGGTACAAAATTCTGATTACCTCTGCATCATTCACATGAAGAGCATCCCTCATGATAATGATAGCATCATCATAGCGTCCATATCTGTACAAGATGTTGGCTAAATTTACAAGAGGGACATCTTTATACTGGGCAGGGCTAAGGTAGATGGACCTACGAATACACTCTATGCCATGGTAGTTGTTGCCAATGATTCTCCAGTACAGCCCAGCCAAGTTGTAGAGGATCCACTGTGGGCCTATGTTCTGTGGAGAAACAAACACATTGCAGCAATTATCATTTGTAACATGTGGGATAGTCTAGACCACATCACACACAATTCACAAATTAGCTGTTTCTGAACACATATTGAACATGAATGACATAAAAAAATCTGCTGTACCTGCTTTAGTGCAGTCAAAATTCTCTGTCCCACTTCTTCCTCAGTGACAACACCATCATTGACATGTTTCAGCAAAATCTGGTTTTGATTGAATGGTATTGATAAAACATACAAAAATCTAAACCTTTAGTTAAGTGCTAAACCTATTAACTGAAACACAGAAGTTGTCAAACAGTGTGTGCCGTACCTCTTTCATAGAAAGATCATTGTACTTGAGTGGAATCCTAGACCTCTCAGAATAGCTGACAGATTTGAGGTGGTCGTACACTGCAGGGTTGCCTTCAGCCAGCTCCATCAAGGGCACGCAAGATGGTGGGTACCAGGGCAGTGGATGCTCCCCGCCAGGCTCCAGGCCCTGAGCTTCAGTCAACAGTTCTTTGACCCTACAGTTCAAGCAAATGTCAACCTGTTATCATGTGATCAACACAAACACAAGACATCATAAAGATGGGATTCATCTCAAATCAGTTGAAAATAAGGATCAGGTAAGAGAACGATGGAGATCTCTCATTGCTACCTTATCTAAGCTAGAGTAACAGACTATATTGATGATGATAATAATTTAATTTAATAAAACCCTAACTAATTTTTTTATACTACAACAAAGTAAAATTTTAAAACCAATATTTCAGACTAGTAAAGCTCACCCTGTGGCCTGCAGTATTTGATATGTCCCTTTAAAAAGTATACTGAAAAGAACTTACTCAAATCCTTTGTTTTCTGGTGACAAGTAGACTGTTGTTAAATTCCTTGGGTCAGGGACCTTTTTCACCATAGAGTCACATTCATCTTTCCTGGGCCAGTTGGGCTGCATGTACACATCTGCTTCTGATGGCTGAAACAGGGGAATAAAAACTGTTAAATAGTCATGTTCATAAATATCACCAGCATGCAAAGGAAAAGATGGAAATTAGGAAACATTCAGGTGGTTATGGCCCAGAATATTTGTTGTTTCACTTACTTTATGTTTTTTGTACTTGGAGTAGATCGGAGCCTTTACAGGCTGACTATAGTCTGGACTCTTGGGGTTGTCTTTAACTTCCGTCACTTGCTCTGATTTGTTCTGACATTTTTTAACTTACGTTAGTAATATAAGAAACAACTTCTAAATGAATGATTAATGTATTTTTTAAAAATAGGAAAATTTAGGTTAAAACTAAAAAAAGAAATAAAATCCCACGACCCTGAATGATAATTAAGTTACTGCAAATATTCACCTCTTCTTTAGCTTTTTCTGGGGTATCTTCCAAAAAAGCAAAGTTGAAGTCCAGAGTGGGGGACCTCCTACTCCATGTACACAATAGAACTTGTTTGCCATCTCTATCTACCATCCTGCAGAACTCATCTGAAAATGTCACACTCTTCTTCCAATGGGGGTAAAAACATTTCTACCCTTCTCAAAACAGATTTAGTTTAAAAATTAATCACAAACAAGCCATATTTTGAATACTATGGATAAAATTGGCTTATTGAAATATATTAATCTAAATAAGAAATCTACAGATTTGAAAAGAATACAATTTCAATTTCTAAAAAAAAAATTAAATCAGAAAAATGTAATATAAAATTAACAAAAGCAACACATTATAAAACTAAAATAAGCCTTATTAACAAAAATGTGTTAATTTAATGTTGTAACTAAATCAATTTAAAAAATTATGATTCAAAGGAATTTAAATTGATATTTTTTTCAAGAAACAACAAAACACGTAAGTAAAAAAAAGAATAGTTGGGGTGTTTGAAGCAGGCATATACAGCAGGCGGGAGGTGGAGGAAAACCTTCACCCACAGGTCAGTGGTCAAAAAATGATATTAAAGGATAAAAAACAAAAAAAAAAGTTTCCCTACACCAGGCTTAAGTATGCTCAACCTATTTGCTCAAACAATATTTCTATTCATCAATACATTTTAGACTTATTGTTTGTTTTAACAAAAACAATAGCTTCATTTGATTTCATATGATACATTATAAAAACATTTGCAATATTAGTAAACTAAGCATCTACTAACTGATGTCAGCTACTCAAAAACTAAGTCAACTACAAAACAGCTACTAATGTTTCTAATCAAAATAACTTACCCATATCGGAGGATCTCTCCTTTATCTTTAGCTGCTCATACGCCAAATGTTGGGAGATTTTGACTTCATGGGGTACCTGCTCTGCCAACAGTTTATCACTCTGAGTCTGGTAGAGGTCATGTTTTCTTTGATAGTCTTTCAGATCTTTCAATGTCCTCTGTAGTGATCTGGTGGGAATCAAAACATTTCATTCAACTGTACCTTTTTAAAAAAAGAATTTTTCTGATGTAAAACTTCAAGCAGTCTCATTATAAATGATTAACCCTAAGTTTCATTAGCTGAAATGGACTATTTAATGGCTTGCTACGAAACAACCCAAAATCAGCAACATACAGTGACTATACTTGTGAGAGGGTTGAATAAAACTTTCCAACTAATGTTGAGTACTTGAGAAAGCCTTGATCAACTTAAAGCCATGTACAACAAGAAGAATCAAGAATGAACCTAACCTGTGCTGGGCCTCTAAGGCCATCTCTAGCTTTGAATGACAAAGAACTGCATGCCGTCTTTTAGAGGCTGCTTCAAAATCTGGCTGAATTTTTAATGTGTTTTCAAAACAAATTACTGATTTATTGTACTCTCCCAAAACCTGAAAATAATTATAAAATAATTGAAATTATCAAATGAAATTATGCAAGTTCATATTAAAACAAGAGAGAAAATAGACTTTTAATAAAATGTTAAAATATCATTTCCTTCAAGAGCAGTAGTAACCTGACTTACTGCGTAAATATTCCCAAGTGTGAAATGGTTTACATTCAACTCTTTGGACATCTCCAGAGCTGCATGGACTAATATGGCTGCCTCATTGGAAAATCTAGCACGATGGAGAATATTTGCTAAGCTGATCAGTGCTACATCCTTCTGCTGTCTGTAAGTAAATAAGTTTTAGTTTTATTTTTGGTGAAAAGGACATAAAAGTTATTGAAAAAAGTAGGAAAAGAAATGGAAAAAATAGCCAGTGATAGAAAAGCATGGAAGGATGTTGAAAATTATCCATGCTCCATACTCTTTCTAAAAGTGATTCTACGCAAATTAATCTTTAAACACTCACCTTGGGGAGTGATGCAAAGCTCTTCTAATACACTCCACAGCTTGAAAGGGGTTACCCTTTATTCTCCAATAAAAAGCAGCCATGTTGTAGAGTATCCAGGAAGTTTTATTCTAGAAGCAATGTAAAATTGAACATCAATTAGCTGTAAGTACTAGATTCTAACTGAAGCTTTCATAACATTATACATGTTGCACTGGATGTTTATGAAGAAAAATAGATAAGGGAATCATCACAAGAATCATACTTTGTTCAAGGCTTCATACACCAAATGGCCATAGTCGTCCACATTTTCTTTATGAGTGATAGCATTTTTGAGTCCAAGTTCTGGTGTGCCAGATAAGTTATGTCTGGATTTCATTCCCTAAAGAATGTACACAAGATTAAATGTATGGCTTCTTTAGGCTTTTCAAAGATTTAAGAACTCAATACTTAAAATGAAATTAATATTGAATATTAAAGAACTTAATAACTTACATAGAATATTTTAAAAAATTATATACAAGTAAAGGCTTATGCAATAATTAGAAAGAAGCTGAATAAATTATGTTTAAAACAATAATTAAATTTCGTCCTTAATATAAATGCTTTACCTCAAGATGTTCAAAAGCATGAATACTAAATTCTAGATCCATAAAAGCTGTACATTCTGGAGGTTTCGGATAGGGACTTGGAGAGAGATTTATATCAATGTGTTCATCTGGCCTGAGATAATATTCAACAACTATTAGCACATGTATCATGTAATCTAAACAAAGCATTGTATTATTGATCAATATTGTGAACTATATACTATATTGAAGTTGTAAAATTATGAATGAACATTCAAACATCATTTCTGATGGAATAAAATGCATTGAAGTTACCTAATTCCTTTATTTTCTAATGGCAGAACTGTGCTGATGTACAAGTCAAACTCTGGTAAAGGTTTTCCTGCCTCTATACAGTCTGGGTTGGTTTTGTAAAATTTTTGTTCTAAGCCTAAATTAAAAAGTGTAAAATTACAAAATAACAGCAACACCAATGTTTGTTTTTATAAAAATAAAAAATAAAATAGCTAAAGTCATTTAGTTTATACTTAATAAATTGGAAAAAAAGCATTATACCTGTATCTCTATCTTCATTTTTGTCTATTTCATCTTTTCTACTTAACAATTCTTTTTTCAGGGTGTTTAGCATAGTTGCACGATCTTCTTGTTTCATGAATGCAACTAAGTCATAAGGGCGTCTAAGGTTGTAAACAGAGTCAGCCTGGAAATAATAAAGCAACATGATTGTAAATTGATTGTAAAAATTAGCACATTTCTTTACCATGGAACACAAAATGCATTATTAATCTACCTACTGTATACATTTTTCAAACTATCTATAGTAAATATTGGTACCTCACTCAGTTTGTGTCTGAACTATTTAGTTCACAATTAACATATGTACAATGTAGTCAAGTTAAAATAAGGAAACAAGGCCAGGGAGACAATTTATAGTATTAGTTATAGATCTATTAATTACACTAGAACTAGGAAGTAATTTAGCCTCACTGTGTAAATGAAATATTAATTTTGAGTGCAGCAGATCCTCTTCTCAATGCAAAATTATAAAGATAGGGATGATTAGATACTGGAAAGGATAATAGGCCTTGTAGCTTTTATAAAAAAATATTAATCATGAGAAAAAAGGCACACACAAAAATCATGATGGTAGTATTCTATTTTGGTTGACAATTTGCATTTGGACAAAACAAACTCAAGAAACTAAAAAATCATAACAAAAAACAACAAGCTTGTGTAATTTATGTTTAGTTAAAGGTCACATTTGTTTAAGATCTAGAATTCCAGATTAGTTTATGCTTGTCAGATGTGTCTTAAGTACTTTTTTTGTGATTTTCATGCCATAAAATTACTGGCAGCATTTTAAAACTTTTGTATTGAATTATTTTAGACCCTCAGTAATTTAGTGGGGCCTTTGTTAGGCCAGTAGAAGTAGAATAGATCTAGGTAGTTATATAAAGTAATGAGGTAAGATTCAAAAAATGAACATTAATTTGCAAAGTGTAGGTTATGTAGGTATTGTGTGTATGCCAGGACCAGGTAATCCCCCAGCATAGCGTCGGTTATTATTCCGGAACGGTATAGCAGTAAAAAACAGTAAAACAATGACAAAATCTGTCATGCCATTCTTTAAGTAATGTAAACCATACTTAAATAGGCGGCATCTTTTATTTTCAATACAGAACATTAAAAAATTTGGATAGATTGATTACTAAACATTATTCTAGTCATTTTTACTAGGCTAGATCTAGACTCTGATTCTAAACTGATTGTCGCAAATACTCTACAGGTTTTTATTACTGTGTTTCTCAAAAAAACATTAAACTAATTACTACACTTGACTTTATGATTTATATTTAGATCAACTAGGCCCTTGTGTTGATTAAACTTAAAATTAAGTTTAAACATTAATTTAGATCATCAATTTTATTATATTGATATTATTAATATTATATTTCAAACGAAAAAAAACATGGTTTACACTAGATTAAAGTAACTAATAACTTTACTAATTAATGTTAAGTGTCATCCATTTATGATGTCCACAAAAATTTGGAAAAATAACAGTTCTCAACACTTTAGTATAAATTAGGTCCTATATGTTAAGCGCTTGTTCATTTAAATGTTTTTTTTTGCCATAACAAACATACTGCAAAGTATTACAAACTTATTTTTATGCACTGGTAGATGCCTTATAAGCTTAACAATCATAACATTTGTAAGTAGTAGCCTCATTCATGACCACTAAGATGTTTACTTGATTCTCATTTTATCCCAAAAAATTACTAAATTGCAAAGTCAAAAAAATTGCTAGAAAAGTAAATGTTAGACCTTAAAGTCTGGAAAACCATTATTTTTCGGGACGACTTTTTAAAAAAATCTGGTAACTTTTAGGACTTTAATTTTAAAAATACTACTATTCCATGATGTCTGTTAGTCTACAGCATGTAAACTTACCGTGTGAATGTGCGATGACTATCTAAAATTGTTCTATATTGAAAGAGTGATAGCACATGGACGCAGTGTAACTCTCTATTATACATACTATTTTTCATAAAAGTAGTCAGCATAGGTTGCAGGCAGTTGGGGCTGGGGTATAATTCGTCAAATTAAAATGACGTCACTTTACTTTTACTGAACCTTGCGAACACTCCCGGCTAAAACGTTTTTCATAACAAACTACTTCTACCCCTTTTCTTGTGAGTCCTTGTGTTTATAATAAAATACACTCACTGGAGGTGAAAGTCAAGCAGCGAATAAAATACGCTAAAATGAAGTTTTAATTCCCCCCCCCCCCCACACTTAAAGAAACTCAACAAAATTTTCACTTGACTATACAGCACACTCTTTAGTACACAGTATTTTATACTGGGGAATTACTTGATTCTAGATCTAGAATAATATCTAGATTCTAGATCGAGATCGAGGACATTCTAGGATCTAAACTTCTAAAGCTAGGAGTATGAATCCAGCTCCAGCACACTTCAGCACAGTGAGAAATGCATTTTTTTTTTCAAAGATCCTAATAAAATAAATAAATTTAACTAGAATCTAGATTAAAGAATCTACCTGTGCTTGTATTTTTCCGTCCTCCGTAACAATCCAATGTGTAGAGCCATTTGATATTGTGCATTTTTGTATGATAAATATTACTAGTAATATACGTTTTATAGTAGACGCCATTTTCTAAACAAACATTACATATTTATGACCTCTACCCCTTTACTATAGCCGTAGGGGCGGAAATAAAACATCAAATCGATAGGGAGTAGTCGTTGAATTTTTTCACCTTTACCCACGATAGCAACTTCCATAGGCTATTTGATGTTTACAATGTTCTTGGTATTTTTTTTACAGGCGTAAATAATTGCACAGTTTATATAACAGTACCAGAGCTCCCTCCCTTATGACACAATTAAAAAAAATAATTTTTTTTCTCTCGCAAGCCGCTGCCTAACCACTCACCATGTACTACGTTAGCGTGCATGCATTTGATTGGCGGTCTATAGTTCAATTTGCGCGATTGTTTAAAAATTAATTACATTGGTACGTGGTGGTAGTTTGGGCTGCACATGCGTTGGGCGTGGGTAATATGGCAAATATGTCTATCTAATTTCTATAATCTAAGCTTATAGTTATAGTTAAAGCAGTGGCGTCACTAGGTAGCGTGTCATCCGGTGCGGTACGTAATGGTGTCACCCCCTCCTAAATTGATTTACTAACTGAATTAATTGTTTGGCATCCCTTTCATAGCTGACGAAAAGCGTCAAAATGTGTCAGTGTTACAAGTCACATAGTTCTATGTATCTGTTGCTCGCTTTTTATTGCCTATTGATAAGTAGATTTGTAAATTCTCAATGTCGTTTCACCCCAATCAACTTCAGTGTACGGTGTATTTGGAGTCAGGAGTCAAACCCCCCCCCCCCCGCCTTACCTTTTTGTCGAGCAGCGTCAACTTATATAAATCCACCTAGAAGGGGCCTAATTCTAACAGTTGCTAATTCAAGTGGAAAAATCATTGCATTTGTAGAAAGTTAGTAAATTTGGTGTCACCCCCATCCCAGCAGTCGACTGACGTAACAATTATTACAATTCTCAACGAAACCTTTTTTCTCAGGCTAATGTTTCAACGTTTAGTTGGTGTCATCACCCCTACTGCCCAGGTGCTTGGTGAGGGCGGGGGATGCAGACCGCACCGGTACACACTATATATATATATATATATATATATATATATATATATATACTTTCTTTCTTTTGGGGGGGGGGGGGGGGGGGAGGGCACCACGAAGTGCCGCACACGATGACACCTGCGCTCTTTTCCGCCGGTCAAAAACCATTGCTGGCCCCTAACCCACCCGCCACTAGTATCAGCAATAAGATGTAGCCCTACCTACATTAGGCTATTCCAGTGGTGTAGCGGGTGGGGTGGGGGTGCGGAACGCACTGGGTGACACCATTTAGGGGGTGACACCAAGGCAAAAAATAGCAAAATATATAGAGAAAAATGATAATTCCACTTAATTAAGTGATTAATTGGAGTGTTAAATAGTCTTTTAAGAGGTGCAAATCGAAAGTTTGACGGGGGGGGGGGGGGGGGTTGTAAATCGAAAGTTGGAAGTTTGTCCCCGGGAAGGGGGTGGGGGTCATCCATAAATGACGTCACGCTTTTTTGACGATTTTTACCCCCCCCCCTCCCCTCCGTCACACGTCGTCACAAAAAGCCAGACCCCCCCCCCCCCCTAAAATGACGTCACACCTTAACCTACAACTCCCCTCAAAATTGCAGTTGAATTTTTTTTAAAACATCGATATTTTTTCTAAAATCTTGTCTAAACTATTACAATTTATTAAAACAGTTATCTAAAACGCGAAATAACGTCTAAAATTCGTTTTCTAACATTGCTTTTTTATAATGCAAAAGTGTGACGGCGCAACATCTGACCCCCCCCCCCTCCCCCTCATCACACATCGTCACAAAATCACGGACCCTCCCCCCTACGAGTGTGATGTCATTTATGGATGACCCCATGACACCATTAAGTGCCGCACTGGGTGACACCCGACCTCGCTACGTCATTGGGCTATTCGTCAAGGAAGAATCACTAAGGTTATCATTGACAGTAGTCTACTTTCAAATCACAATTGTCATGGGTTTTTTTTTTATCGGTGCTAGAAAAACATTTTTAATTAGAGCCAAAGTGTCTGGTTAAGATTAATGACATTTTAAATATTTTTCGGAATTCTTCATTTATTTAGGCTATATTAGGCATATAGACCTATATCTTCCTGAAAAATAAATAGTCCTTTTGACTTGAGATATCAGTATTTAAATTTTTGTCCTCTGTGTTTTTTTTTTCAAATTACAAATCTAAGCCGATTGATTTTATTAAACAGACATAGACTAATTATGTAAAACTATGTATTAAAGTTGCATCTAAATTATTTACCAGCTGTTGTAGACAAGCCTCTAGCTCGCACAAAGTACTTGAATAAATTGGCTTGACTGAGCTACGCGCACAGAGGTTTAGCGAACCATCCAGACGCTCGACGTGAACTATCAATTTGTTTCCCCCGATCCGTTTATACATTACATTGGCCTACATATTATATATACTATACTAGCCGTCCCGGCCAGGCCCTGCTCTGGCTTCTGTGAAAAACCTTTCTGTTAAAGACCATTACCTGTGTGTTTAGTAATCATCATAAACCCGGCATTGCACACCCAAACCAAAACCAAAACAACAAAACGCAAACATAACGCTAACACAATTACAAATACAAACGAAAACAAAAACCTAACAACTAACCCAACCACAACCACAAACACCAATACGAACACAAAGAAAAAAAAAAAAAAACGAAAAAGCAAACGAAAACAAACCAAATCCAAATGCAAAACCAACCACAAACCCAAAGAAAAAAACACAAACGAAAAAACAAACGAAAACAAACAAAATACAAACGCAAAACCAACCACAAACACAAATACAAACACAAACGCAAAGAAGATAAAACACAAACGAAAACGAAAAAAGAAAGAACAAAAACGAACCAAATCAAAACGCAACCACTAACGCAAACCCAACCTAAACACAAAGAAAACACTAACGCGAACATAAACGCACAGTGCTCAGAGTCTAGCCCGGGGCGGAATCGCCTGTTTCAGCCTAATAAACGACTATAGTACCCCAACTTATTCATAGTCTTTTGCACTTACTTTAATGAACGTAGGCGCGAAACCGAACACGGGAGGCCCGGGACCCCAAATAGCACCCTGTCTGGGCGCCAGAGGACGCACCATGACGTTACCGCCTGATTGAACTTAGTAAACGACTATAGTACATAACTTATTCATAGTCTTTTGAACTCACGCGAACGTATATACCATAGCGTACACCGGAAGGCCCGGGGCGCCAAATAGCACCCTGTCGGGGTGCCGGAGGACGCCCGGATTTGATTCACTTAAAGACTATAGTAACCTTTCTTATCCATAGTCTATCGCACTGTTAAAAACAAAATTATGCAGCATAGCGCTCACATGATAGCCCAGGGTGCCAAATCGAACCGTGCAAGGGCGCCGGCGGACGCGCCTGTTTCAATTTAGTGAACAAAAATGATAATACTCCAAGCTTATCCGTAAATGGAAAGAAATAAACATATAGGATTTGTAGGACCTGGCTTATTAAATGTTATTGATTTAAAAAAAAAAAAATTATTGAACAGTATGTTCAGTGTATAGAATAAATAAAAGGCAGTGTTAAAAATACCTAACGACATTGCACTTAATCAATCCCCGCTAATTATGTAATTTTTTTTTTATTTCTTAACACCAAAAACAAAGTAATAAAATGTAAATTCTTTCTTTTTAAGAATTTTTTTTTATTAAAGGGAAGTAACTGTGCAGTCAATACATTTCCGACACAATTTTAGAAATTTTATAAACGTCGATACACTTTTTAAACATTTTATGTCGCGTTCATAATTGAAAATTATTTTTCTAAGTAAATAGAGTGAACATTGTTTTAAAGACTTTCAATGGTAATTTTTTGACTCGTAAATTTAGACTATGAGCACAATAAAAAATCTAACACTTAAATCCATAGAACTGTCAACGACAAACTTTTTTTTTGCCACACGTTACAGAACTGAGCTTTATATATTAGACTAGCCGTCCCGGCCAGGCCCTGCTCTGGCTTGTGTGAAAAACCTTTCTGTTAAAGACCATTACCTGTGTGTTTAGTAATCATCATAAACCCGGCATTGCACACCCAAACCAAAACCAAAACAACAAAACGCAAACATAACGCTAACACAATTACAAATACAAACGAAAACAAAAACCTAACAACTAACCCAACCACAACCACAAACACCAATACGAACACAAAGAAAAAAAAAAACGAAAAAGCAAACGAAAACAAACCAAATCCAAATGCAAAACCAACCACAAACCCAAAGAAAAAAACACAAACGAAAAAACAAACGAAAACAAACCAAATACAAACGCAAAACCAACCACAAACACAAACACAAACGCAAAGAAGATAAAACACAAACGAAAACGAAAAAAGAAAGAACAAAAACGAACCAAATCAAAACGCAACCACTAACGCAAACCCAACCTAAACACAAAGAAAACACTAACGCGAACATAAACGCACAGTGCTCCGAGTCTAGCCCGGGGCGGAATCGCCTGTTTCAGCTTAATAAACGACTATAGTACCCCAACTTATTCATAGTCTTTTGCACTCACTTTAATGAACGTAGGCGCGAAACCGAACACGGGAGGCCCGGGACCCCAAATAGCACCCTGTCTGGGCGCCAGAGGACGCACCATGACGTCACCGCCTGATTGAACTTAGTAAACGACTATAGTACATAACTTATTCATAGTCTTTTGAACTCACGCGAACGTATATACCATAGCGTACACCGGAAGGCCCGGGGCGCCAAATAGCACCCTGTCGGGGTGCCGGAGGACGCCCGGATTTGATTCACTTAAAGACTATAGTAACCTTTCTTACCCATAGTCTATCGCACTGTTAAAAACAAAACTATGCAGCATAGCGCTCACATGATAGCCCAGGGTGCCAAATCGAACCGTGCAAGGGCGCCGGCGGACGCGCCTGTTTCAATTTAGTGAACAAAAATGATAATACTCCAAGCTTATCCGTAAATGGAAAGAAATAAACATATAGGATTTGTAGGACCTGGCTTATTAAATGTTATTGATTTAAAAAAAAAAAAATTATTGAACAGTATGTTCAGTGTATAGAATAAATAAAAGGCAGTGTTAAAAATACCTAACGACATTGCACTTAATCAATCCCCGCTAATTATGTAATTATTTTTTTTTTCTTAACACCAAAAACAAAGTAATAAAATGTAAATTCTTTCTTCTTAAGAATTTTTTTTATTAAAGGGAAGTAACTGTGCAGTCAATACATTTCCGACACAATTTTAGAAATTTTATAAACGTCGATACACTTTTTAAAAATTTTATGTCGCGTTCATAATTGAAAATTATTCTTCTAAGTAAATAGAATGAAAATTGTTTTTAAAGACTTTCAATGGTAATTTTTTGACTCGTACATTTAGACTATGAGCACGATAAAAAATCTAACACTTAAATCCATAGAACTGTCAACGACAAACTTTTTTGCCACACGTTACAGAACTGAGCTTTATATATTAGATAGTCAAATATATACTAGCCGTCCCGGTAAAGCCCTGCGCTAGGCTCTATGAAAAACCTATCTGTAAAGGACTGTGACTTGTGTGTTTGTTAAGCAACTGCCCGGGTATAGGAAATATATTACTTTTCCAATAAAATGTCTATGTGCAAATATGGACGTTTGAGAAAATCATACATAACTCTAAACTAAACTAACCAACCACGAACCAACGTTTTAAGGGGATATAACTATGCTAAGTGGATTATGTCAAAATATTAATGGAGTTGCCTCGCTTTACTCTCAAAGTAAATTGAACATCTGCTTAAATTGGTAATTTCTTTTAGCATAATAAACTCACGTATTGATTGTTTGGTTGCTGTTTTGTTCTCTTACAGAACAGATTAAATAAATGGCTTTCTCCCACAAGACATAAAAATGTATTCTTCTCTCAGAAGTGTTTCTAGAAGGATCTTTTTTTTACCAAAATTGTTGTGAGTACAGAGGTGTAGCAAGGAGCTGGATCTTTTCCCCACAAAATTATCTAGACTATATTATATTCTAAAGGGTAAAAAAAATCATGATTCCACCTAGACCTAGAATTTATCTTCTCTCTGATGAAAGCCATTAGTGTTGTTGGCTGAAAGGATTAAGTTACTGATTTTTAATAATCTTGAATGCTGTTTCAGTCTCACCCAGACGCAAAAACATGTATTTTAAACCTATTTTTAGAATATCATAATTCTGTTTTTATGCAAACGACCTTTATCATTACTTTTTATTGTAGTGAAGAATGCCACAAATTCCACAAGCCATTTGACTCTCAAATCTCTTATAATATGTTACTACTTATAACACATTGACATTTTTTTTATGCCAATAACTACTGAAACAATTTTTGTAAGGGTGAAAACAAAATAAAATAAAAACTTAAACTTGGTTCAGGGCAACCAGTGTTGAGGTATATCTACACTGTTGTAATGTTTTTTTTGTACCAGACAAACAACACATAGGTAAATAAAAACAATAACAGTGATGAGATTTGGGTTTATTCCACAACTATGTAAGTTCCAGTAACTTTTATTTTATAAGGTAAAAGAAAATTGTATAAATAAGTTAAAAGCCACATATCAACTCTTTCCTGATTTATTTTTTTGTAACTCCATTTGGTAAGAGTCCAACATTGATTCAATATTCAACATTTTTTCATGGTAGTCTAAAGCTTTTATAAGCCCATCCAAACCTTCCCCTCCCAGCATAAACTCCAACAGGTTTGAATAGTTCTCTTTCACGCGGTGATCAGTCACTCTGTCCTGTTGGAAGTTGTAAGTTCTAATTTTTTCTGATCTGCCTTTGGTGCCTATTTGCATTTTTCTCATTGTCCTTCTTTTAGTCTCTTCCACTTCAAGTTGTGCTTGGTAAATCCTATTGAAAGGTGTAGAAAATAAACAATGTTTTATCAAACAATCAGTCTAGATAACTCTTAATGAAAACTGATAGTGAAAACAAAATTCAAGCAAAGTAGTTGAATTTTCTATCAATTTAAATATTCATGCAAGCTGGCTTCATTATTTTCACTTGTCATTATTTGCACATTGAAACTTACAATTGAAAAGTACAATTATTATGACTAAGTATAAGAACTATAAGGACTAAGTTTAAAAACTATGATGACAAAGTACAAGTGGAGGCGTAGCGACCTAATCCGGCGCCTGGGGCGGACTATCAATTTTGCCCCCCCCCCCTATTTCTATATATAGTTATTCCTGTGTGTGAAAACCGCCCCCCCCCCCCCCCCAGTTGGAAAGGTTTGTTGCGTTTCTTACCAGTTACTATCCTGTAACAATTTCTATTTTGGTCTCACAAAGTTATAAAATCAGTGTGTGAAGCCTTGTAGTCGTTTATTTTTCACAGCTTTGACAGTGTATGATTCGACAATTCAGCTTATTATGAGATTTCAAATTAATTTCTCTACCCATTTTGGCGCCCCCTTAAGGTCGGCGCCCGGGGCGGCCCACCCCACCCCCATAGCTACGCCTCTGAGTACAAGAGCTATAAAGTTTCTTTGCACCCAGAAACTTATTGCTGTTATAAGTTAATAAAATGGCCCTGACCCTGTGCCACTAATATTATAAGGCTATAAATAAAATCATACCTAGATTTGAGTTTCTTTAGTGCGATTTCTTTATTTTTAGCTTGTGAACGCTCTTGTCTGCACTCTGCCACTGTTCCTAATGTTTTAAAACATTCAAAGCAAGAGAAGATCATCAAATGAAAACACAGTTACATCCCTTTTTTACCCTAAAATTAAACATTCACAGCTTTGTATACTATACCAGTTTCTGTTGTTTTGAATTTAATTTTTATCTTTATGAAACTGGTCATCTTACTGCTGCAGGTATCAAATTACTATTTTTAATTTTTCAGCTTTATAAGTGAAACAATTTTACGATTTATTTTAGTACTACAGGCTTTATTAAATTTTAACACTGGCAAATCTAAAATGTTACTGTTTGTTTACTGATGTAAATTTGTAAAAAAAACTTTGTAACAAGGGAGGTAAAATAATAAATATCTGGAGAAATACAGGTTGAGTTTGCGCTTTCAACATTTGTAACAAAAAAGAAAAACATAAAGGGATATTTTCTGCTGTTTTTACTTAATAGCTAGGTGAGGTAAGAAAAAGACAAACATGAAGGAATATTTTCTTAACTGATGTTAACTTCATAAACAGGGGAGGTAAGAAAAAGACAAACATGTAGGAATATTTTCTTAACTGATGTTAACTTCATAAACAGGGGAGGTAAGAAAAAGACAAACATGAAGGAATATTTTCTTAACTGATGTTAACTTCATAAACAGGGGAGGTAAGAAAAAGACAAACATGAAGGAATATTTTCTTAACTGATGTTAACTTCATAAACAGGGGAGGTAAGAAAAAGACAAACATGTAGGAATATTTTCTTAACTGATGTTACCTTCATAAACAGGGGAGGTAAGAAAAAGACAAACATGTAGGAATATTTTCTTAACTGATGTTAACTTCATAAACAGGGGAGGTAAGAAAAAGACAAACATGTAGGAATATTTTCTTAACTGATGTTAACTTCATAAACAGGGGAGGTAAGAAAAAGACAAACATGTAGGAATATTTTCTTAACTGATGTTAACTTCATAACCAGGGGAGGTAAGAAAAAGACAAACCTGAAGGAATATTTTCTTAACTGCTTCATAACCAGGGGAGGTAAGAAAAAGACAAACCTGTGGGAATGTGAGTTATCCTCACTGCACTGTCTGTGGTATTGACAGACTGTCCACCAGGACCACTGCCGCGAAAACTTTCCACTTTTAAATCTTCAGGCTGGATGTCAATATCTATCTGAAAAATAATAAATTTAGATGACACCACTGTGGTTTAAAACTTGACCTCACCTTACAGTGCAGGGGATAACTTAATTTACCTCTGAGGGCTGAGGGAGCACTGCCACTGTGACTGTACTCGTGTGAATACGCCCAGCCTTTTCTGTTTTTGGGATCCGCTGGACTCTATGTACTCCTGATTCATGCTTCAAATGCTTGTACACTGCATCTCCGCTGATTTCTAGAGTAGCTTTACGTGAACCACCTAGGGAACAAAATACATGACAAACGTTTACTACATACAATTATTAGGGAGTTAACTATATATAATAAATCACTCCATAATTTTAGGGGACCTACATAGATAACACACATTAGGGGCTACATACTGTCATTCCAAACGCAATGAATTTTTATTAGTTACTCATTTCATAAAACTATCTTACATTTGATCTTAAGTTGTTTCATCAATTACATAAAGACAAGAAAGAAAAAGGCAATCAGGAACTAGCTTTCAACAAAGCAAAGGGTGATTTTAAATTTTTTAATAAATATACTTTTCTTCAGGAAAAAAAAATACCTGTTTCACTTTTATCATCAATTACACTTGATATATTCCAGCCTTTGAGAGTAGCGTACTTATAGTACATGTGCAACAACTCAGAACAAAACAACATGGCCTCCTGACCACCTACACCTGCTGTTATTTCAAGAACAATGTCGTTATGGTCGGCTGGATCTACACCCACTAGAGCATCAACCAACTGAAATTTTAAGAATTTTTCAGTAAAAAAAAAAAGAAACAATCATGTAGTCCTATACTGTCAAATCAATACCTAGCCCAAACTTAATCCTAGTTGTTGTTACTGCAGACCCTAACTCTAAACCAGACACTAGTCAAAATATTTTCTTTGCTATAGTTAATACTGAAAACTGTGACTAAAAAGAAAAGTTATTAGGTACACATATTTCTACACTAATAACTTATTCATTCTTTCTTCTTCTTCTTCGTTCTTAATTATTAGTGTTGAAGGGGATCGAGAATTATCTGCCAGTGCGTTTGAACTCGAGACTTTGTTCAAATTTATCAACCATGAGCTTTTTGCCGACTCGACCACGCCTCCAACACAATTAAGCGTTACGTGTCAACTGGTTATGCGCCATCGAGGCCATTGACTCCGATTTCAGCCTGCTTTTCTTTTTGGATTTTGCTTCCATAGCCTTTGTCCAACCAAGAACAAACTACAAGGCAGCAGTTGTTTGATTTTGGAGTTGTCTCTCCTAGAAGAGTGGCTGTCCCCAGCTAACAAGCCTCATCTGCCCGGGGGTTCGAACTCGAGACTTTTCGGTTTAGCAACCATGAGCTTTACCAACTCGACCACGCCGACCCCCTACTTATTCATTGAAATGTAGTATTTTAAGATAAAAACAAACTGTACCTCTTTTTCAACACTTTCAATTTCATTTGTATACTTATCAATCTCTTTTTGCAATAATACTTTCATTTCAGAATCCTCCTCAGCTAAAAAAAAAAACATCAGGATTAGTTAATTAATAAATGTAAAGTCAATCAACTATTAATTTAAATGAAAGGAACAAAAAAAACGTCAATATTTTTTTTTAAATCAGTTTTTTTTAAATTAAAATAATTTGCACTGAGTAAAATTAAAATCAACTGTGATAAAAATAATAATTAAAGTGAACAGAAACTGAAAATTTTAAATGCATTTAAAAATTACCATTATACATAGTACCAAGTTCCTGTAATTCCTTTTGTTTCTCATGGATGATGTTTATTATATACATAACAGATTGTAAAAAATTTAGCCTTAAATGTTGCTGATCATCACTGTCTGTTTGTATGGCTGAACGTAATGTTTCATATTCCTCTGTGAGATGACGTAAATATGAGGCATACACAGGGTTATTGATGCTGAATTTACTTAGAGTATGGTTGTCTCTTGTTGTTCTGAATATATGATCCTCTGAACACACTATTTTCTTGACATTATTGTATAAACTAATGTGCTGAAAATAGCATCTGCTGCTGGTTGAGTAATAGCAGTGTTGAATCTTGTTTTGATATATATTAAAGAACACAGAGCTGCCAGATTTATGAAAGTGGTTGCAATGTAAAAGACTGAAATGTTTATTTGTAGTCCACTGTACTGTAGAAGGCTGACTATGGTAGCAAAAGGGCCTTAAGCTTTGAGGCGTCTGAATTTTACAAGTGTTCCAAGAACATAAATATAAAGTCTTCATGAAATTTTTCAAATTTGGAGACATATTGTTCAGCATTTTTAATTTCAATACAGTGTACAGCTTCAGTCCTTTGTCGACTTGTAAAAAAAGCAGTGAAAATTCTGAAGAAATAAAGATAATATTTGAATAAACTAAAAAATCGATATTAACAACAAATTCAATATTCCATATATATTATATACTGGCTTATGAACTTATAATATATACTATATATTGAATCATAGGTGCTATATGATCACAAGCAGTATTGAATTATCCCACACTTGTTGTGATATTACTTTTCTTGAATTCTTTACCCCCTCCCCGACATAAGCATGGTTTTAAAAATTAAAATATATGTGTAAATCTTCAAATGAATGTTCACCAAAAAACTTAAGTGGTTGATTAGATCTGACTTTTACTACTAGAACTTTTCACTTTTATTCTTTTCGTAAGATACACTAGAATCTAGATCAGTGTTTCTTTCAGACTTTCTTCTCCTAGTGGGGTAGGAGGTGGTGGTGATGGTGGACCCTGAAAAGGTGCCTGAAAGACTGAAAGAAACTCTGATCTAGATTTCTAGATCTACGATGGGTAATCCCCCAGTATAGCGTCGGTTAATATTCCGCAATAGTATAGCAGTAAAAACAGTAAAACGATGACATAGTCTGTCACGCTGTATCCGAATCCACCGTAAGTACTGAAAACAATACTTTTTTGGCATCATCTATTTTTAAAAATACAGAACGTTAAATTGCATGTTAAATACTATTTTACTACTCATTTTGTATTGCTAATTATTTTTAAGTGATTCTGGATAATTATTGCTGCCATTAAATATTGTTGTAGATCTAGTAATTTTTATTATTTTCGAAATAATTTTTATTAGGCCTATATCTAAAATCTAGGCCTAGAGATAAAATCTTTTAGTTTTTATTTATTAAATATTTTAGTGTCGCTTAAAAAAAAACATTAAATTAATTACTAATCTAATTAGGCCTATTATTATACTTGACTTTGATTTAAATTTACTTTTTCTAATGTTTATGAAACTCAACAAACATTACCGGATAATAAGATTTTCATGGCTATGGGTAAAGTAGAAACGCGTAATTGCAAGGCAGGATACTATAAATTAACTTACATGAACTCACAATGACCCTAAGCTATGATACGTATGCTGATAATTAAAGTCAATGTGAACTCACTGTGAACCCTTGACCATGTAGGGATTTTCTTCCCGCCGACGATCACAAGCTATTTAATTGAAACTGTAATGCTTATTTAATTTATAATCTTTTTTTTTTACCTTTTCCTTAAAACACACATTAATAAAAAAAATAATAAGTAGATCCATATCTAATCTATCACCTACTAGATCTAAATTACTAATCCTAGTGTTTTCCTAACGTTTTTTATGTGTTTTGGTGGTGTATATAATAAAGGCCAATGCTAGCCGGAAAAAGATATGCATGCGCAATGGAGAGAAACTACGACTTGCCATCATGGCGATGTTTTCGATGGTACTGCGCATGCAGTGTTTATAACCGCAGAACCCTAACACCAACCCTAATCCTATCCCTATCCCTAACCCTTTTCCTAACCCTAACCCTAATCCTAACCCTAGCCCAAATCCTATCTCTAACCCTAATTTTAAAATTTAGTAATTCTAGCCCTAACCCTAGCCATAGGTCACTGCGCATGCATGCGCAGAGCTATCTTTTGCCGACTAAGTGGAGACATTGGGGAGACAAATCTTCTTCCGAGTAGTCACTTCGTAAAATAAAATACGCTCAATCGGAGGTGAACGTGAAGCAGCGAATAAAATACGCTAAAATGGAGTTTTACCAATTAAAATATTAATTAATTATCTTGGCTAGGCCTACACTTATGACTTATCACTTTACTTGACTTAACTACACTTACACTTGTCTTACACTAGGCTAGCCTACACTCTACACTACACTAGCTAAATCAGATCTCGTGGATCTATCTATCTAGTCTAGAATTAGATTCTAGATCTAGTAGATCTTGAATCTTAGAATTTTGGGTAATCTATCGTTTTAGGTACGTAAAATCACCCGCGGCTAGTAATGTACGAAAAAGTTACCTCATTGTAAAGGCTTTAATTAAATAGAAGTATATTGTGATATGTTTGTGTCAAATATTATAGATAAATGAATAATAAACCTAAATCAATGGCTAAATATATCAATATAGGCTAGAAATTAACTTTAAAGAGCAGTGTTTTCGAGCAAGATTTGCTATATAGCAGCCATTTGTAAAATAGAGTGGCTTCCCCTGAATCTGCTATAAGTTTACATGAAAACAAACTTAAACAAGATGTCTGCTATAGTAAATGAGCATGTTTGCATCTGTTGGAAACATCGCTAGTCTTCATTTATTACTGAAAAGTTTTAATTCAGTTGTTTAAAAACAGGTACATAAATGAAACATTTTTATATTTTTCAAAACATAAATCTTCCTCAAAATGTGAAATAATTATTAAAATTTAAGGAGTCACCTCTTTTTCACATTACTAGATCTAGTCGCGGGCGATTTTACGTACCTAAAACGATAGATTACCGAATTTAAGATAGGCCTACACAGTACACTCAGAGTAGCCTACAGATGTCATGTACAATTCTAGATCTAGATCCATTTCTTTCTTCATTTGACATCTAGATCTAGATCTAGGTCAATCTAGGATCATGGAACACTTACTTAATACTTACACTTAAATCTAGAGATCTATATTTCTAGATCTAGACTCTAGAATCAGTAGACAAGATATTTACTATTTGGTATATTTTCTAAATACTAGATCTAGATCTAGATCTACTAGAGAATCTAGAGATAGATCTAGATCTACTAGTTCTAGATCTAGTACTACTCAAGATCAAACCTAGCAGTAAAATATTTGTTTTTTTACTGCTAGAGCTTGTCTACATTAAATTGGTATACTTTCGTTTTTGGATTTAGATCTTGATCTCGATGTCTAGATCTAAATTTGTCTAAGTATTCTAAATTCTTAAGTAAGTTCTAAGTATTAAGTAGTCAAAGTTCAATCAAAGAAGGGGTCGTCCATAAATGACGTCACACTCGTAGGGGGGTCCTTAATAATTTTGTGACGGTATGTGATGAGGGGGAGGGTGGTTCAGATGGTGCGACGTCACACTTTTTTATTTTTTTGCATTATAAAAAGGCCGATGCTAGCCGGAATAATAAGATACGCATGCGCAATGGAGAGAAATTACGATTTGCCTTCGCGGCGATGTTTTGGATGGTACTGCGCATGCGTGTGTTTACAACCGCAGAACCCTAATACCAACCCTAATCCTATCCCTATTCTAATCCTATTCCTAACCCTAGCCCTAACTAATCCTATCCCTAATGCCTAATCCTACCCCTAACCCTCATTCTAGCCCTAACCCTAGCTATAGGTCACTGCGCATTCGCAGAGCTATCTTTTACCGACTAAGTGGAGACGTTGGGGAGAAAAATCTTCTTCCAAGTAGTCACTTCGTTATAAAAAAGCCAAAAAGCAATGTTACAAAATGAATTTTAGACGTTATTTTGCGTTTTAGAAAAATGTTTTAATAAATTGTAATAGGAATCGATTAAAATACTCTATTTTGGAAAAATATCGATGTTTATAAAAAAAATTCAACTGCAATTTTGAGGTGGATTGTAAGCTGAGGTGTGACGTCATTTTAGGGGGGGGGGTCTTTTTGTGACGTGTGGCGGATGGGAGGGAGGGGGGAGGTAAAAATCATCAAAAAAGCATGACGTCATTTTATAGCAGGATTACCCCTAAGTAGATCTGGTAACCTATTGTTTTAGTTTTTGGTACGTAAAATCGCCCGCGACTAGTAATGTGAAAAACAGGTGACTCCTTAAATTTTGATAATCATTTCACATTTTGAGGAGGATTTATGTTTTGAAAAATACAAAAATGTTTCCTTGTTTCATTTATGTACCTGTTTTTAAACAATTGAATTAAAAATTTTCAGTAATAAATGAAGACTAGCTTTGTTTCCAACAGATGCAACCATGCTCATTTGCTATAGCAGCCATCTTGTTTAAGTTTTATTGGTAAACTTATAGCGCGAGATTCAGGGGAAGCCACTTTATTTTACAAATTGCTGCTGTTTATATAGCAAATCTTGCTCGCAAACACTGCTGTTTAAAGTTAATTCTGGCCTATATTGATATATTGATTTTGGTTTATTATTCCTTTATCTATAATATTTGACACAAATATATCACAATCTATTAAAGCCTTGACAATGAGGTAACTTTTTCGTACATTACTAGCCGCTGGCGATTTTATGTACGATAGATTACAGTAGATCTAGATCCAGCTAGATCTCTAATTCTATATTAAATATTATAATAGTATATAAAGGGCAGTTTGATTTAGCTAGATTGCTGCTAGATTGAGGACTATCATTTGACCCACTACTGACAGTACTCTACTGTTTTTTTACAAGTACTTGACTAGATCTAGATTCTTAGGTGTTGAAATAATACACTTAAACTAGATCTATGTCAACATTAAATTGCTAACACAAAAAAAAATCGGGCAGTCCTGACTAACCCTAACCCTAGATATCAGTGATATCTATTTTTTTAAATCGCATGTCACCTAGGTAAGGTTGCCAGATACCTTTTCCGAAAATACTGGACACCTTTCCATCCTTCCCTTCTCAGGTATGCTGCAAAGCAGAAGAAGGGGGGTAACAGAGTATTATTCATATACTTGTCCAGTATTTATATTTATTTTATCCTGGACAGTCTGCTCAAATACTGGACTGTCCAGTTCAAAACTGGACACCTGGCAACCCTACACCTAGGGTAAAGATTTATCTAAATGCGAAACAAACAGCGCAAATGCGGCCTTTATCGTAACGCTGAGCGAACCGCGCAGATGCGGCCTATAATATAATATAAAATCAGTCTTACCCTTAAGTTACACTTAACTGACTTAGTGATTAGTCACTTAAGACTTAAAGTATCAGTCTGAGCAGTTCCAGTTGGTAGTTAATCACTTAAGCCGCAGTTGTTAAGAGTTAAGGCATAACACGAAAAATTATTAAATTAATTATTAAATATAGTAAATAGGCTATTGAAATAGATTTAAAAAAGAAAACCAACTAATAGAATGATTTAAGTAACAATGCTATCACAATTGGTTGTCACTGAAATTTTAATTTTTCAGATATTATACTGTGAACGAGGCGTACATGAGTAAAGTTATGGATGCCCCTTGCTCTGGGCATGTGCTGCTGGTTGGGGACGGGGATTTCTCTTTTTCAGTCTCACTGCTAAACAATGGTACTTTCAGTGCATCTCACATGACTACATCCAACATTGATACTTTAGAATCAATTGAGCAGCATAAATTGGCAGCAGATAACATGACAACATTGAAACAGCTAGGTAAAATTGCTGCACAAATACATTTTATTTTTTTACCATCATCTTCTGTATCATATTGATTTATTTTTTTAAAAAAGGCATAACACCCTGGCCTGTATTTTTAAAAATAAATGTGTGTAAGGATCTCCTTAATTTTCCTCTACTCTCTTAAAGGGAACATACATCCAGAAACTGTTTGAACTACTAAGTACATGACTTTTTAGAAAGAACGAAGAATGCATGTATCTAAAATTAAATCAAATTTTATTTTCAATGAGAAGATTTAATTAATTAGCTGATTAATAAATTAATTGAATCTTTGCAGGTGCTTCTGTCTTGCTTGAAGTTGATGCTTGTGAACTACATGTCCATCCTACAATTAGCTCAAAAAAATATGAAAGAATTATTTTTAACTTTCCATTAGCTGACAGACATAACATTAAAAAAAACAGATCACTGCTTGCTGACTTCTTTTCCAGGTAATATTTAACTTATTCATGCAACTTATAGCTGCTACAAACAACTTTATGACCAATGCATACCATTTTTCCATGTCAAATTTGAATCTTACGATTTCTAATGTTTCTCAAAAGCTCATCTCAAATACTCACTGAAGAGGGTCAGGTGATTGTGACATTGTGCAAAGGTCAAGGTGGGACCCCGGCTGACAACCCCATGAGATCATGGCATGACAGTTGGCAGGTGCAAGCCATGGCCTCTAACTCTGGCTTTATCCTCACACAGATTTTACCTTTTGATGCATTACAGTACCCAGGTTACCACAGTGTGGGCTTCAGGTAAATTTTTATTCAACCCCAATCTTACCTTTTGATGTGGGCTTCAGGTAAATCTTTATTGAACCACAATCTTACCTTTTGATGTGGGCTAAAGGTAAATCTTTATTGAACCACAATCTTACCTTTTGATGTGGGCTTCAGGTAAATCTTTATTCAACCACAATCTTACCTTTTGATGTGGGCTAAAGGTAAATCTTTATTCAACCACAATCTTACCTTTTGATGTGGGCTTCAGGTAAATCTTTATTTAACCACAATCTTACCTTTTGATGTGGGCTAAAGGTAAATCTTTATTCAACCACAATCTTACCTGATTCACTACTGTATCCAGATTACCACAGTGTGGGTTTCAGGTAAATCTTTAATTAACAACAATCTTACCTTTTGATGTGGCCTTCAGGTAAATCTTTATTCCCACACCAATCTCAACTTTTGATGTGGTTCAGGTCTACAGTGTTTTCTTTAGGTAAAAATATCAATTATTTGGTATTTATTTTATTCAGCAATAACAATTTATATTTAAATTATTAATTCCCTATAGCCATTTATATCTATATTACAATGTGAATTAAGAGAAACTTGTGTTAATCCAGGTTTTGTTAGATCTACATGTTTGCAGGGAGAATACTCTAAATGTTTAACGACAGTATTTACGATTTTTTAAATCAGGTTTCAAGACAAAAGTTTTAACACTGATGGTGCCTTGACTCACATATTTGAGAGAGCCGAGAGTGTTAGTGTACCAGATGATACAAGAGCCAGAGGAACCTTCACCACGGATGGCATCTCATATTCCTGTTCTAGCTATGTAGCTCAGTCTTTAAGCAGGTATTAAAGCTTTTCTGTAAGCCTAAATACATTTGATAAATTATCATTTGATCATATTACCAAGGATTTCATTTCTTTAAGAATTTGATTAGTAGTGACATTTTTTTATTAAATGTAATGACAGTATAATATTCTTAGGACAAATGAAGTAGAATTTATCTTTTCAAAAAAAACAAATATATTTTTGCTTTAAAATTATTGGTTTTAAAATGACACTTTTAACAGAAACTTATTGGAGGGCAAGGGACCATTGCATCTGTTGAAAATAAGTATAGAAGACATTCTAAAAGACAGCATGAACATTTCTGTCATTCAAGATCAGGGGGCATGGCAAGTTGTTAGTGGGATGAGGTCTGCTGTTTATTCTAAAAGGAACCAGAACTCTTCTTGTTTAGGAGGTGAAGAAATCAGTGATAACATTGAGTATAACAGCTGCACAGCAGAGTTGGAGAAAGTGAAAGAAAGGAAAAATGAGCTCAATTTGAATACAGTTAGGAAAGATCAGAAACAAACATTGAAAAATAATTTTGAGCATGGAGTGGTAGAGGGTGTTTCTAATGCTGCTGATTCATCTGTTAGTCAAATTCATGCTGGTTCAAGTTTAGTGCTAGAAGACTCAGAACTTGTTTACATTCTTATTAAAAACTTAAGCCCAGCATGTAGAGATCCTGATGGAGAAACTGACCATCCTACAAGTTGTAATGGGGAAGATGTGACCCAAAATTTGCATAATGAAGAATTAGAAATAGATTGTTCTGACAGAATATTTCATTTTAGAACATCCATGCTTGAAACTCTGGGCATGATTTTATCTTCTCAAAGTGGACATTGTACCATCAGTCAAAATAAGAAAATCAGAGTTGTCTCCCCTATGCCAGCTTTTGTTGTGTCTGGGCAGTGCATGTCCGTTTGTCCTATTACAGCTGATTGTCTGCCCCTACAACACGAGATGATGATAGTGATAAAAGTAGATGAGGACGTCAACAATTCTTCCATCTCGGCCCACTGCACACAGTCCAACTTTGACACTGTATCTAATGAATTAATCTCCTGCTTGACAAAATTTGAATTATTGACGGCTTTAACTTTCCATGCTAATTCTGAAAACATTGAAGTTGTTGGATTTGATAAATGTGAACTGAAAATGTTCGGAACAGTTACTGATGTAAACAACAGTCCCAAAACTGGAGTAGTTTTGCTTAATGTATACATGAACACTGAACAGTATTTAGTGTGTTTGCTTAAACTGGACATCATTGCTTGTTCTGTTTGCCAGATAAATGATCCTAGACTCCTACATTCACAGAGCAGTAAATTTTTAAAACAATTTGAGAGTGGTCTCCCTCACAAGTGGCAGCCATTTTGTTTGTTTCCCATGAAGTTCTCACATGATCTCAGCTTCTGGGAAAATGGGGAGTTCCCTGATAATGATTTTTACGACATAGTTCGCTATGTGTCTGGCAATCTGGTTGTCAGTGTGTCTCTAGTGGATGTCTACACTGACCCTGTCAGCGGCCGCAGAAGTAGGTGTTACAGGCTTCATTTCTTGTCACATGACCAGGCATTTTCTTATTTGATTTCATGGAAGTTACAAAGTATTATCAGAATGGAAGTTGCTAACAAACTGGGTGTGAGTTTAAGATAGGTTTTAGAATGACCACACTTGAGCATTGATGTATTGTTTTTTAATAAAACTGTTCTCTTACCACCTGCATTTTAAAATATATTCAGTTTTCTTCACTTACTGAACTAACATTTGCTATACATCATTGCCTTAACATCAGCATTTTCTGTTCTGCTCTGTTGGTCAATGATGCTGTCTAGGTAAAGGTGATGCAGAGGCGCTAATTTAAGCTGCAGTTTTGAATTATAAACAAAATGGGCGGGGGAGGGGGGCAAATTGAAAGTTTGTCCCCAGGTGCAGAGAGGAGTCGCTACGCATCTGAGGTGATGGGCATAGCAGATGTTCACGGCTTTTGATTTATCTAGTGGACATTACAACGAAACATGACGAAAAACACTTGAAAAATATTGTTTTTAGAATCTTCAAAATTTTGAATGGTGAAATACCAATAAAGAGCATTATTTTTAATGGTATTCTACCATATCAAATTTTGAAAAAAATATTTCCAGAGTATGTTCTGTTACATAAACTAGCTCACTAACTCTCAAAGTAGGTAAAAGAAGGATCAATATATATGTTAGAAATAGAATAAAAAAAAGATCTTTTTGCAGATAAGTGAAAGTAAGTTTGTCCTTTATGCATGACTACACCTTTTATACAATCCATAAAACTTCAGGAAGTTGTTCAGAATACTCCTGAGGAGGTTTTTGCAAAAAAAATTCAATTTCGCAGGGCGTGATGGGATTGTTTCTCTACATGCGGTATATACAATTTAAAGTCGATTGGGGTTTGACACCGTTCATCCGCTCGTCGTGAAGTTTTGGGGAGTAATGGGCGGCGCCCGGAAGGGTGCGGTTTTTGTCAATACACAGTTTGGCGCCCAGAGTTCCCAAGCGGCGTGGTATCCGTTGATTTGCCGTGCTGCGTAGCGTATAATAATGTGTACTACTACATTCAGCGGTAAAACTGCAACAGGCAATGGCGTGACCCGTGAAAAAAAGTCTATACACCTAAGACACAATGGGCAACAATAATCAAACATTGCCTATATTGAATCAGGCGCGTCCTCCGGGTGTGAGCCCCAGGCTCACCCGTGAGCACTATGGTGCCTACGTTCGTTTTTAAGAGTGCGATAGGCTATGGATACAATGTGTTCCTATAGTCGCTCAGTAAATAGTATCAGGCGCGTCCTCCTGCGCCCCACAGGGTGCTAATTTTCGGGGGGGGGGGGGTTAAATGGTCCAAATAAAACACGTGACGACAACCGAAAAGTATACTTTTAAAAAAATTCTAGGAATAGCTGATAGTGCATTTTGATACCCCGTGGTGAACGACCCCTCACACTGAAGTTGGATTTAAATTTAACGCCGGTGTTAGTAAATTACTTAATGAATTTTGGCGGATATGTTATTTTGTAGTTGCACACGCATACTGAAGGAGTAAGACACTTAAAATGCTTTCCATATTACAATGAATGATAATTTTCCATTCTTCTTAAATCCAACGACGTGTCAACTACTTCTTATGTTTATATTATTTTAATTTTACTAAGGAATTTTTAAAAAATCACATGGGGTAACTAATAGGCCTAATAATATGTTTGAAGAAATAACGTATAAGCCTGTCTGTTAATCAAACTATCCCCTATGTCAGAATGTTTAAAAATTTTAATAATAAACGAGCTGTTATAGGTTATCACATTACTCTATATCAGAATAGCACAATATAGAACAAAGAATACAAAGAAGGCCCCCTGAATCGTATAGGTCCGGGTGTTCGAGGGCTGCATAGTAGAGCGGTTCTCGGTATTTTTTCTTTTAATTAACATTTCAAGGAACTTCCCCCCCCCCCCCCCCCACCACAACCAACACACAAGCCATGACACTATAGTGGTAAATATATAACATCTATTTTAACCGCCCCTCCCCATGCATACAGCCTATTCAGTTGTTAAGAACTAGTTCAAACTGGTTTCGGCCTGTTTTGCGGTTCATCAATCACCTTATTCTTGGCAGGGTGCCTAGGACCCCAGTCAACGTTTCAAGATTGGAGCTAAAAATAGCAAGATAGGAGAATATGGTTTCTTTCAGACACTTTTTCTTTGGGGGGAAGGGAAGGGGCAACTCAGCGGTGTGACATATTCTGACTCATGAATTTAGTCCCCCAAAAGCAAATTATAAATGGTTATTAAATGTTGGCAAAAAAGCGCTCTTTTCCTGTTATTTGAAAGTCGGGGGCAGAGTTTCTTCCAGGCATCTCTTCGATGCCCCCCCCCCCCCCGAACGAAATAAAATATATATAATTTATATAGAAAATATATACTTTTAACAGTGTCCGCCCCCCCCCCCGAAATATTCAAGTGCCCCCCCCCCCCCCCCCGGAGAAAAAGTCTGGAAGAAACACTGGTCGGGGGCGCTTTTTACTGTCCCTTAACAGTTTTGATTTTGGTGTAAAGTACTAATAATATGCTGCACTATTATACACATGCTGTTTTGAGTTCACTTGGTGCGCAATTCTTTTTTCTACGAGATTCTATTCTATTTTTAAAAGTTTAAGTAATTTAAAAATGGATTAAAAATCATGTCTATATCCCGAGTTGCCATCCCCCGCAGTGTTTCTTCCAGACTTTTTTCTCCGGGGGGGGGGGGGGGGCACCTGAAATCTTCGGGGGGGGGGGTAAACTTTCTTCGGGGGGGGGCGGACACTGTTAAAAGTATCTATTTTCTATATAAATTATATAAATTTCAATTTGTTCGGGGGGGGGGGGGGGGGGCGGTAAAAAATTTTCGGGGGGGGGGGGCTTCGCCCCCCCCTAAGAGATGCCGTAGTGTTATATAAGAATATTCAAGAAAGTTTAGGGAGATCACTCCCAGATTATTTTTGTTTTATTTTAGTTAAGACTAAGGGTATAATTTTAACCAGTCTGGGTTCAACGCTGACCCAGATAGTTTAAAGATGAGCCTAGGGACGTATATTTGAAATCCCAGTCAGAGCTTACATTTATGAATTTTAAAATTAAACATGCGTGCCGACTTTAAGCCCCATGATTGGTTCTGCCCCTCCACATACATATACAGACAGACACACACTCAGAAACACACACGCACATAGACACACACAACACACAGCGCTTTCGTCCCAACCCACTCCCACACCGTCATTATAGTTTCGGGGTTTGGCGAACCAGTAGTTCTAGGCAGAGGCGTATCCAGGTTTTCGTTGTAGGGGGAGCGAAAAGAGCAAAAAAAGGCGCCGAATTTTTAACACGTTTTATATACGCGTATATATATATATATATATATATATATATATATATATATATATATATATATATATATATATATATATATATATATATATATAATTACTAGCTGCATGTCATTACTGCGCTATGGTGTAAAATAAATTGAAAGTAGCACTCTGAAGAAATAAGAAAAAACACACAATGTAGGCCGACAAAACAAAAACTGTATCAATCTAAACAACAAAAAAAAATATATATATACACACACTACAACCAAAACAATGTACGTAACACAATTACACAATCTGCTGTGTAATTCTTGTAAAAAAAATTCTTACATAATAATTACTGGGAAATTATTTAAGACAAGTGAAATAGGGGAAATAATCACTCTCTTAATATAAATATGTATATATCTACACATTTATTATAAAAGTCAAAACAAATAAATAATTACTTAAGAATATAAATATAATTAAATTGTTTAACACTATTCGTGTTTACAACATATTTTTGTCTATAGTCAAAATTTAATATATCGTTGTCATAAATGCTAAAGTATTACAGCATAATGAACGTTTTTTAAAATCAGAAATGGTATAAAACCACGCTATTCAATCAATAGAAAAACACTCGGAATAACAGCCTACATTTAACTAGATATTGGTCTTTTAGTTCAGATCATATATATTTAATTAACGACTGCTTCTTTGTGTTCTTTAAAGATCATTTTTAACATAGTGATTGGTATGGGTTAGATCACTGTATTGGTCACAAACCTTTTTACTGGTAATTGCAAAAACAATATTCACAGAGTTTTACGTTTAAAAAGCTAATTTTCTGGCGGCATGGTACTTTGGTACATCATTACGCGTTTTTCTACATGTACTTACATATAAGTTTGGGGGGGGGAGGGTGTGGGTTCAACTTCATTCACCACTGTCCGGTCACTTTAGGTCAATTATCCAACCCAGTGTATATCTAGGTGTGACATTAATGTCGCTCTACACAATTGAGGTTGGGGGGGGGGGGGGGAGATAACCAACTCAGAGTGAACATAGCGTCAGTTTTTAGGTGACTGTTCTAAACATACATATGTATTACACAAATATATATTACACAAATATATATTACAGAAATAGATTTAAATAAGTAGCAGTGGTATTATGACAATATTTTTTACAGCGGGGTCCATGGGGGTGGGGGGGGGGGGGGTTGTAACTGTTTCAAATCATTTGTAATTGTAATCACTATCGCCCAAACTGTAAGAATACTACTACTTCATCGTGATGACGTTGTTGACTTTGTCAAAATTTCCACACCGCTACGCAGTTTGCTCATAACTAAATTTAAATATAGGTGCCACATCAGTTGTATTTGTTTCTGTATTGTATTTTTTTTTTAAATTAATCACACGATTCAAACTGTATATATAAAGTAATTATGTGTGAAGTTGTATGTATAACAGTTTTTAACCCTTTCAGGACCAAGGGACACCGGTGTCCCAAATTTTCAAATCATCACCAAATGAAATTGGAATAACATAGAGTTGTTGAATTTGCTTTAAAACATTTATTACATGATAGACTTAATATAAATAAAGTTGCTTTCAGTATATATTAGATAGTTTTGTTGTCATAATTATGGGAACATTTTTAGACCACTCGCAAACTACAGTTTACATTTTTATATAAAAAATAAAACTGTAACAGAAAGAAATTACTGGCGGTTTTTCAAAGGTTTACTATTTAGGTATTATATTTACATTTGTTTTTTTCCTAAAAGCTTTGCTTGTTTTTTTTTAAAAAAGTAATTTTTTTGCTTGGGACATATA